ACTTTTACATTCTGTTTATCTTGAAAATCCTTAAATAATATGTGCTATATGTTCTAAAATGGCCCTCTACTGTAAACTGACACGCTGGCTCTGAGAGAAAAGCCAGTTTGTAAAAAAAAGTCTTGGTTTTGCTTGGTTAATAAATAATCAAACTCATTCAATAGCCGGCATCCTTTCTTACATCATCTCATACACTTGATCTAATTAGTTAGTGCTGAAATATCGCATTGTATCGTGATATGGGTGTGAATCGTAACATGTTGCATCGCAATATGTCACAAATGTATCGCTAATATATCGGATCGTATTCTTTGTATCGAGATGCGTATCGGATCGGCATTATAGCTTAGATGCCCAACCCTACTAAGCACTGCACGATATTGCCAGTTCACCTGCTTTGGGAAAAGTTCTTCTATTGTTTGTATTTTGTTGTGCGTGAACATTTGCCCGACTACATTGTGTTTGGAAAATCCTTTAGGAGTTGTTTCCTTTTAGGATTCTTGTGTTTTGACCTTCTGCCTGATTTTCCCACTGCAGTGTGTTTGATTACACCTCGAGTTTGTCCTCCGTTTGCACTGCTTCCTCTAATTTTTGACTGAGTGCCTGATTTAAGAACTGCAACCATTAAAACTTCCCATATGGATTATACCTCAGTTTGTTCCTCATCTTTATTCTTATGCAAGCTTTTAGTATTATTAAAATCAGCAGGAATTGTTCAGTGGTATTTATGATGATCTTCATGATATAACAATAATGATGACGTGTTACAGTAGAGTACCCAGAAATCGAAGTACTTAAAAAAGTGGTTTCCAAAAAATGGCAATCCAGTGAGGTTTTTATACCTTTTACTGATACATTTCAAAATATCAAAGCAAATTCAGCTGATCCATCCAGATGAAACAAATCGGCACTTTCAACTACATGCATAATATTATTCATTACAAATGTGTTCATCAGTGCTGATATAAAGCGCATACAGGAGCAAAAGCCAGAGATAAGGACAGAGCTGACTGTACCCATATACTTTAGATCATGTAGGCTAAAGTTCAGTTTGCTGTCTGCAACAGTGAGCACTCTTGTGCAATGCTTTAATAATTCCATGCAGCTTCATTATGAAGTGCTATTTAAATTTACTGGATCACTCAGTGTTGAAAGAAACATTTAATATTTGTTACCGGTTTTTTTAAATCTAACATTTTAGACCCTTTTTTATTCTAGATAGTGAATATAAACCTTTATATGGAATGATCTTCTGATCAGTCTGTCAGTATGAAAAATACTACTGAATTCAAAAAAGGACCGCTAGCGGTTTATAAAAATTCTACAAATCGGAAATATTTTGTGAGTGAAAATGTCTTACCAGGAGATATCTCAGATTGGTAAAAAACAACAGTACCACTTATTTTACAGTCTGCAGAGGAGCATCTCTGAACACTCAACACACTAAACCTTGAAGCAGATAAGCTACAGCAGGGGCCACCAATCTCGTTCCTGAAGGTCCGGTGCCCTGCAGGGTTTAGCTCCAACTTGCCTCAACATACCTGCCTGGGTGTTTCAAGTAAACAGCTGCGGTCGCACTGGACTTTTCTCCCCATAGACTTCCATTCTTACGCATGCAAATGCATCAGACCAGAAACGCAAGGTCATGTGGCAAGTTTGGCAGTTCGCTGCGTTGGAAAGTTCAAGCTTGGTGAACTCTGACCTGCGAAATCGCATCAGTTGCCTGTGTGAGACCAATCAGGATTAAAACATGACCTCTCTGGACGGAAATTTAAAATATGGACCAATCGCTCGCTTTAAATGTCTAATCATTTTGTTTAATCCCGCCCCTTCTCGCAGCACCGTAAGACAGAATTTCGCAAGCTCAAACTCTAGTGTGACTGCAGCATAAGACCTTGATTAGCTTGTTCAGGTGTGTTTGATTTGGGTTGGAGCTAAAATCTGCAGGACACCGGGCCTCCAAGAACAAGTTTGGTGATCCCTGAGCTACAGCAACACAAGAAGAGCACACCCAGCCTGATCTTACGAGAAAGTGTAAGTATTTTACATTTTGTCTGTTTAGTGGCTAATTCTAAAGTTCAGTCGTATGAAAATGTACGATTTTAAAAAGGATGCATGGCACCCACCCCTAACCCCCACCTGTCATTGGATGATGAGCAAATCGTACTAAATTGTATAAATTAGATCGTACGAATTCAATCCACTGAATCAAAAAGTTACAATTTGCTGTGAGATTGTGTTGTGACACCAGTCACGCCCTAGTCACACTGGGCTTCAGCAATAACGCTTGACTGAAGGCGTGTCTGAAGTTGGGGCTAACGCGATCGTCATAGCAGCGTCAGCCAATGAAATTCAGTCAGCAATAGGCCACTGTCTAGCTGGTGTATTTACATACAGCGATCTGATTGGCTGACACTTCTGTCAGCACTAGTTAAGCTAGTCCTAACTTCTGTAGCGAGCAACGCCACTGAAGCGGCGCCGACGGATCCACAATGCAGTTCGGCAACGCCTGACGTCACCCATTCAAAGTGAATGGTAAGGGTTGACCCTGACGCCCCATGTGAATGGAGAGTCACCCTTCTGTTAACTAAGAACTGGAAACTGAACCTACAATTTACATGAGCTCAACAAAACTGCACACTGGAATAAATGGAAAAGGGATGTCTCAGTTTGGATAAGGGGAGTAGAATTTGGTGTAAACAACACAAACGCAGTTTTTTGTCCTGTCATGTATCAACAGTTCATACTGGAGGTGGTGGAATTGTGTCAGGTATTTTCTTGGTACACTTTGGGCCACTTAGCATTGAGCATTGTTTAATAGTCACAGCTTTGTTACTGAGCACATCCATTGAGTGAACCCAACTTATGATGGAAATTGTATCATGTTGAACATATTTTGAAGAAAGCTGAAACCTGGTAAAGCTCCTGGTATACTTCAAACTAAACCAAAAAAATTCCAACAAATTCCAGCTGAAATTTCGTTTTTTTTTTTAGTTGTTTTAGCAGTTCCAAACAGCTCACACTAAAGCAAATTTTGGGGGAGATCATTTTGCATCCTAAACACGTTTGGTCCATTGGTCTACCATTGGTCCACAGCGATTATAGCTGGGTGTGTTCTGGAACTCTGTCTTCACTGAAATGAGATTCCCTCTCTCCTGATTTGTTTCTTATTCATGGGGGTCAGACAGAAAAAGGGATTTAGGGTTCAAACTTCTTTTTTGTCTCTTACCACGAATAAAACACTTTGAAGTATACATAGCCTTAACCATTGACTTCTATAGTAGAAAACAAAACACTACAAAAGTGAATGGTTATTCAAAGGCTTGGAACCACTTGACGGCAAGTAAATTTTTATTTTTGGGTGAATTATTCCTTAAAGGGTCACAAAACACCAAAACACATTTTTTGAGATGTTGACAGTCATAAATGTGTCCCACACTGCTAAAAACACTATTAGGACACATATATTTCACAATAAAAGTGAAATTTGGTTGTTTTTGCATTATTTCGATCAAATTCGCTCTTCCAGGTTTGAAAAGAAAGTTGAAGCTGCCTCACGGCGATTAGATCCTTGTGTAAATTCCAGCGTGTAGACTGGATGTATGTACTGGCGGGTACAATGAAAACATCTTTGAGTTTTCATCATTAATTCAAGAGAAAGACTTGGTTCGAATCAATCAGCGCGCTCTGTTGTGTATGAGGTGCAACTTCATTAATATGCATCAGGGCTCAACAATAAAGACTGGCCCAGGGCCAGCGTGAGAAATGCCTGGGACAGTAGCCAGGATCATTACTGGCCCAATCGGGACAGTGCTGCCTTGTCGCTAAAGTATCATTTGCCTGTGACTGTTTGTTATTAACTTGTGCTTTTAAGTCTTTAAATGCTACCTTCTCTGTGAAGTTGTAAACACAATACTGCTTTTCGGTTTCTCTTATCTGATTTGAAGTTTTGAGCATGTTATTTTTTTCTAGAAAAACTCCTTAGCATTGAACCCTGATACATGTTAGCTTCGAAGCTTCGTTTTTACCTGTTACAGTTTTCAGAGGGCAGAGAGACGCCATGTTGTATTGCCAACCGTAATCAAAACAAGTGGAACAAGAATTGTTTGGAGATATGGGTTGTCAATGTTGCGTTTATAAACATGCCACAATGAAGGATTTGTTTTCAATTCCCCACTATGAGAGCGCTGCTGGACTCACTTGTGGATTACAGTGGTCTGCTAACACGCAACAAAAATATGTTTGTAAGAAACTTTTTTTACCCGAGATGCTTCTTGCATCTGAAAATGGTGAAATCCAGATTTGCCACTTGTCTTCTTTTTAAAAAAAATACGCAAAAAAAGATCCGCTGTAAATGCTGCTCTCTGAATGTAAACATCTTATTCAAACTATTACCGTCGTGTAGAATTTTCGCAGCATTTTGCAACCACAGGATAGTCTATACACATATGGCTTTCTGATACTATTCTATGGACCTACCAAAAATGCTGAGGTTTTTTTTTTTTGCTCCCATACGGCATGCTGTATCAAACATTCCATTAAAACAACACTCATCCAGCAGTTCCTTGCATCCAGTTTGTCATGGGGTTTGTGGGGGGGCATGCATGAAATGTTCCTGAATGAAAGTGCCGTTATAGTTGACAAATTAAAAATTAATAAATAATTCGATTACTGAGGTCTATCTAAACAGTCACTGTCTTTTTCCCCTGGGTCTGTGTTTGTTTTGCCTCAGTGAATAACAGTGCATGCTCAAACTGAAACTCCCCTTTTAATGCTAAACCCTTCCCTCTTTCTCCACTCAACACTCTCACTTAAAGTTGGACTCACCCACTGGGGGGGTGGGGGTTGTTGAGGGGCTGTAGAAAAGTACTTTAATACGGTACATGCACAGTATCTATGTGCATGACGCTTACACTTTCGATGTCTAATCATATGGACTGGTCAGCAATTTTTGAAACGCAACCACAATCAATAAAATTTGCACAAAAAATGACATTTAATTTGTCCTGCATCTGCTCAATGAAAGATTTATTGAAACAAGTGAAAAACAGATTCGCATTCCAACCTGAAACAGTACTTTATTTAATGGAAGTTATCCCTCTCTCTCTCTTAAACGGCCAACAGGCTCAACATCCTCATTCAAACTTGTATTAAAGAAGCTCTTATGAAAAAAAAAAAACATTAAGCAAAATGCCAACTGACAACTGCATTACATCAACTGCGATGCACAATTCAAAGACTGTGTACAAAAGTTAATTGCTGTTCATAAGTTAAGTCTGAAAAGTAATTAATACTGAAAGTACGCAACAGATCACTAAAACATCTTCCCAATATGAGAAATCACAGTACTTTGCTGGAAGTACTCTCTTGATTTACTGTACTTAGCAAATAGGTACCAATTCATAGTTCATGGCATGGCAAATCATTTCAAACGCATACAAAACAAAAGTAATGCTTGACAGAGGAATTATTATTTTTTTTTTAAATATACAACGCTTTGCTACAAAAACTGATTCTCAGAAACCTGGAAAGATGGTCAACGAAAATCAATCGAAAAGGAACCAAAAGGATGACTGGAAGAAGAATGTTTGTACAATTTGGCTCAACAATTCATTTAACAGTGACGATACAGAGTTTGTGTCAAAGTCAAAGACGACTTGTTCTTTTTCGCAAACTGTGTTTGGACCTAAATACTCATGTCAAAAACACGACGCTAGAATCCTAGAACTAAAGATTGAAACAAACAAATGCAACTCTGAGAACATGGTAAACGTAGTTGACCCCTGAGTTTCTAATGCAGAACTAGTGTATAAAATACCTCATTACAGTGTGCCTTTTAGTGCAAGCCAGCAAATATGCTCGATTAAACAGGAGGTATATTAAGATAGCACCCAAGCAAACAATGCTTCTCTTTGCAGTCTTTCCTGTTGGCCGAATCACAGAGTGGGGCTGGTTTGAACAGCCAAACCAGTAGATCAAATACATCTTATTTATAGTTCATTTGTTATGCTTATTTTTTTCATAGAAAATATAAATAATATCCCTGAATGAAACCGATTCACAGTATATCTAGGACTCCAGTGCTACTACCATTGTTTAATGTTGGGACAATCAAGTGTCTTCAAGGTCTTCAGTTAGTGTCTTTTGCATGGCTCGACTGTCCTTCATTCACTGTCTTGGTAATTCACAGTCCGTTTGCCTTTGTTTCTGGTCTGGATGCGCCTGCCTCGACGAGGTTTCTCAAACGACACGTCACTATCGTCATCGGAAACAACCCTGCGAGGTTTCCTCGAGCGTGCGGTTCCTCGGTCACGGTCTCTCAGCCTTCTCTTTGGACTGCTTCGTGAACCTGAGCTTGCTTCTGATTCAGATTCTTCGCTCTCAAAATTGCTTCCGTTATCATTGCTCCCTTTGTCGCTTTCACTTTGCTTTCGTCGTTGTCGGGACACTGTAGGAAGCTTCCCCTGAGACCTTTGCGCCCGACCATTCTCTGATTTGCACCTAGTTTCAAAATCGCTCTCAGAGTCCGTCGAGCCCATTAATTGCTTGAAGCGTTTTGCACTTTTTCTTTGAGCTTCCGCAAGCTTATTACCATCACTGCTCCTACTGCTTTTGCTGTCTGCGTCTGACTCGGAGGAGCCACCGTGTTTCCTTTTGAATCCGCCACCTGAAGGTTTTCTTGTCCGGGAGTTGGCCTGCTGATTTTTTACTCCATTCTTTGCTTGCACGTCCATCTTAGGACTAAATTCTTCTTCGGAGTCCTCCATAATGTAGTTCTTCTTGGGACGAGTTCTCAAAGAGACTCCTTTGGATGCAACCGTAGGGCAAGGCTTTCTCTGTGGATGTGTCTTCTTGTCTTCTTCTGATGTGTCACTCTTTTGCCATTCGTCTGAAGAAGTGCCCTCACTCTTTATTCGTCCTCGGTCTGCCTTTTCATCGCTTTCCGAACTGGATTCATCCGAACTCGCACAGAGCTTCTGTTTGCGAGCATTGGATGACCGGTTTCTGTTTTTGGGAACCCTTCTTTGATCTGCGTCATCACTTTGATTCTCTTCATCTTCTGATGCAATTCTTTTCCTGTGAGTGACTGATTTTTCCACATCATCACTGAGTTCTTCTGAATCCTGGGTTGTTGACATGCATGCATCCGTGGCTGAAGATTTCTTGTGGGTAGTTTTCTGTTTCGCGGCAGGAGATTGTTCTTGGCGTTCTGATGGTGCTTTACACCTCTTCAGTTCTTTCGCATCCACCTTTCTTCCATTCTGATGGGGGTGCTTGAGAGTTTTGGTCGTCTCAACTTCCTCATCTGAACTATTTTCAGACTCCTGCGTTATTGACCGATGCTTCTGACGTCTATCCCTGGTGCAATTTTCCTCCTCTTCAGCATCAGTATTATTAATTTTTTTTATTTTACTGACAGCAGCTTTTGCAGTCCTCCTGGTGGACTTTCGCCTGACAACAAGGTCGTTGTCAGACTCCAAATTCTCACTTTCAATCGGACTACCCCCATCTTCTGAATTGTCATCACTTTCCTCCCACTGACGTTTGGTGCCATGTCCATTAGTTAACGGAGAAGTTTCTAAAAAGATAAATAAGTGGTTTAAAAAAAAAAAGAACTTAACAAAAGGAGTTTTAAACACAGGCCCTAGACTGAAGTCCCTACATAGTTCAGCTCCAACCTTGATCAAACTCTCCAGCATTTTAAGTGCTGCCTAGTTGACACTACAAGATTTTTAGGTCAATTTAAGCCAAATTTGCAAGTTAACAAGCTTGCCAACTCAGCAAGAGATTGGCGCTCTTTATGTGTGAATTACTGAATGATGCATCAAATAGGCTAGCGCATGCTCTGGCGACACTTCTCAGGTAAAAATCTAATACCTAACATGCTAAATATTCTGGACCCATCGGCCAACTCAACCATATGTAGGGTCAGATATAGTTACAAGCAGAGGTTGGAGCAAGTCATGCATGTGCAAGTCATAAGTCTAGAGTCTTAACCTTTAGGTCCTGAAGCCTGGTTTATACTTCTGCATCAAGTGTACGTGACCCATGGCACATGCAATGCACATAGCCGTCCATTTATACTTCTGCACGCGGTTTCTGTTGCTCTGCAACAACACTTTAGAAACGCTAACTGGCAGTGAGGTGTTTATGTTCCTCTGTGCCGAGTGTCTACGCTGCTGTTTTGTTTTTTCTGAACAGTACAAGCGGCTCAAACTCATTCATTTTGAGGCTGGAATCGGCAGACGTGTAAGAACTTTAATCATAAGGTAAACACAAAACAACAGTCTCCATCCGGAGCTCCTTCACGGGACTCCACATTTGTAAACACTCGCACCATCAGGCTTGCGCAGCTCTCACCTCCGCCCACACTCGTCAGCGCTACCAAGCTGACCAATCACAGAGCTTGTGCTACGCGTCGTTGTGACGTGTAGTTACATTTTTTGAGAGGTGTCCGTCAGCGTGCCTGACGGCCACAGCTATGCGTCCACGCGTAGGCTGTGCACTGGCATATGTGTGCGCTTGACGCAGAAGTATAAATCAGCCTTAAACGTAGTCAAAAACAATTTATTTTGAGTCATTTAACTCGATACCAAGTCAAGTCTTGTTTCATGACAATGAAGTCCAATGCAAGGAGTCTTTTTGAATATTTGTCAAGCAAGTTTCAATTTCGTAAATTAAGTCTGACTTGAGTCAAGTCATGTGACTCGAGTCCCCCTGAGTTACAGCCAATGAGAGAACAAGTCATGGGACAACTGGCCATTGTTCATGTGCTCAACAGAAATGTCTGATTGGCCAGAATGGTCAGCAATGTACAGAGACACAGGAGGATATAAAACTCATGTCTATCAGATGAACAGTGCAAAAATGAGCAATTAATCTGCTGACAGATTAGCTTATTGACGCGGCTTTCGAAAGCTCCCTTGAATGCTTTCAGAGATATTGCACATCCTAAACATTTTGTCCACTGTGGATTGGGGGCCAGATATGAGATGTAGGGGGGACAGTGGTTCTCATGTCATGTAGTGTGTGACCACTTTGTGTGGATTGTTTATGTAGTTTTGCATAGTGTGAAATGCCACGGCAATTTAAAGAGAGAAAATCAAGTCATGTAGTCTGAATGCCACAATGATCTGCTGGTGATTAATGCAATGTAGTGTGAACTAGGCTTAATTTTGAAGACTTTCAGGAGTCTGCTCAGATGTATTGGTTTAGAGGCGCAGTTCTCAATCCTAGTCCTTGTCTTGACTACCAAATTGGTCTCAATCCCAAGGTGTAAAGTGGCTTTCACACTGTACACAGAAAGCCCTGCTCTATGGCATCCATACAGTGGGCAAGGGCAGTTTGTTTCTGCGCAGTTTAAAGTGCAAGAGAAGTGGAGCACACAGTTGGCTAGCTGTCATGCCATCATAGTAACACTGGTAAAATGATGCTTCTACAGTTATTATATATACTATTTTAAGTAATGATATAAATCAGTTAAATGTAAGGAGTTAAATTTAAAAAGTCATTACATTACAAAATGACTTCACACTGCTCCACCTTGATGTGTTGAGCGTGCGAGTATAGCCCTTGGACCATTAGAATGAATGCAATGGCATTTAATGAGAAAACCGCAGGAGAAGTATTTTTTCCATAAAGAATTGAAAAGGAGGAATTCACTAGAAGGGGGACAAAACTGAAAGTTTTTAACATCACAAAGAAGGTGCAACCTTTGCAAGTAAATAAAGCCCTATTTATCTGAGCCTGAACAAGCTATTGTGAGTCACCATAATTAGGATAATGAGCTACGTTAGAATAGCATGCACTGATTAATAATGTACAAGCAGAAAGGTAGATCTCCGGGAACAGGTTTGGTGACCCCTAGTGTCGATAAATAAGCTAATTGATTCCAATCTAGCTGTGATAACCAAACATACCCTTTTTCTCTGCTGGTCGTCTACATGGTCTCCGTCCAGCAGTTCTGCTGTTCTTTTTGCTGTGGGAAGAGGAGTCACTGTCTGCGCTGCCAGCACTTTTCTCTCCTTCACTGGCTGAAGAACCACTTTCATTCGACTCTATAAGAACAACAATAAATGAAGGGTCAGTAAGTTTCTTTTATGCTAAATGTTTGGGAAGACATTTTGGTTAGTGGTGGGCAGAGCGAGTCTTCGTGAAACACTGAAACGGTTAAAGCAAATGTGCGTCGAGGCTTTGAAACCCTTCTTAATATTGACACCTATGGCGGGTTTCCACTGAGAAGTACAGTACGGTACGGGTCACCTTTATCAGGCTTGTGTTTCCACTGTCAAAAGGGTACCCTTTTGGTGGACGTGGTGTTCGACAAAGTTTCAGACGACTTCACTTCTCTTTGAGGAAATATCTACAGTAAAGCTGTACTGGTTGTTCACATATCATCTGAGAAGCACTTCTCACAAAACAGATGCTTTATACACAAATACTTGTGTACAAATGTTCATTACTATCCTTTCTATGAACATAATTTGATTATTACTGCAGATCAATGCGAAATAGCCTACTGTAACATCTACTTTTATAATAAACAAATGCCACATATATAAACACATACAGACCCTTACAGTCTCTGCTGTGTTATCAATTACAGAAAAGCTACACACTGCAAACATTTAGTCCTTAGTTGGGATCAAAAACAACACGAAATGTAGTCTAGTCAGTGCAAACCTCTTATCTGTATCTGTATTCTTCAGCAGCACATGTAGCCTCTTGTTAGAAAGTAATTCCATCATTTAGAGTTCATAATAGTCCAAAAGGTGATGATAATAGTTAAACATGGCAGTTTTTTTCATGATTTTAGGTTACAGAAAGCATCATTTGCTGCTGTTTTTTTGAGCTTCTCCTTCTCGCATTTATCTCTTTCTGAAAGGATCGGATATCATTCATTCATTCATTTTCTTGTCGGCTTAGTCCCTTTATTAATCCGGGGTCGCCACAGTGGAATGAACCACCAACTTATCCAGCAAGTTTTTACGCAGCCGATGCCCTTCCAGCCGCAACCCATCTCTGGGAAACATCCACACACACTCATACACTAAGGACAATTTAGCCTACCCAATTCATCTGTACTGCAAGTCTTTGGACTGTGGGCGAAACCGGAGCACCCGGAGGAAACCCACGCGAATGCAGGGAGAACATGTAAACTCCACATAGAAACGCCAACTGAGCCGAGGCTCAAACCAGCGACCTTCTTGCTGTGAGGCGACAGAACTATCTACTGCACCACTGCTTCGCCAGATCGGATATCAGATTATTATTATTAGTAGTATTATTATGAGTGCAAGAAGTTCGTTATTTCAAATATAACATAGATATATGCGGTGAGCTTTCTAGAGAAAGTGAAACCAATCGCACTTTTAGACAGGCCCGTAAAACAACAACAGGACATGGCAGATTTTGTTCTTCTTTGCTTTGTGGCTGTTCATGAAGACGACGACAAGTTTTGTTTGAGCTCAGGTCGACCATGGCTCGTTATTATGTGTATAATATTACGATGTAATGTCTCGGCTGTGTTTTCAAAAAAAAAAAAATGGCGGTGCTTATGTCTTCATTCTCCTGATGCATCCATGTAAACCAATAGCGTTCAGCTACGCGTCCATCTCCGCCTTTTGGTACCCTTTTTTTTTGTGCGAGGTACTTTTTCGAAACGGTGCCAAAAAAGTGGTACGGTACGGTTTGCTTTTAGGTACCCATTGACAGTGGAAACGGCCATAAAAGTGTAGCGAATCGTACCGTATCTCTCAGTGGAAACGGGCCACTAGTGGTCATTTTTTTTATGCATTGTTCTGGAACAGCTTCAGCAAAGAAACAGTGGCACACATTGATGAATTAAAACCCATGTTGTGTAACTGAGGTATCAAGTGATTTAGTGGAGCGGTTAGTGTTCCTGACTAGCATGCAGCGATAATGGGTTCGATTCCAGGGTGATGGAGCTATAGAAGATCATTTTTTTAAATGCTCTGTTCGTGTAACGTGTTTTAACATTGTTCTGACATCCAAATAAAATCTTTGTGAATAAATGTGTTGTTTTGGTTATTAAAAAAAATTATATTATTAAAAGACATCAAATCACCATTTCTGAGTATTTGCCGGGATTTGAACTCTAAAACACAGATTTGCCAGGTCTAGAAACGCTTGTAAAATGACCGATGATTTGAATCGCTTCAGTCACGTGACCTGGGTGTTTCAAAACATTTCTAAGCACTATTTTGAAACATCTGAGGTTCGGGATCTTGACACAATGTCAAAGCGTCAGTTTCGTGCCAGCCTTCCCTAATTTTGTTAATACACAACTTTGAAAGTTAGCCACATAGCTGTTTATACCCTCTTGTGAGGCCGCCGCCTCCTCCTCGTCATCTGAATCAGAACTGCTCTGAATGACAGCGGAGCGTTTGCTAGCACGGGTTGCGGGTCGGGTGCTGCCACCACCACCTTCATCATCCGTGCCTTCCTCATCTCCCAAGGTATCAATGAGTTTCATTTTATTGACTGCAGCCATGGCAGTCTTGCGTGTCCTCGGTCGGCGGCTGACAGAAGGTGAAGACTCATTCTCTGAAGCTTCGTCTGAGCCTTGCGATGGTTCGTGGTCAGAATCACTAGATGTTCTTGGTTTCTGACGCTCATGTGACCTGCTGCGCCCATTCATCTTGACGTGGCTCTCTAAAATAGATAGAACAGTCAACATTAATTTCATAGACTGTATGCTGACCACGTATGTTGACCACGAAGAACAATAAGTGTCATAAGTGCGTTTGATTTTCTTGAGGTTTATACCTGAAAAAAATAATAAATACGCTTTCAATTAATGTATGGCTTATAATAGGATAGTTTTTGGTGGATACACAACAGTAATATAATTGGCCGATAATAGAAGTCTGGAATTTGAGGGTTCACAAAAAGTTTTTGGATAATTTTGACCCATACAATGCATTTTTTGCTATTATTAAAAGTATACTCATGCAACATTAAAGTAGGTTTGTGGTCCACAATCACATATATTAACATCTGGCTACATTTGCAACAAGTTGGAAACATCTGAAAGTGCTTGAAATGTCACTCAGCAGCACAACAACACAAATAATTAAATAGATAGGTTGAAGGACCTCACCTGGTCTTCTTGATTTCGCTCCTTTATTCTGTGCAGCTTTTTTTCTTGTGGCCCTAGTCTCGCGTCTCATGGCACGTGATGAAGACGAATGTTCATCATCCTCATCTGACTGACTCAAAGACTGTTTGCTGTCCTGATCAGATCCTGTGTTTAAAGCAAAAATTAGTACTTGACATACATTACAGATCCCAAAGTGTGCACTCACACTATGCTATCCAAACCGAACCCAGGCACGTTTCCTGATTCGTCTGAGAAGTGTGAGTGCTCTGAATTGGGCTCACTCAACTGTGTTAACCACATCAGCTAAACTCTCCCACTCTATTTTTTTTCTTTTGTTGGTGGATAGTAAATTAAAAAAGAAATGGTCCGATCTATAGGTGTAAAATGTTGTATGTTCTTTGACAGCGTGAGTGGTGTAGCTTTTAAAACGCATGTTTTGACATGTTCGAGCATGAACTCGGTTCGAATCCAGCGTCTGAACTCATTCTTTTTTTTTTCCCACCGCTACATAGCAGATTTTGCCTACTCTTCATCACGAGGAAGACAAGTAGGAATCATTAATAAGTCTCTGCTTCATATTTTATTTGCACATTTATTGAATGGAAATGTTTCTGATTCACGTATGCAAATTCATCTTCAGATAGTGCCTTTATAGCAATGTGCGTGCAGTAGATCGCTCCGATTACATCGGGAAAACCGGCGATCGCAGCAAATTGCGCTTTAATGCTTGGCTGGTCAACTGTATGCTATGGAAACCTTATATACCTGCTAGACATGCGGATAAACCCGTCTCATACAGCTGCCATTGCACGGGTAGTGTGCAATTTAACACTACTACCTCTAGGAGTCACAGACAAACACAAGAAATGCAAGTACGCCAGGCATGAAGTTGGCATGGACCAGAGCACACACACATTCATTTCATTCATTCATTCATTTTCTTGTCGGCTTAGTCCCTTCATTAATCCGGGGTCGCCACAGCGGAATGAACCGCCAACTTATCCATTAAGTTTTTACGCAGCGGATGCCCTTCCAGCCGCAACTCATCTCTGTGAACATTCATTTCATCGTTAGTAAATAAAAACATGAGCGTGAAACCTGGCGTACGCAAAGTTTTTGTTTTTGTTTATTAAGTTTTTGTTTATTAAGATGTCCATGGTAATGTTTACTTTCACTTTTAGGGAAACTCCTGAGGTAAATAAGTTAAATCTCTGAACTTTAATAATAAATCTAAATAAAATGCAGCGCTTCCCACATCCAGTCGCAATGACTTCTGGGACTTCTAGAGCGAGTTCGGTGCTCAAGTCTGCATCAGTGCGTTCTCGATATCAAGATCACATCCGGGAAGTTTCACGCATCCTCTGTTCTTGTGGTCTTAAATATTGGAACTGAACTTTGGCAGCTGATGATGACGTTACACGAGAACATGAGGACGCAAGACCGCTGAAGAACGCATATTGAGAAACAGCCTAGGCTTTCTAGAAACATCCGTGCAGGTGTGTTAAGGGAAGTTGAAGCTAAAATCTGCGGGACACTGGCCCTCCAGGACCGAGTTTGAGCACCCCTGATCTAGACCAATTAAAAAAAAAACAGACTGGGAATTTAAAACTGAAATGATAATTCTGTCTTACCAGAAGAAGATGAGCTACTCCGTCTGAAGGTTTCCTTGGCTTCGTGGGCTCTGCGACGCTCTGGTCCAGACACTTTGGCTGAGGTAGATTTGGCTGTAGACTGTTCTGTGTTTTCCTGAGTTTTTATAGTAGCCCTCTTTTGACTAAGGTAAGGAGAAGGATGTTTATCATCGTCTGCATGCAACAACTCATGGGAAAAATAAAAGTAAAAAGGCACTGCGATCAGGCCTACCGTGTGGATCCTTGGCTGAAAGAAACAGACTCCTGATGTTGCGACTTCTTCCTGCATCTCTGACTGCGCCGTAGCTTCAAGCTACTTTTGATGGCAGTCTTGTAGTCGGAAATTATTTTGCGTATGTTCTCCTCAAAAAATGCGGACAGACGCAAAGTCATACTGTAAATCTGTAAAACACCATCAATATCAATGAGACTTAACAAACATGAAGAATAAGCAGAAAGAGACTAAATATATGCTTGCATTACCTTAGACCGTTTGTTTGGCGTATAGGCTTTAGCATTGGCAAAAATAAGCCTGATGTCCTTACAAACGTCTATTGGGTTTTCATATCGGTCTTCTTCAAGAGTCTGGCGCACAGTTCCAAGGTCCATAGGAGTGTCAATTATATTAGTGTAATCCTGGAGACATTTCAGACACATTATTATAAAGATTTACCTAATATAACTACATTAAAATGCAGGATAAACAAGTCACTAGTAGTGTAATGGATCATAAATCTCACAGTTCGGATCACGTTATGTTTTTTTAGTCACGGATTGGACCACTTTTCGCATCAGTCAAAAAGAGGAGACGACAAATGTCATTTGCTTTCCAAATACAGAAACAGTACTGCAAGAGGCTTTTGGTTTTAACTAGCAGAACTTAGAAGCTGTAATTTTATTAAAAATAAAAGGAAGAAATAATCAGCTGAATGAAAGTAAATTGTAAAACATTCAGTACGGTGAAAAATTCAGTTTTACTATCCTTAATGTAATTGTATTGTTTACAAATTTCTATTCTTTATGTATATTTTTAGACCACAGTTTATGTACAATTGTATTTATTGTAATTTTTTTTTAAACTTCTATTAATATGACATGTTAGGCACCTAGGGTCTGAGAGTAACGTGATTTCGATTCTCCATGTGTCCTGTATATGTGGCTGAATTGACAATAAAGCTGACTTTGACTACTGCTGCTGATAACGCTAAATGTAGAAATCTAACATTACAATTTTGTACAATTCATATTTTTTGGTCTCATTTTTAATAAATGATTTAGTTTTTCACTCATAAAACTTCATGCTTAATTGCTAGATTATATATTTTTTAAGGACATATATGTTAATATCACTACAATATTATGGACTGAAAGATCCCCTGTAAATGCGGTATTCCGAGTGTAAACATGTAAACTCCACAATCAAACTATTACCGTCGTGTAGGATCTTCGCCGCATTTTGTGACAGGATAGTTTATACACACACAGCTTTCTGACGCTACCTACAGAGTGCATCTAAGTGATAGAGAAATGCGGAGGTTTTTTCTATCACATGCTGTGCGGTATCAAACATTCCATTAAAACTTCACTCTTCCAGCAGTTCCTCGAATCAATCTTGTTTGTCACGGGGGCATGCATAAAATGTTGCTGAATGAAAGTGCCAAACTGCAGTTAAAGTCCACCATTCAATAATATGGCAAATAAGTTGATTACTGATATCCATTTAAACAATCAAGGTCTTTCTCCCCTGCGTCTGTGTTGTTTTGCCTCTGTGAAAATCAGTATGTGCAAAAACAGAAACTCCCATTTTTATGCACCTTCCCTCTTTCCCACCCCAGACACTCCCACCTAAACAGAGATGGACACACCCATTTTCCTGACTTTTTCCAAACTAGAGGTGTGAAAACACCCTGCTGAGACGGGGGTTTCGTGGCCCTTTGACTAACTCCAACCTTTATATAAATTTGTTTTTAAAAAAACAGAAAATATTTTTTTTTTCTCTAGAGAAAACAGTAAGGACAAATAAAATGATCATACATCAAATTAGGGAGATAGTATAGCTTATTATAAAAACAAAAAAATATATAATTATAAAATTACAGAACACTCAGCAAAACTAACATGGTTTTTTTGTAGCTAATATTGTCTAAAACAAAATAATTATCAAGATGCTACACAAAATATCTCAACATTCAACATACAGCTGTATTACTGCAAAATGGCAAAAATGTGTGTGAGGCGGAAGTGCACATCAACAATTGGCAACAATTCTATGACAGCTCTTACCAATGTTTTTGAACAGTGTCTGTGACTGAAACCAAGATTTTCCAATATTATCAACGTAATGCTTTTCTTTTATATTAATATGTCTATTAATGCTTCTGAATCGACAGACAGCATTATTCCACTTGATTGCACTTTCCCCGTTTATTTGTTTTTTACTGTAGGCGTTAGTTTGGTTGTGCAATTTTGATTGGGCAAAACGAAAGTGTGCTCACTTAATTAGCTAGTAAGACTGCCACACACATACAGCAGTCACGCATTTGCTCTGGGTGGGGGAAATTAAATAATATATACTTCATATCGCAGCCTCTAGCGATTAACTAATTGCCCTAATAAGCCCTAATAAGAATATAATTTTGCTATCAAATGAACAGCTGAAGAATGCAAGCAGCTTATTATTACTGACAGTTTTACATCAGATTCTCAAGATCAGAAAAGAAAACCCTTTCCTGAACATTTATCCTTTATTTTGTTTTTAGAGACTCACTGGATAATCGCTTTGATCTACGGGATCCCGGAAAGGCTCCGAATCCTCACACTCAAACATGTAGTCCAGTAAACGTTTACAATGGTCCTTCCAAGCATCCCTGTCCAGCACAACCTCCACTGATGGCTGCCAAAATCAAGAGAAGGTGTTAGAAAGAATTGGGCAGATACATTTCTTCCCTTTCAAAGTACTCAACTCTGCTACTATGCTAATGAAGTACTATAAATAAATAATTATATATATATATATAAATGTGTATATATATATATATATATATATATATATATATATATCTTGCAGTACCTGGCGAAGTCTTTGTCCGGCTGAGGTTCCCGGTGCATCAATGTCATCCATTTCCTGGGAGCAACATCTGAATCAATATTGTGTTTTCCAGTAAAATGAGATATCAAGCAGAACAAACTCACCTCATCGTCAGAGTACTCCATGTTCTCAACAGCATTATAGATCTCCATAATGTCTGTGCAGTGAAGTTTACTGCCATCGTATTGGAAATAAATGGTTAAGTTTCAGATGGGCACAAAAATAAATAACTAAACTAATAAAATTACACGTGGATTTTTGGAAACAACTGTTCAGAACCAACCTGATGAACTTAATGAGAACATTTGTTATGATTTTGGCAGATTGTGCAATCTTGCTGCGAGGTTCATTGAAGGTCTTGGCATTTTGTTCAATGTGTTTCACATCCCAGATTAGTGCCGATAGCCTCCTTAAATGAGAACAAAAATTAAACAAAGACATTAAAACAAACCAAAAGCAGGCTACGCAATCTTAGAGTTAACTTATTCCAAATAAAATAAAGTGATAATGTCTGTGCTGAAGACCCAATCAACCCCATTCATTTAGATAATGTAGAAGTCTTCATACAAAATGCTGCTGCCAGACTTAACTTATACAAAAAGAAAGAATTTCTCCAGTCTTACAGTGTTTATCTGTAGAATTTATAATGGCTTATATTATAATAGTTATAATAAATAACTTTTATTACATATCAAAATACAAGAAACTTAAGATTGTTCCTCTTGTTGGGTTAATGTCGTATCGAGTTAGCCCGACTCATCATGTAGAATCAACTGAAGACAACCATCTAATTGGTAATTCAGCAACAATTCAGAGTGGAGAACAAAAACTGCCCATCAAGTTAAAAGATTCAAGTCAAGAAAGAACACAAAAGTTTTTGCTACATTTGTAAAACGATTGCAAACGATATGGATTATATTATTAGACAAATTTAAACAAATCTAGACTTTTAGACAAATTTTAAATTGAATCCCTCTGAGCTAAGTCACAATTACTGTGTTAATGGTACTAAATGACTTTATGTTCATCACGAGCCAACAACACCGCTGCTTTTCATCTGTTGTTTAGCATTGGCTTGATGCGTCCCTTTCCTAAGAGTGACAGAGCTTTTTTTAGTAGGTATACAACGATTATAGATTTTGGTTGTCCAATTATCACATGAAAAATTCTTAGATTTTAAATTGTTAGTTATTGCTTCTCAGTAACAAAACACAGCACAAAATAATATTGAAAACACCCAGAGAAGTCAATTTCTCTTTGGCCTTAAAAATAAGTTAATTTTTATTTTATTTTTGCATTTTAAACAAAAGTAATAATTTTAAACTAAAAATAAATGACAGAACAATAAATAAATAAAGAAATGCAAATAAGAAGAATAGTAGTATTTAGTAGTTTTCAATACTACTAAAAATAGTATTAGTCTAATGTAAACCTAAGTATCATATTAGCTAAGTATTTCCCTTTTGAAGAAAACAAATGTAGTCAAAGGCTGCTAAACCTATGTCTGAAAAGCTTTTGATCAACTCTATTATGAACTTCTTTGCTATTTTCCTTTTGTATTTTTCTTCTGTTTGGAGTAGAAATGTGTCTATTCCATACAAAGTATGAAGCTGATTGGTCAGTTCTTGTCAAGTGACTCGTAACATGCAACTTTAAACTAGTGCACAGCTAGCATAACTTTTAGTTGCAGCAGTTTTGTTCAGTACAGAAAATCGGTATTGAGAGGCTTTTACGATTAATTAACCATGACCAAGTAAAGCGCAGTTAATAGTGAAATCTGTAAATTGTTGCATCTTTATATTCAAGCATTGCTTTCTTTTTTTTGGTGGATGAAGTTTCAATGGATAAATCTCTTCAGTAAATGTATATTCTGTGATTCAAAGACAAACGATAGTCTTGACGATAAAGGGGTCAATGTGATCGTGCACACCAATGCCCATAACGGCGTAAAAGCGTCATAAAAAAAAAAGCCTTATGCTAGTTTTTTTTTGTTTTGACGCACCACGTCAAAACCTTCTCCACCAATCAGGTTGGCACTTTTATTCAGGTGCACAGAGCTGCTGAAGTCACAGTAAACGGCAGGTGCTCAAGCACAAAACTATCAATGCAAGCGCACATTGAAGAATCATTTCTTCATCGCTATAGCTGGAGCTACTGTTTGAACCATTCATAACAACAAGTGTGTCAACTTTTTGTCTTCTTCTGTTTTACAAGCGGGTGTTAGAAGCTTAAAATTGTGTAGCGCCATCTAACGTCAAGAAGCGATTTTGCATATTCTTCTGCTCAATGCCAGTGAAAATTCGATTGGATTTGAATCCAGAAAAACGTCATGAATAACGTTGATTTTAAACACAAACGAAAAGGATCCCAGTGTGTATGAGCCTTTAAAGTTTGGATGAAAATATAGGAAAATAACCCAATTAAACATTGGAGATTGTTTAGATTACTAGCTGTCTGGACTACTATGATCTTTAGAGCTATAAATTTGTTGTATTGATGAGCAGCATCAAAAAATTCTATTTCTGTTTTTACAATTAAAAAGAATACAATAAGAGTGTAGAGAAATCATAAAGATGAAGGACTGCTACAAACCTGTAGAAGTTGTGCTTGAGCCGCAGTTTGATGGTGTTCAGATCGGTGGGATATGCAATGACAGTACAATATGTAGGATACTGAGTGAGGTCAACCGGACCAGAGAAAGGAGCTGTAATATCTGTTGAAAAGTGCAAGAAATGACATTTTAAATCACAGTTAAAGGGGCAGCTCACAAAATATGTATATGTTTTTAAATGCTTTACCCACCCTCAAGTCATTTCAAACCTGGATGTCTTTTGTCTAATTTTGGAAGACAAATAAAAATATTTGTAACATTCCCAAGCCAATTTTGTCCATACTTTAAAATCCTTAAAAATTTCGTTTAAAAAAAATAAATAATAATAATATTATCACAGTAACTTTAAATACTGGACAGACAAAACCTTTTAATTTAGGCTTTCAGTCATGTAAACATTGATCAACCTGCATTGCACATGATAAAAGATAAACAGCAGCTCTAAACATGTGCTTGACTAGAGAGAACCAGTGGAGTTTGCTGTTACGACCTCCATTTTCAGACAAAATTACACCAACTAAGTAATATTCATAATGTTAAATACATGGACTATGAATGGATGAGCAAAAACTAAAACTGAACACATTTAAAAAAGTATCCGTGTCCTAATGATTAACAAAAGTCTGATGGGTTTGAAATGACATGATGGTGAGTAAAATCTTGACAACTCCTTGCCGAAATGACAAAATTAAAAAGTGTTCATGTAAAAACTAGAAGCAAAAAACAAAGAGTGTAATAGCAAAATCAAACATACCCACAGTCATAAGCTGCTCTATTCCTGCAATGATGCGTGCGCTCTCTTGTTCCCGACCCCTGTCCCCCCATTCACCCCTTTGAGGTTTATACAGGATATCCATCATCTCCTCATCTGTCACTGGTACTCCAGCACTCGCCGACTCCGGCTGTTCAGCTGCAAAATAAAGAGCCAATCCTGAATGAACAGTTACTCAAACTATAGCTAAAGTTGCTTGACAAACTTTGATGCTGGCTTGAGAAAGACAACATGACTACGCTCGGACCTTCCAGACAGCTGGCAGGAAGCGCAGTGGTTGCCAACATGCTAGGTGGTTGCTAGATAGTGAGTGATTGTTAGGCACCTGGTAGGATACACTAGGTTGTTAATTAGCAAGCTTCATTTACATGTTTAATCAAACCTTAATAGTTTGTAAACATTTTTAGCATGTTATAGCATTTAGCTAATTGTTGCTAATTATTGCTAGCATAGAACAAAGTAAGCCCAGTTTGCTAGCATGAGTCAAACGAGCCAATACGGAGATATTGCTGTTGTTAAAGGGTTGCCAGGTTAGTCTATTTTGTTGCTATGGATCTGACTGACAGTTGGGAGTAATGATACTTTAAAGCTTCTTGCCAGTATTAAGATATAAATCAACCCCGATGTCTCTTTGACAGTCAAAAACTGAATTCGACTTAAAGGTGCAGTAGGTCATCTCTGTTCACGCATGTCCACCATTAGTGCGTACAGGCCTGCATGCGCGCCACGCGTTCACGTGCACACGAGACCGTCACAGTCGCAATAAAATCAAATGCTGAATTTAAACTTTTAAAGTCATAAATCAATATTGGAGTTGGTTTTGCTGTTGGAGGAAGCACGACACCATGGCTGAAGGATTTCTGTTAGACAGGTGATGTTCTGTTTTTCAGTCACGCAGAGCTGATGTAGAGTGTGTTGCTTTTTTAAATGGGTTGTAATCAGGGCTTAACATTAACTTTTTTGATCACCAGCCACTGTGGCTAGTAGATTTCCAACATTGCTAGCCACTTGCCATTTTCACAAGCCACAATTTTGTTGCTTCGAAAATATATTTTGTATTATTAAATGTGACTTTGACAAGCTAAAATGACTTGATTTAGATGTTGTGTTGTCAACATGCCTCCTTATTTATTTCACTGTTTGTGTGTGTTGTGTATGAGCTTGCTCACTGTGCATGAGCAAACGGGTTGTGTTGCACTGCAATTGGTTTTTATTTCACATGACTTTTTTTAGGGCTTAAAATTAAGGATTTAAAAAATGTATCTCTGACCACACTAAAAAGAAATAATTATTTCTTAGCCACACATTTTAAATGTCAAAACAAGCAAATATATAGCTGTATATATGCACTTTTTATTCGACAAAACAAATAAATAAAAAATTTATTTCTTTTTTTTACAAAATTTAAAAAGGTCTATTGTCATGTTTCTAAAATAATCACAGTAATCTTTCCTGGCTAAAGGTCCCAGATCAGCGGTTACTACACATATATGGGGAGTTAATCTCATATTGAAGCAATGTTATTTGCAAAGGATGATAATTAAACTATATTAACAAAATATGATCATGTGCCTGAGAATAATTAAAACGAAAGCCGTGACTGCTGCTGCTGCTTACAAAAGGTTTGCTGCTAACACATCGCTTTTTGTCTAGTCTATTTCAGAGAACCGATCGCGCTACCTCTACACGATTGTTTCGTGCAAGTAAACGGGAACGCCCGAGCGGGCTTTTTAACAATCGTGCGCATCACATAACCTGTGCGCGCGAGTAATCATCCTCTCATAAGGTATTCACCTGCTTTTGCTCGCGCGAACATGGTTATTTTTGTCAGTCGTGCTGCTTCCCGATTCTAAGATCACATTTGCATGCATTTTGAGCAATCCTTATTGTCGAACCCTGCTTTAAGAAAATTACAATGTAAAAATTATTTCCAACCTGCCTAAGTGGCTAGTGGGAGCGGCTGTCCAACCCAGTAAGCTCAAATCTACCCGCATTTGGCGGGCTGGCAGGTGTTAATGTAAAGCCCTGGTTGTATACACAGAAGTGTTGCTCAGCCGCTAAAAACTTTCGGCGAATGCTTGATGTGACTATTTTCAGTTTAATTTATTTTGTTTAACAACAAATCAGAAGTCAATAGCGCCATTCCGCCTAGGCTGCTTTACTGAGCTGAAGTTGCTTTTATATTCACATTGGTTTATTTTTTAACAATGACAGCCTCCCTATACTGTTTACCATGCTACTCTGAATATTCGTTCTGAAATAGCATGTAAGTGTGGCTTAGTAATAAGTGAAATTAGTGCACATCGCCGGCCAACCACTAACTACATTTCTAACTGGCGAATGACATGAACTAGTGGGTTGTCAACTGTCATGTTGCGGAGCCCGCGTTCACGATTTCAGGAGGTGTGGCTTTGAAACAGTCCCTCCCCTGCCGTGCAAAGATAATAAGCTAACCGGTTAGCATTTTGGCAGATCACCTACTGCACCTTTAATGTACAAATATTTAATTGTATAATATTTTTTGAAAAGATAATGCTTAAATTTATTAGACAACTGTAAGTGTGACCCGTCTTAAAATATATAGCAACGAACCACAACACTACACAGCTTTTGGCCAAATTCAGTTTAAATAGCATAATGGTGTGTTGGATTTCTCAAGCCAACATAACTGGAGGGCGACTGATTGACTGGCCTAATTGGCCTGTGGCTACAGACAGGAATCAGAACCAAAACTTGGAAAATAATCCAGTGGTTAAATGTGCAATATATAGGATAGACAGCTGTGGTTGAACTGGGTATTGCAGTCCCAATTCGAAATATTGAAGGAGGCCCCACCTCCGGTGTCTGTATGTAAATGCGAGTTGCCAGATTGAGAACACCAATTGCAGTGAGCGAGCTTGAGCCTTATCCACACTAGCAGGAATTTTGTAGCTGCCTGACGCTCTCGGTGTAATAGGTGCACCCATCTCGAGGTTGCTTAGAAAACACTTGGCTCAAAAATTCACAATTAATTTAGTTTGGACTGATTTGGGGCAAAATAGCGTAATTTTAATACTTTTTTTTCGATTTTGTTTGAAGTATAAAAAACCTTAAGAAAAGCAAGAGCAAACAAACTACACTGCATTTAGTAAAAAGTGGTTTAAATTCTCCCTCTATGAATGGCAAAGGCCCAATCCCAATTCTACCCCTTAGCCCTTCCCCTTAACCCTACCCCTTGTTTTGCGTGAAGGGGTAGGGGTGTCCAAATTCTCTTTAGCTTGGGGGACTAAGAGCAAGGGCTAGATATCCCTCGAAACTTGGACTTTTCAGGACCACGCTTGAAACCAAGCGATAAGAAAATTTCCCAGAATACACCAGCCACAACGGCTGCATAGCTGCACCCGGAAGCAAGAACCACAAATTAGTATTTTTCGTCATGCTTTAAAAAAAAAAAAATAAATAATTAAATTATCTATAATCCATAATAATAACTCCTGCATAGCAGTCCCACAACATTCTGACACTCAAATACCCTGTCAGAAAAGTCTAGTGGCTGGAAATGACCTTTTTACAGTGTCTGCTATAATGTTAATGTTGCTTTTGGTGTGTTTACATAGATAAATATGGCCACGGTGTAAATGCGCAGTATAGTTACAATCTTATTGTCACATTATTTCATTATGATAACATGATATATGCCTTCAGTAAATTCCTGAAGAAAAATAGCACAACTGCAATAACTACAGCAGTCGTGATCGTCTGATCTCAAATGAAGCAAGAGATTGCGATGATATATGATGACGTGTGCAGGTGCTGTAGTGCTGTCCCATTCCTTAGGGGTCAATTTTAAAGGGGTAGGAGTACAAAAATCTAATTGGGATTGGGCAAAATAAGCATTCGCTTTAAGATGAAACTCAAGTAGTCAGAAGTACCATTTTCAGGAATAGCTTCTACGTCCCATGGACTCAGCTTTTCGGTCTCGCCATTGTCCCACCTGCAAAACAAAAGAACATTATGTACAGGGGCCTTTTTAAAAGAATCTGTCCATTTAAATCAATAATAAGTTGGGGCTTACTTGACTTTGAAGCACTGAAAATGGCTGTCGGGATATTCAGATTGATATGGCTCATGACAAACTATGGCCCCAAACCACCAGGCGTCATCGATCACAGAGCGAAAACGGTCATCTAGAAGAACCACAGCATGAACATCAGAACAGACAGATTATATTTCTCTAAATTACTCAATGGTTAAATTGATGCACGGTACAACTATGTAGTTATTCTCAGGTCATTCTTCCAACTTACTCGAAGTCCACACTCTGTTTCGCGCCTCATCGTAGCTTTGACGTAATACCAGAAAATCTATTACGTCTGCCATATCATGATATCTAAGAATTGAAAAAAATGTGTTTAAAACTAAGCTTTATCAAAAACCAAATGTTTATCAGATGGCCAACATTTACTTAATATACACCATATCTTATCAACTTACTTTATTGAAAAGGTTCGGTCTGTTATTTTGCCAGTTCCAGGGTCAATCTGGGTCAGTTTCAGACAGCATAATGTTGGAGGGCAAACTTCATATTTGATCCCTGTTATTTTCACAAACTCTTGGTCCTGGAAAAAAAACATGATTTATGATTTTAAAAGTCAAAGATTAGGTGCTATGAGATGCTATGAGAATGTATAGCATCGATTCCCTATTGCTAGCCTATTTCCAAAAACTTGGAGTGTTCCATTAACTCTTTACCTTGACTTTTTAACTCTATACCTCTAAAAAATAAATAATTTTGGTAAAACCCCAGCATTTTTTGCTCTTACTCTTAACTGCATCTTCTTCCATGGCTGTTTGTCTAGGTTTATTGGGTACAGGTTCATGCGACAGACTGCATCCACATATGCCTCATGACCCTGACGGAAATAGATGACCTACGTCCAAAACAATGGATATAAAAACAACAACAGTGGGTTTTAGACACGTGTCAGTTGCACATTAATACAGATGAGATGAGAGAATCTTATTCTATACCTCATCTCCCATTTGAGGGACAAATGGGGACTTTCGGGGAACAACGTCAGTAATCCAAGCTGGAGGACGGAACTCATTCGATATCTCTCTGTTAATGGATGGCCTTGGTTTAGAGTGCTAAGAATAAAAAAATATATATCAATTTGTTATTTTTTTAACTTCCATGAAAACAGACAAAGACTGAGTTCTAGTCAAAAACAATATTTCAAGAGTTTAAAACAATCTTCAGTACCAATTTCATACATTGTTCCCTAAATTTTAGGAGACAGGAAAGCATGGGATGCAGAGACCTTGATTTGGCACTCAAACTTGGGTTGCCACAAGTACTGTAGTGCTAAAGGTCAGAGCTGTAACTGAGTCTATTTGGCGCTTATACAAAGTCGATAATTATGGCCTGTTCTACTTAGTGGTATGGTTCTATAAAGAACGGTATGCATTTATGTCCATGTCTACTGTAAAGTCTGGGACACATCAGGCTGACGCCAAGCAACAAGCATTAACGAAAGCCAACTATGTTTGGACAAAAAAGCTGTGCATGAACACACCAAATGGACAGCAGCCATTTATACTTCTGCGTCAAACGCCGGCGTATGCTACGGCGCTGACGCATAGCCCTTCGCTGTGGCTGTCGGCATGGCTGACGTGCACCTCTCAAAAATTGTAACTACACGTCGCAACGACGCGTAGCGCAAGCTCTGTGATTGGTCGGCTTGGTAGCGCTGACGAGTCTGGGCGCGACCGAGAGCCGCGCGAATGGCGCGAGCGATTGTTTACAAGTGTGGAGTCCCGTGAAGGAGCTCCAGATGGAAAGTTTTGTTTTGTGTTTACCTCATTGCACGTCCGCCGGTTTCTGCCTCAAAATGAGCGAGTTTGAGTCACTTGTACAACCAGGAAGTGTTCAGGAAACGCAAAACAGAAGCGAAGAAACTCGACACAGAGGAACATTTACACATCACTGCCAACTAGCGTTTCGGAAGTGTTAATGCAGACCAACAGAGACAGCCCGCAGAAGTATAAATGCACAGCTGCGCGCGTTGCCTGCGCCGTAAGTTACGCCGGTCACTTGACGCAGAAGTATAAACCAGGCTTTACCCACTCCCAGGTGGAAGTAGTCTCTTGTTTAATCCACAAAAGGATACCAAAACTTCCGATGCGCACATGCAAAATCGCAAACGATGCAGCATTTAGTACCCTTTTCACAGTACTCGTCGAGATTTGCTCCTGCAAACTCCTGAAACTCTACATGCTGTAGAGGCTAACAATTTGGCCAACAAGCTCAGACGTGCAGAATACACTAAACCAGTGGTTCTCAAACTTTTTTCATGAAGTACCACCTCAGAAACAATTTGTCTCTCCAAGTACCACCAAAATGAGCAGTATTGAAATACAGTAGCGTAGGCCCAGTAAAGCAGCTACAACTCTGCACGGTTAAAAAAAAACGTGGCAGATTACCTCAGAAATGTGGGCTATGTCATATATGGCACATTATATACATAATTTTTGGTAAATTTTGAAATGTGTGTAGCATGTACTTGACATATTTCGTTCCTCCGCGTACCACTAGAAGGAAGCCTGCGCACCACTAGTGGTACACGTACCACAGTTTGAGAACCACCGCACTAAACCAACTAGCCGAACCGAAGCTGACCAACAGCCCGACAAAGGCCAAGGGCCAACCGCCAGAATACCTAGTAGAGGTGTGAACCTACACTGGTATCATGGTTCGGTTATGATTATCTTGTCCTTGATTTAGTTCAATTCGATTTCTTAGTGCATCACGGTACATTGATGATGCTTTCCATACACGATTTTTTATTTTACTTCACAGCACATCAATTCTCTTTAACAGCAAATTAACTAATGTAAATTATTCCAATTGCTTTAGTGTTGTTGAGCGAGTTCTTACAGCCCTATGATTATTCACGCGCTTAACAGAAAGGGCTGCGATTGAATCTAATGATCTGGCGCTGTTCACCGATAAGCGACACTGATAAACAGACGTGGCATTCACAGCTGATCCATGATAGATGCGGTGGAGAAAACTCGCTCTGAGACACACTTGTGTCTGGATTAACAAATATCACTATAACAGCCAAGAGGAGAAGAAACAAGTGCGACATGTGAACGACCCTTCTTCGAGCAAAATTAACATTGATCGCAACTTGTTGAGGTGAACCATAGAAAGCTGTACTGTACTGAGCTGCTCAGACAAGACATTAAAAGCAGCAGTTCTCAACCCTTGAGATCTTCCCCACTCTGCATATTTCTCTCTAACAGATTTGTTCCAATTGAGTGCAAGTGCCTTGTGAAGTGGACATGACAGGATGTTGTCATGATTGCAGTTTGAAAGAAGTGTGTTTAATTCAAAAGGGAATTAAAGTGAGCAAGAAGTCTCTTGATTGTGGTTGAAAAACCCTTCACACAAGTTTTGTCTGAAGACACCGCAAACACTATTGCAAATCTTTATATTTAAATGAAGTTCAGCTTTTTTCCATGTGCGGGGGTAGCGAGCAGTGATTACTATGTAGGGAACAGTCCAATCTCTCTTCTAATAGTCTGGTTATCTAAATCAAGTGCGTTAAACAAGAGAGGGGGTCATGAGAACTAGGATTAAGAATCACTCAATTAAGGACGATGTAATAACTTGTAAGAAATTTTCATTGCATGTTTAATTTGTGTGCATGTTCTTTTGTTTTCATTGCATTGTACATGACTAACTATCTAACTGACCACTAATGACAATATCTGTAATGCAAGGCCTGTAAGATACCTTTGGTGTTTTGCTTTTGGCTTTTTTGTGCTTTCTAGGGGATGACGTCTCCTCTTCACCTACAGCCGGCTCCTCATCTGCTGGCTCTTCTTCCTCCTCATCATCCTCCTCATCCTCCTCTTCAGAGCTGCTGATCCTGCGGGTAGTGCGTCGTCTAGAAGAATCTGACGTTCGCACACTTATTCCTGCATCTGCCGTCCAGTCGGAATAATCACTGGAGGAGCGGCTTCAGTTATGAACAGAGAGGCATTGGAAACCATTAGATTAATAGAGATGGCACTATCGATTGAAAGCATTGTATGAAAGACTCTTTTTCATTAGCAGCACTAAACTGAGGTCCAAAAATAGCGATCGTTAATAAGTGAACCCAGTCTTGATTTTTGCATTCTCAAAAGACATGATGCACAAATGGCTTCATATGTTTCCGTCCAAAGATGGGAACAAATATCTCTAAAACATTTCTGAACAAAGCATGGTTTCCATCCAATGAGTCAAAGAGAACAAAATCGTCATTTCCTGATAAACTAGCGCTAATTATCAAGAAGAAGAACCACTTTGATGACAGACTTTAGCTGAGAGACTTTAGAATTTACAAAACAACATTTCAGATATTTAAAAATGTGGTCAGTCTGCAGGTTTGTCCAATGTTGTTATTATATCGCAACTATTTTTGTTATCACATGATCTGTTAAAACAAAACTCACATTATTTTTTTCACTGCGCATACTGAAACTGTAAATGTGTTTCCATTGTAGTTTATCTACATTTTTAATATTTTTTTTTTCTTATTCATGGCCCATTTCCACTGAGAGGTATGGCACGTATGCTTTTATGGCCATTTCTACTGTCAAAAGGTACCTAAAAGCGAACTGTACCATACCACTTTTTTTGGTACCCTTTGCAAATAGCACAATAAAAGGGTACCAAAAGGTGGAGCTAGACACAGAGCTGAACACTATTGGTTTACAGATACGTCACTCCCTCATGCAACAAGGCAAGAGAATGAAAACAAAAAAATGCCATTGGCGGACATTACACCATAATAAAATATATATATATATAATAACGAGCCATGGTCGAGCCGAGCTCAAACAAATCTTGTCATCATCTTGATGAACAGCCACAAAACCAAGAAGAAGAGCAGAATCTACCCTGTGCCCTGTAGTTTTTTTTTTACAAGGCCGTCTAAAGCGTGAGCGGTTTCGCTTTCTTGTATGTGCTCACTGCGCATCTATATTTGAAATAAGGAACTTCTTGAGCCGGTGATAAAAACGTGTTCGTGATTATCGAAATGCTTCTGACATCCGATCCTTTGAAAAACGGACAAACACCAGAGTAAAGCGCGAAAAAACAAAGGAGCAAATGATTATTTCAGCAAACATGAACAAACTGGCATGTTTAACTAATATCATCACCTTTTGGGCTATTATGAACTCGGAATTATGGAATGACTTTCTAACAAGAGGCTACACGTGCTGCTGAAGATAACAGACACAGATGAGAGGTTTATACTGCCTGGACTATACGTTTTGTGTTGTTTTTGAACCCTAATAAGGACTAAATGTATGCTGTGTGTAGTTCTTCTGTAATTGGTAACATATCGGAGACTGTAAGGGGCTGTGTGTGTTTATACATGCTGCATTTATTTATTTATTTTATATAATTGCAGACATTACAGTAGGCTATTTTGCACACTGATCATTGATCTGCATCTATAATCAAATCCTGTTCATAGAAAGGTTACTAATAAACATTTACACACAAGTATTTATGTGTATAAAGCATCTGTTTTGTAAGAAGTGCTTCTCATATGATCTATGAACAACCTGTTCAGCTTACTTTGACATTTCTTCTAGCGAGAATGATGTCTACTGAAACTTTCTGTCGTACACCAAGCCCACCCATTGGTACCCTTTTGGCAGTGGAAACAAAAGCCTGATAAAGGTGACCCGTACTGTACCACTTAGTGGAAACAGGCCATCAGTGCACAATTTTTTGCTCAATTCAAAATGTATGTGCATCCTGGTGTTTCAATTAATCGTTTTTTAATGCAATATCCCAACATGTGCAGTGGCAACCAGAGCCAAAACCATGTCTGGCAACTAGCTTTTCCCACCTCTCACATGGTTGCCCACTGAAGCTAAGCAAGGCTGTGCCTGGTTGGCACCTGGTTGGGAGATCACATGAGAAAGATAGGTTGCTGCCAGAATAGGTGTTAGAGAGACCAAGAGGGGGTGCTCAACCAGTAGATCATGCTGGACCTAATGCCCTAATATAGGAAAATAAACCAAGGTCTTGACTCTCTGTGGTTATTAAAAATCCCAAGATGTCTTTTGAAAAAGAGAGCATCTCTGCATGTAGTTTATTGGGTTCCACCAAAGACTATAAACAATATAAATACAGCCGTCAACACACATAACAACATAGGCTGAAGCAGACGAAGATATTCAAATAGATTTCAAAATAAAAACAAAATCCTCAATAGAGGTCAGTTCGATTTAAAGGTTCAAGAAACCCTCAAGTACTTTTTAAGACTTTAATAGATTTGTGTGTGTTAAGCATCAGTTAAGACAATGTTAGCACCTGTCAGCTTTAATTGTGGGAAAAAAACTGGATAATTTGGAGCTTTTGTCAGCTAATTTCATATTCCAGGTTTAAAATGATTTTTGGGGCAGGATCAAAATCGGCGACGTAGTGAAAACTCTAAGTGCAAAGATGACGCGTCGGTTTCCCATTATTATTCATAGCAGAGTTTTCTTATCCTATGAGAAGAGCCTGCTGCTTAATTATTTATGACTGCGCGTACTTTCCGAAGGCAAGACTGACCTGCCAGTGTCAAGCTGTGAGACCTGTTGATGACTGGGTTAGACTGCGTCCACTGACCCACAGCACGCAGTATTTAGTCGTTCATGAAGGGTCGTATGTGTTTGTTTCCATGATCCTCTGGGTTTGTTGCGTATTTTTCCCCGCAATGCTGTCAGGGCAGAAACAGCTAAGCTGTTTGTGTGCAGCAAGCATTTTTTTTTGAGAGAGCAGTACGAGAATTGGAGAATGGCCGACTTTGTCTGTTATCAGTTGAGTTTGTTCACATTTAGACACATCGCCGTGCTGTTGTGTTCGCCTAAATCCTCCAGCTTACCAGCAGGGCTAATGGATAAAATAGGCAGGGCAAGAGACCTGCTGCACTGAGTCTGCATTCAGACCCGGGGTTTGAAGGAAAAGCCCTTATTTATAGTGTTTAAATAAACACGATTGTCTTTATAATAATATAAATTGTAGTTGTGTAAATATGAAATTACAAATGACAAATGTAGCAGGGCATTAAATTACTGTTTACTTCTTTGCGTTTTAACTTTGTGAGCTATAAAATCATGCATCTCCTCACAGTTTGTCTCATTTTCTGAGCCGACTGAACACAGTTATTCGCTCCCCTCCTTCTCCCCTGCTCTGCTGGCCGTGCCCACTCCTGCCTTTAATCGCAGAGCTTTACGCCCATTATGATGCATTCTTTTTTAAATTTGAGGTAGACCTGAACGGAAAGTGGAGGGTGTCATGGCCCTTTAAGACCTCTGAAAAGCAGATTTAGGACCTTTTAAGACTTAAGACCTTATATTTATACTACCAAGGAATTGAAGACTTAATTAAGAGTGTTCACAGATCCTTAAAAAGTCTTATGTTGTTTTTGCAATTCTGCTTTTGCAATGACAGTAGCAGAGCATTTCACACAATTCCTCACTGAAACAATTATTGTGATGGCGGCATAAGTACCTTGAGCTATCACTCTTCCATTCCTCTTCATCTTCGGCGGATGAATCAATGTCACTCCCTTCCACTTCACTGGCCTGCAACAACACAAAAGGAACGTCACAGACAAGTCAAATATGGGTCAACCGTGCTTTAATAGGTAAATAAAACCCAACCTCAGAAGATGCCGTCTCCTCTCCCTCTTCACATGAAAACTCAATGTACTCTTCAGCCAGATTCTCTTTGCGCTCCTGATTCTTCTGCCGTTTGCGAGACTGTGTACGTTTCAGGCACGGCCCTTCTTCATCAGAATCATCCTACGGGTGAAAAGATCTTACCTTAGTGAGGTTCATTGACATCATTACTCATCATGAAGCAATGAGGAAGACGTACCCTGAATGTGGAGTGGGTCACTCTCCTTTTCTTGGTGTTGTAAAGATTCACCTCCTCATCACCTTTGGCTATTCTGAATGACTCCTGCGCCCTAAATGAACAAATCATCAAATATATGTAATCTAGAAGTTAGATTTAATGTATTTTTTAATGAAAATCCTTGCCTTTATTAGATAGGACAGTATTGAGACAGGAAGCGAAGTGGGAGAGAGAGAGGGGGGGTAGGGTAGGGAAATGTCCTCGAGCCGGGATTCAAACTCGCGACGCCCTGACGTGCTGTTGCACCATATGTCGGCGTGCTAACCACTAGGCTATTGCGCCGACTTTTAATAGAAAATCTTGAGCATTCATCTATGCATTCATGAAACTCGATCAGGCTGGAAAACAGCCAGGACACTGATAGATTAAGACTACCAAAATGAAAACATTATGCAACATTAGAAATCATAACAAAAAATAAAGTTGTCAAGTTGACAGATGAACAAAATAATCTGCTGTGATGGTAAATTCATTTGTTTCTTAACCAGGGTTTCTGCAGGTTTAACCAAGTCAAATTTAAAACATTAAGACCATTACAAATAAAATTTTAGACTTATACAGGGCTAAACTGATTATTTCTAATGGTGCGCTGGTTGCCAAAAAATAATAATAATAATAATAATAATTTCTTAGTGATTTATTTAAATGTCAAAACAACAAAACTCTAGTTGTATCCACTTTATTTTCAACGCAATATTTCTTTTTTCCTTTTTAATGACAAGTTTAACCTTGTTAAAAGTATATTTATTATACATGTTGCTCTGTTATTTTCAAGAGGAATTGTGTAATTGATTTTAGTTTTCATTCCATGATTAGAGAATTTACTTTAGAGAAATTGCTGTAAAAATGTCAAACAGCTTTGGAAAATTGTATCTCTTGGCATTAAAAAAAACCTTAAATATTAAAAATATGGATCCCAGCCAAATAAGGTAGCTTTTTTTAAAACAAAAAAATAAATAACGAAACACGCATTTAAAATTATTTGAGACCTACAAGACAAAATTTCAGTAAATTTAAGACTTTTTGAGGCCTACATTTTTTGGGGGGGGGAAATTAAAGACATTTTAAGACCCTGCTGGGACCCTTTTTATTCAATATTTATAAAGCACATTTAAAAACAACGCACGGTTGACCAAAGTAATATCCAAATGACTTGGATACAAAACAATAAAGGACATTACACTGAGAATACATAAATAAAATATACTCAAATACATTAATCAGACTCTTACAGTAAAAAATAATGGTTTTGAGTTTATAAGTGATGAGTAGATTTAACAGGTACATTTACCCCAGAAAAGAAAGTACATAGAACTTTCTTTAATTGAATTTCTATTCATCTTGATTTTTCAGAACTTTCAGTAGCTTATAAATTACTTAAACACAGCAGCACACATAAATAAATAAATCAGAACAGTCAAAGTGATACATTTTGTAAATTGTATTAAATTTCAATTAGTTTTTCACCAAACCGTATTATTTATCCCAGACAATACAGAGAAGAGCAAGAAAGCATTTCTTTTTTGCTGTTGTTTTAAATACTCTATTCAAACAAATGAAAAAGAAGGGCACATGATTTTAGACCAAAACCAGGATGAGTTAATGAGGAAAGTCATAATTATTTTGATGATAAATGATAATGAATTGCTGAAATGATCCACAATTTTAAAAAAAATAAGGTATTAAACTCTTCTTCATTTATCCTAAGCTTCTTTGACACAATCTACATTGTAAAACCACTATAGAATTAAAGTTTAATTGAATTTTAAGTACCTAAGGACTGTTTAATAGTTCAACAATTTACTGTCTTTCTGAATACCAGCACATGTCTAAAATGCACATAAATAAAAAATAAAATTATAAAAAATACTTTAGAGAAAAAAAAATAAAACACAATTCACCTGTATCCACTTGGGGTCAGCTCAGGAATCACGACCCTGCGTCTCCAGGCCTGAAGGTCTCTCTCGGTGGCCATCTGACTGCGTGGAGCGTTCTGGTGCATCTGCCGGACTCCCTCCACCTGTCCACTGCGCCGCAAACCTACATTAGGTGGAGACTGAACCTCCATGCGCTCGTTTACTGACACTGCAAATCAAACAAAGCAATGCCTTTTATTTCTTTAAAGAAACACAACCCACTGAACTCTATTTGAGATGGTTTACTCAGTGCATCTTAACGGTACCAACTTCTAGAATATGAAGCTTGTATAAATTAGGTTTCACTTCTGTAATCCTGCTCTTGCTGATATCTGAACTGCTAAACTCTCTATGGTGGGTTCAATCCAAATGTGAATTAAAGTATTCGAGTAAATAAATACATACAAAATCAATGCCAATGTTGGGGAGTAGCTATATTTTTAAGTAGCTTGACAGGAGATCCGCTAAATAAGATAAAGTGTAGCTTTTCCAGTAGCTAGTTACTTTTACTGGAAAATAACGGGAGTAGCTACATTATACATTAGCTGCAGTTCTGTACCTTGACTCTTGATAGCCTGAGAAAACTGTAATAAAACATTAAGCCTTGACATTATGATTGTAATGTACTGTTTAAAAGTATCAAATAAAATTGTAACACTACTTTGGTCACACTTTATTTTGATCGTCCGTTTGTTGAATTATGTTACATGTCAACTAATTCTCAGATTATAAGTAGACTCGTTAGGGTAAGGGTTAGTGCAAGTTAACATGTACTTGCAAAGTTTCTTAGTCAGTTGAATGTCTGTTTAGCAGCAGTATATTACAGTCTTATTATGAACAGACAGTCTACTAATACTCAACAGGACAATCAAAGGCCGCATTTACACTGCATGGTTCAAGTGACTCAATTACGATTTTTTCTGTCATGTGGCACACATCGAATATGGCCCATGTACATGTAAGCAGAAAAAAAACATGGATTTTAATTTACTCAAATCAGATTCAGGCCTTGTTCAAGTGGAAATTTATCAGTTATGAATCGGATCCGTGCCCTCGCTTCGGCAGTGCAAACAGGTAGATCGGATTTTCACCTGTCCATGTGAGTTACGCGTCATTAAAAACCATGGCGAATGACGTCAACTCTGACGCTTTCATTTTGAAACAGGCTTCAGCAGAGTCCCAAACCTTGAATCTCATATACTAGAACAAAAAAAAAGCTTTTGTATTGTCATAAGGCACAAGTATTTAAGCATTTTAACGAGAGAGAGAGAGAGAGAGAGAGAGAGAAAGAGAGAGAAAGAGAGAGAGCGTAACATCCGCTACGTAACTAATATAAAACTGTTGCATACATCACATGCATAAATCATGCCATGGACATGGCATTAAGATGCCTACTGGTTAAAAAAAAACCTAGATCAAAAGAAGATGTCATAAACTATTGTAAAACAACTTGTCAAAAAGAATTTCAAAAATTAAACCTGCAAACAGATTAAAAACAGGAATGGAGAAAAGAGTGCTCTTGTTATCAGCTGTCAGTCAGCACACGCTCTTTTTTCCTGGTCAGTGCGTCTTTGTCGTGTGCTTTGTAAATGACGTCAATCGGGTACAAATCACTTTTAAAAGATCATGTAAGCAGGTCAGCAAAAAAATGGGATGCAGTCAAAATAAAAAAAATAATTAAAATTTGACTCTGCAGTGTAAATGCAGCCTAAATTAAGTGTTACCGCTACTTTTTTTAAAGTAACTTGCAGTGTATCAAGCTACTTTAGAAGTGTAAGTTGACATATAGCATTTAGTTTAAGCCACCGTTTCAGAGTAGCTTTCCAAACTCTGGTCAAAGCACACATCGAAACAGAGGTGGAGTTCAGTTGTATGGTGCAAAGGTGGAATTCAAATGGTATCTTCAGTGCTAACTAAATCAGATAATTTTCAGTTTTTATAACTTTCAGGGTTCCCACGCTCTCATGAACAGCGGATTCAAGGAGTATTTAATTGTCAAAAATTGATTAAAAATTGTTAAAAGTCATGTTCAAAAAATTTTAATGAAATAAGTTGGATTCAATACTGGTAATATTTAAATGCAGTTTGTGAAATATTGATAAAATACGTATTATTTGTCATTGTATTGTACACAAGTTAATTTAAAATGTATAAATTTAGCAATTTGTTTTGTTTTATTGTTCTGTTTTTGACAATTGAGTACAACTGTTGAAATAGAACCATAATCGATTTGATTTTTTTATTTATTCCAAGCACTTTCAAAGACCTGTATTTAAGTACTTTCCAGGTCTTGAATCCATATTTTTAAAAGTCAATTACTTTTAAGTTCTTTCAAGAAGAGTGGGAACCCTGAACATTCTAATGGTGCATTCACACCAGACATGGATGAAGCGTTAAGCGCAAGTGATTTACGTTTAAGTCGATGCAAAGACGCGAACAGACATCCTAATAATGAATGAAGTGGCACAAATTGATCGTTTTGTGCATTAGTGTAATCGCTCGAGTTGGAAAATTTAAACCTTAATGGACATTTGTGTGATTACGACGTAACGCCTGTTGTTGGTGCCCTAAAGCAGTGGTTCTCAAACTGTGGTACGTGTACCACTAGTGGTACACAGGCTTCCTTCTTGTGGTACATGGAGGAATGAAATATGTCATGTACATGCTAAACACATTTCAATATTTATCAAAAATGATGTATATAATATGCTATATATGACATATAGCCTATATTTCTGAGGTAATCTGCCACGTTTTTTTTTTACTTTGAGTTTTAGCTGCTTTACTGGGCCTACTATGCTACTGTATTTCAATACTGCTCATATTGGTTGTACTTGGAGAGACAATTTTTTTCTGAGGTGGTACTTAATGAAAAAAGTCTGAGAATCACTGTCCTAAGGGGAAATCCCCCAGCTTGGCTGGGCTCAGTCAGAAGCACCACAGAAAACTAATAAACTTCCATCATCCAGGTTAAGTTTCTGGTGGAGTTGATTAACTCAGAGCAGGGTACACCTCTGAAAGGATCTAGTTGACACAGTGGCGAATGATCCTACTCTGTTTGTAAACCTTCATAAAGCACATAAAACACAGCTACTCTCTTAATAAAATCCTTGTTAGCCATTTAGCAACTAAACTAATGGGGTAGACAGAAGCTCTGCCCATGATGAGAACCCAAGTCTATTATAAAGTGACATTCACATATTAAGGCACCCTGTAATAGGTTTCATCTCGCAGGTGACGCATGTTTTTTTGTTAGCGCATGAATCAATAAAAACTGCTAAGATATTATTATAGATAATAAACATCAACTACCCCTAATGGTAAATGCAAACGTAGTGAAATGAGTGTTAAAAACGGGTGGTATGTCCGTAAAAGTAAACACTAGTGGAGTTGCATCAGTAGGCACCTCTGCGGGGAGTTCCTGGTTCTGGCACACGGGCAGCAGCAGGAACACCAGCCTCTCCCGGAGCGCCAGACTGTCTGTCTTGATGCTCTCGAAGCTGACGAATGGCAAAATCCAGAGCGCTGTGACGAACCTCCTCGCTCTCTGCAGACTGCTGACTGATCACCTGCTCCACCACCTCTCCATCACCTGAAACAGCAAAAAAGTCAGCTTCTAAAATCAGAAACACTCGCTATAATTTACTATGAAGGTTTTTTCGGTTGAAGCAAATGAAAAACCACTTTCAAGATCAGAACGCACGTCATCAACTGCTAAAATTAAAGTCTGGTGGCTCAAGATGAGGCATAGAAAGAGATGCAAAATGCTTGTGATAAAAATCACAATTTATCAAACAAGTTATATTTTATTTTTCAGAATAATTTTATTTTTCAAACACGTAACATTTATTTTAGGTCTCAGTCATTCAAATACACATAGCTACTAGCAGAATATAACATGTTGGTGTGGAAATATAAATTTATATCATCTAATTTCAAATTAACAATAATCTACGTATAACTAAAAAGTTATATTCTCTGTTTTTTTAATTATCTCATTTCATTAACATCCCAGCTAGGAGGGACATTTAACCTTTATCTTTCTGACTATAGGCTAAGCCAGTGATGCAAATGCTTTAAACGACTCTGTCTTTGTCTTCGGGTGTTGCTTTTATGCTACAGAAACCCTATGTTGATTAACTTGTGTGGTCAGTAGCTGGGCCGTTTTTTAACACCTATGCCATGCTGACTCCAATACTGAATTTGCATGCTTTGTTTAGCAATATCCCCTCCTCCTAAGAACACAATATACCCATGAAATCTTTGTCTTAATTCAGACTTGTGTGAGACTTGTGAAAGAACTTGCAGACTGCGGACCTCTAGTAGGCTCTTGCAGACACATGGACATCTTAAAGACGCTGTATGACTGCAGATTAACCAACACGTCTTAATAAAGGAATTCTGCTTGTTTCGAGTCTCCTGGACTGGGTTCTTCTCTTCTTTTCATCTCATTATTTTTTTTACAACATTGGGTTTGTAAAATACACGCTGATGTCTATAGAGTGGGCAACTATACTAATATTTAAATATAACTTAATGTGCTTTTAGTTAAGACACACATCGGATTAGTTACTAGAACATTTACTGTACTCCTCTTTTTGTTTAACAGCCACTTTCATGCATTTCGAAAGAAAATTATGAATAAACAATATACAGGATGGGCCCATTATATGGATACACCTTAATAAAATGGGAATGGTTGGTGATATTAATGTCCTGTTTGTGGCACATTAGTATATGTGAGGGGGCAAACTTTTCAAGATGGGTGGTCACCATGGTGGCCATTTTGAAGTCGGCCATCTTGGATCCAACTTTTTTTTTTTTTCAATAGGAAGAGGGTCATTTGACACGCCAAACTTATTGGGAATTTCACAAGAAAAACAATGGTGTGCTTGGTTTTAACGCAACTTTTTTCTTACATGAGTTATTTACAAGTTTCTGACCACTTATGAAATGTGTTTAATGTGCTGCTCATTGTGTTGGATTGTCAATGCAGCCCTCTTCTCCCACTCTTCACACACTGATAGCAACACCGCAGGAGACACTGCCAGCACAGGCTTCCAGTATCCACAGTTTCAGGTGCTGCCCATCTTGTATCTTCACACCATAGACAACATAGATAGTGGGGCCATTCTTCATCGATGGAAACCTCAAGACCACTGGATGTTTGAAATTGCTACGATGATGTGTTTCCCCTTTTATGCACTGAATCTGGCACGTTCCCTGAGTTTTTCCAGCAAGATGGTGCACCACCACATTATTGGTGTCAGGTCCGAGCATTCCTAGATGAACAGTTCCCTGAAAAGTGGATTGGTCGTCATGGACCAGCTTAATCGCCCCCAAGTTTTCCCGATCTAACAACCTTAGACTTTTATCTTTGGGGTCATCTGAAGGCAATTGTCTACGGTGTGAAGATACAAGATGTGCAGCACCTGAAACTACGAATACAGCACCTGAAACAACTGAACTTTATTACCCGTTTTATGCAGGTTCTGTTCACTTAAGTAGACATCATTGGTAGTAAACAAACAGTGCGTCAGCTCATGTGTGATTTTGCGGCCGCAACTACTTCATTACATTAAGATAGAAATGACATTTTGGGGTGAATTGTTCCTTATAAATACAGAATGTGACACTTGTAACACCATTTGGAGGTGTCCATGCTGGTAAGCAACGTATATAAAACAATGTTAAGACTTGTGTGACCGTCTTTACGCTTCCCACCTGACCTTAAAATTTGATTGGCTGAATCGTAAAAAAGCTGAATTAAAATTTGTGTAAAGTCGAATCAAGTTCGCAATCTTTTTCCGATTAATCGTGCAGCCCTAAGGCAATGGCAGACTAAGATCTTATGTGTATAACGGTTAATACAAAAGAAAACTGGTTTTGAAAATGGTTCTTCTGTGTAATATTTACAGTGAACGTTGTGGCTATGCCAAAGCAGTCAACAGAGAAACATGGACAACACTGTTATGACAACACTTACTTGTAGCAACATAGCCAAGTTGAGGAACAAGATGCTCATCTGCAATATTTTCTCTTCCTGGGACCAGTCTTTGGAATCTGGGAGGGTGAGGGTTTCCATCCACGTCAACCAGGAAGGGAGGCGGCATCAGGTGTGGTGCCTGCTGGGTCTGCTCATCCAGAACAAAACCATTGGTGTCCCGGATCAGCGGCCGGTAGTCGGTGTGAAAAAACACCTGGTCTGGAAGCTACAAATCATTTTGGACAGATCAGAGGTTTGAGGAATTACACTAAGGTACTTTATATGATCTGGCATGGTAAAAAAAAAAAGTTTTATCGATTATAAAATCAAACAAACCTTCTCATAAGGCTTGGAGCTTCCAAAGCCAAAAATAACCAGATGTCCATGAGAGTCTGTCATCGCAAAGCGATGGCCATCAGGGGTGAACTTGCAGTCAAATACAGCACCATGTCCTTGACCTTCGATCTGCACAACAGAAAAAACAGCATGTTTATAATTGATATAACTGATGAGACTTTATTTAGCTCGGACAGTCACAGTACAGATTGTTAACATTAGAAAAGATTTCTTTTTTTTTTTTAATTTTTTAAAATTTTTAAATTTTTTAAAATTTTAAAAAAATGAAATGCTGAAAATTCAGCTTTACCGTAATAAAATTATTCAAATAATATGAAAATACAAAAACAATGCATTTAGGCCCTGATCACAGTGAAGGTTTTTTTTTTTTTTTTGCGTTAAGAGTAGAGATGCACCGATACCATTTTTTGGAACCAATCCGATACCAACATTCTGAGTATCGATCGATACAGATAATAATATAATATAATAATATAATAGAAATAATATATCTACTTTAGTAAAAATAACAGACCTATGGCCTACATTATATGACAGACGACACGATCTTACTAAACATCATGCTTGCTATAAACTATAGGCTACATTATTTGAGCATTCATTATGACATTGATATGATCTGTTGTGGTCCAGCATATACGTTTCCTTTTTCAAAATTAGGTTTTTTCTTTGAAATCTGTACTAGGCTACCACTATTGACCATAATCGTTGCTAAAATAACCAGCTTTTTAGCAAAAACTGATATTTTCCTGCAGTTTTGAAGCAGACTAAACTAAACCATCTGAGGGCAGTTTTACTTAATAAACATTCCCTCGCCTAAACTCGCTGGAGTGAGATGGAGAAACTGAAAGCATGTCTGAACAATTCTTTTTTTTGTGTCTGAAAAGTTATCTTTTTAAAACCTATTTCAATTGGTATAATTTGTTGATTATGTTGTTTTGTTGGTCAGTTATCTACAAAGTATACAAGAATATTTGAGGTGAAATTCAAAACAAGGCCCGCTAATATGCTTCAGCGCGCAATTTTACAAACAGGTCTGTTAAATAAAATATTAATATAAATAAAATGACAATGAAATATTCACAGTTTCAGAGTAGCCTATCTTAGGCCAAATCATTTTCCCGTCAGCTTCAATTGTATTAATTTAATCAACTACTTTGACCACACTGAGCCAGGCTTTATAAACTACTAGCAGCACTGAACGTATTCACCTTGAAAGAATAAAATCAGTCGGAAGGAAGAGAGAACACAAACTCTTTATGAGAATAACTTTACGGAGCGGCGCACGTCGCTTCTGCGCAGCCGGTGCGCTTGATGAAGCGATTGATGCATCACTGAGACAAAGTGAGCAGCTCTCCGGTATCTGCAGACACTTTCAAAACAGCAGCACAAAAGACAAAAGTCAGTGCGCTGAGGATCTTTCCAATGTATTAGTGAGACTTTTCTAGTTTAAAGGTTTAGGTAGGCCTACTTTGTGTGTGAACAGCAGATAATAATCCTTTACTCCAGTATTGCGAATGTGATCTGCTGATCTAACAGACACAGTGCAACATGGGCAACATATTACGGGTCAATTGAACCCATTTAATGTCATTGAACCCATTAAATGCAAAACTAAATGCATTTCTCCACTGATTATTAAAAACTAACAGGAACAAATAGTCTTGGAGAGTTTTCCGTGTTGTTATGAAAGTGACGCCCAGTTTGAATTGTGAATGAATGGAGAATGATTGACAGGCGCAGCACTGAACATGAGTTTAAGCATCTGAATATTCATCTGTACTTCACAATAAACTATAGAACGGCTTCAGAACATTTAGGATACAGTAGACCTACATGACAACTTTCTAGTGCCTTGTAATAGGCCATAGATATATACACTAGATATCGCATAGGGACCCTGAGTATGCGTCAATAGCGCCGCCACATTGGTACAGTGCTCCCAGGACAAATGTCATTCAACCGCACTAGTCAAGACAGTGTTATTACGTGAAGATGCGGGACTTTAGCGCTGTCTACGGTGTAGTAACGAGCAAACAAAGAAAACAAAGCACAAAGGCAGAACATTTCATAGGTAATATTAAGTTTTTTTCTGTTTTTGTATGTTCTGAACATTTGTGCTAATCAGGTAACGTTATTGATGATAATACAGTCACTTACTGCATTCACCATAAGGCAAAGCAGAAAATCAGCAAACAATGCAAAAGAAATATGACAGCGAGATGCTGCGCCGCCAGAAACTTGTATTATTGTCGGCTAGTGAACGAGTCGTTCGAGTGATTCATTCACAAACGAATCGCTCCCTCCGTCAGTATGAGAAGTGAAAGCAGAAGAGGAGGTGTGTTTCAGGACATGATTAGATCAAATTTAACAGGGAGGGTGAATAATACATTTCTGTACACACAAACACAAGCTTTTTGTCAGGAATGTCCATGTGGTCACTGATACTTGCATACTAACATCCAGGAAAACTCCCAATCATAGATATATGTGTGTACGTGTATATCTCTGGCATTGGATGGCCACAGTCCTCCACTGTACCTTGGTCCCGCATTCATTTCAAAGGAGCACTACCGTGTACCAAGATGGCGGCGCTATTGACGCATTCCGTCCAATAGACAACAACAGGCCAGGCGACATCTAATGTACATATCTATGGTAATAGGCTACCTTTTGTTGGCTTATAAACTGCACTGAATATAGCGCACGAGCAAGATCGGATTTGGATCGGTGCCAGCTGGCCGATACCCGATCCAGCAAAAATATACAGTATCGAAGCAATATCCGATCCAAGAATCAAGATCAGTGCATCCCTAGTTGAGAGGCAACTTTGTAAAAAAATGTTTTTTAAAAGCCAGCGACCCTATGCCTATTGCCTGCGAGCATTTTGCACACTATTCGTGCACCTTGAGTTCTAACTGCATTGCGCCCCCCACAATTTTGAGAGCACTAAGAGTGCCTGCAAATAAAAGTTACAAAAATAAAAAAGGTTAAAAGATCATTAGGATACTCTACCATATTAAAGTAATGCATGGTTTTGGTGCCCTTGATGAGGTCCCATACAAAGACATTGCCATCATGACCAGCAGAGAGCATGATGCGAGGGTCATAGGGATGCGGCTCCAAAACAAACACCTCCGCCTCATGACCCTGCGAGCAAGTAAAGAGAGAGCCATTCAGCTTTATATCACATATCATTCTATTTTTAAATGAATAGCTGTCATTTCAGGGAGTTCACTAAACATACTCTACACGAACCAGGAAAACCTCTCAAGAATTTAAAACTACTGATTGGCTGCCTACTGAATTTGCAAGAAAATGGATCAAGAGGTTTGCCAAGCTGAAAGACAGTTTGAGCTTTATTTCAGGAAAATGAACAGTATTTTTTCGGTGAACTTCTCCTTCAGCTACATCTTCAGATCTGCGCAGTCGTACTTTAAGGACGTGCAGCAGCTGTCCAGTGTAGGAGTTCCACACTTTGAGGAGATGATTGTTGACGGCGGTAATGACTGTGTTGTCGTGGCGATCCCAGGACACCATGGTCACTTTGGGTTTGAAGAAATTTTCATCGTCTGTTAAAGGTGCAGACCTGTGTTAAACAAAAAAAAAAGGTGCAACTTCATTAATGATTGGTTAAAAGTGCCATGACCTGCTGGAGTTCATTATTCCATACCCTGGAAGAGTGGCAGACATGTCCAATAAAACGCTCTTCCACTGATGTCTCTGATGCAGTCTCCATATGCGGGCAGTGCCATCTCGACTACCACTCACAAACCTAAGACAAATCACACAATTATTTTACCGTCTTGTTATTTTAGCCATACATTATATGAACACAGCATACTAAAAGATTTGAGTTCATCACAATGAAGATTGAATAAAAAAAAAAAGAGAGAAATTGATTTTGTTATAGCCAAGCTCTAACATCCATACTTCTCAAATGTTTGTCTGTTGTAGTTTATAATGTATGTTGTGTGTCAGTTGAGTGCTAATGGGGTATTTGCACACACATTTTAATTTCAGTGAATTGTTATCCCATACAAAAATTTCTGCGTCAAAGATCTAATTTCTTTATAAAACAGTGGTCATCACTGCCTGACTGAGATACAATATAAAGTGGGTATAAGACCAAACAAGCAGCACTGCATTAAATGCAATGCAATTTTTCTGCAGCATATCTTAATATATGGAAATTATGAAACTGTAAACAGTCACAAAAAGCTTTCACCAGAAGTTCATCATTTGCTAAAAAACATTAGCTGTGCATATAGCTCATTATAATACTGTTTTATGACTTTCTTACTTTGAGTTTTTATCTTGTTTCTAGTCTAAATATTTTCAAATTCTTAAAAATCAAGTAAATTGAATAATATATATATATATATATATATATATATATATATATATATATATATATATATATATATATATATACACATACATATATAGTTTTAATAACTCATCTCTAATAACTGATTTATTTTATCTTTGCCATGATGACAGTACATAATATTTGACTAGATATTTTTCAAGACACTTCTATACAGCTTAAAGTGACATTTAAAGGCATAACTAGGTTAATTAGGCTGGTTAGGGTAATTAGGCAAGTTTTTGTATAACAATGGTTTGTTCTGTAGACTATTAAAAAATATATAGCTTAAATTTGACCTTAAAATGTTTTTTTTTTTCTTATTAAAAACTGCTTTTATTCTAGCCGAAATAAAACAAATAAGACTTTCTCCAAAATAAAAAGTATTATCAGACATACTGTGAAAATTTCATTGCTCTGTTAAATATCATTTGGGAAATATTTAGAAAAGAAAAAAAATTAAAAGGGGAGATAATTCTGACTTCAACTATATATACACACACATTTAAAAAAAAATAATAATTTACTACAGTGGCATGTTATTTTGCTCGTCTTACAGTCTCTCTATGATTTTAAGACAAAAAAAAAATTGCGACTAAAATGATATGACAAGTTTTTACTAAATTTCCAACATAAAACTTTTATTGTTTTGCTGTAAAAACTATATTAAATGTACACATATTAATTTAATTACTCTTTTGACTTTTGATAAATTCGACAGGAATATGAACCCAACTGTCCAAAATATGGAGTAAATTTATGCCAAATATTAAAAAAATGCAAACAGCACAAAAGAGACATTGAAAAAAACAACAACAAAAAAAACACTTAATTTTGACTTTTTTTTCTGAAAACGCATTTTTTTTTTGTAACTTTTTTGCTTCTTAACTTTTTTTTCTATATGGAATAGAAACAAGACAACATTTCTATCCAAAAAATAACATTTTCCACTGTAGTCAATGATTACGCCTTTCAAATCATTTTGGAATAAAGCTGAATTATTTTTCTGTCACAAAATGCATTATTAGACGACACTAATCCACCAATATTACCTCTCCCCAGAATGACAGAACTGGATGCTGTCCACCTTGTCCTACAAATAAAAACAAAAGCACTGTGAATCACCTGTTATATTCCCTAAATCTGTTGTTCACTCGTTTATTCCTAAAAGCCAGTTGCTCTTACTGTGTGAGAGTCGAGCTCAGCTAGTTTTTCTGGACTGCCACTGCCCAGGTAGTAGATCCTGATGACATCATCTGTGCTTCCTGTTGCAAGGAACATGCCACCTGTATGAAGAGAAACAAATGTGCACTGACAAAGCCTTCCCTAAACATACAAAGAATAAAAAAGGACAAGTAGTTGAAAATTCAGTCCATCTCACCAGGGCTGAAGGAAGAGCAGACGGTCTGGACACCAGGTCTCGGCCTCTCTGTAAACTTGTGCTGACGATCACTAATAAATAAATGGCAAAAAATTAGTTGTAATACTCATTGTTTGACCTCAGAGTCGTTCTTTTTAAACTTCTTTCTAATCTGTCAAAGCAGTGGTCCCCAATCCCTGGGCCGTGGACCGGTACCAGGCCTTGGATCAATTGGTACCGGCCCGCACAATAAATTAGGAATTATTTCCATTTTATTTATTGTCCAAGTCTGAACAGTGTTTTATTTTGAAAAATCTTTTATTTTGAAAAATGACTGTATTCTCTGGGCTAAATCTTGGTCACTTGAGCACCCAAAATTAAACTGTTTACATATGGCGTCTTTTTTGTGTGAAAGGTCGCTATTTCCAATAGAGGCGTGCGGTTTGTGCACGCATGTTGAGATCAGAGCGCGCATATTGGGAGTTGAAAACATCAAATCTTTTCAGAATGCCATGAGCGCACCGCAAGTCGCATGACAAGAAATGACCGATCAGCTTCATGGAATGGAATATACGCGTTTCGGTAGACTAATTATATCAGACAAACAGAGAACACCCCAACACTGCAGTGCTTCTAATTTTCTCCATAAACGCAACTTGTATCAGAGTTGCAGCAATGTTTTGTCAGCTTGTCATCTTCTGAGAAAACAGTTGATGGTCGTCTAGCAATCTAGGTACACCCACCACCCTTGACCGGTCCATGGTGATAAAAAGGTTGGGGACCACTGTGTTAAAAGATCCTCACCTGAATTCATTATTATTTACATCCCACTGCCAGAAACAGACAGTTGCATCAGTTCCTGTGGACACCATGTACCTTTTGGAGCCCTTGACAAATGGAGAGAACTGCAAAAAGAAAGAGGAAGTAGAAGCACCCGTTGAAATTAAACTGAACACGTTAAAAGGTTCTATTAAAATAAAATAATGTTTTTAGATGCAAGTATTAGTACATTGTTCTAAAGCAGGGCTATTCAATTGGTGGCCCGCGGGCTGAATCCGGCCCTCGAGGCACTTTGTTCCGGCCTTCCAAACGGTGTGACCAAGACATCAAAAATAAACTTCGTTCAGTCGACAAACGGCCGCTATAGTAATGAAGTTACGTGCGTCTGTTCAACAACAGCACAAGCTGCAGTTAAAGGCTGCACAGAGCGCGAGTCATCATAAGCGAGTGGTGCGGGCAGCCGAAAACATGTTTGTAGAAAAGGCTTTTTTATGCAATGCACTGATATCGTAAATAGGGATACAACGATTAGCCGATTTCACTATTAACTGCGCTTTAATTCGTCACAGTTTATTAATTGTCTTCTCTAAGCCGCATTTCTGTTGCACGGAACGAAACCACTGCAAAATGCCAAGTTGCTGGTGCGCTAGTTTTAAGTTTGAAGTACACCGAGGCTAATACGCACGCACACAGGATTAACTAGCAGCGGCCGTTCCCATATCACGTCTTTTCCGCTTGCAAGTTTGCTATTTCTAATGTAAGAATATATGACAATATGCCCGCACAAGCGCACGCAGCAGAAAACATCTCACGGTGAGAGTTGTGCGTGCCTTTTAGTGCAATGAAAACAAAACATATGTTAGACGAATTTTTATTAAAATGATTATGTATGGATGTATGCAGATGTCAACAACAGTTAATCTAAATAGCTACTTACCTAATAAAAAGCTTGAATTTACATTAGACGTGATAACTGTGAAACCACAATTATTCTTCAGATATAATCGTACAACCAAAATCTAGAATTGTTGCATCCCTAATTGTTATGCAGTTCAAACATATGAATGTGTCTGAATGTAGAAGAAGCCTACTTCAGCAAAGCACTGCTTTTGTTGTGCTCTGAAATGCAACATTTGAATGTTTGTAAAAAAAAAACAAAAAAACAAAAAAAAAAACGTATATTGTACAATGCAGTAATATTATGTAGTTTCAAAATACAATATATTAACATTTTAATGTAGAAAAAGCCAACATGGGTGTCTTAAGGAGCAAAATATACAGCATAAGAGCTCTTATATGCTGTTGTGTCATCACTCATGTAGCAAGTCATATCTCTCCGGCCCTTCGTTTGGGATGCTTTTCATGAACCGGCCCCCATGACAAACTAATTAAATAGCCCTGGTCTAAAGGATATCAATAAGATAGTGTTCCAAAACAGTGATAAAATTCCAAAAATAAATTTAACATCTAAAGCTTGCAGTTTATGACTTCTGCTTGAAATAGATCATTTTGTTGACATCACCTCATTCTTGTTTCTTATCAAATCTTCCAACCAATCTTTTGCTCACAAGTATCTGACATGTCCCTCCCAAGACTTCTCATTTGATGCATTTGAGCCAAAGTCCCTTTAAGGCATGTCATTTCACTCGGTAACGCCTCTCGGGCAGTATGCTTGTGGATTCTGTTTGAATGGGGAAACATCAAATTCTGCAAAACTACTTGCCAAGCTTATTATTACGTTTAATATTACCAATAACCTATAAAATTAAATAATATCCGTCTCTTTAGTTTCATTTCTAAATGTTCATATCACACAAAATCTGCAGAAACTCACGACTGGTCCGAGCCCCTCCCCCAAAGAATTGTCATTCTAAAGCGATAACTGATCTAAAACTGCTCCTGTACTAGAAGGCAGGCTTTATTTACCATAAAGCAATCACTGATTGGGTCCTGTGCTAGAAGGCGGGGCTTCGCCATATTGACAGTTACACTTTTTCCCATTCAAAAGTATACGAGTGACGTCTTGCAGATTCTATAAGCTGTGTCTCATTTCAGAGACTGCATTCTCCGAAGTATGCATTCGAAGTGCGCTGCGTCATCGCGGCAAGACGATCCTGTCTCATTTCAAGGGTCCTTTAAACGCAGCCTCAAAATGACCCCTTTGTTTCCAAGGTAATGAAGGACGCAGCCAGTGGATCCTTCCCGGCCTCGAACGTACCAAGATTCATTGCGAACTGATAAGGGTAGGATGTTTTTAAAAGAAAACTCTGGTTTAAATGTATGAATAAAGTTTATTTTATGTGGATATCTAAACACATGTTAAAATACAAAAAGAATATGACACGTCCTACTAAAAAGTTATTTTATACAGAGTTTACATTTTTATGTGTGTATGTATGGAAAGGAAATTTATTTCCAGCTTCCATAAATCTTGTTTTGCCTTTTAAAATCACTTTGAAAAAATTCATTGCAAATTATATATATATATATATATATATATATATATATATATATATATATATATATATATATATATATATATATATATATATATATACACACACACACACATACATACAGGGCTAAACAATAAGGACTGCCCGGTGGCCCAGGGCCAGCTTGAGAGACGCTTGGGACAGTAGACAGGATCATTAATGGCCCGATTGGGACAGTGCTGCCTTGTCACTAACATTTATTTGTCTGCGACTATTTGTCAATTGCGTGCTTTTTAAGTTTGTGCTTTTAAGTCTTTAAATGTTATCTTTTCTGTGATGTCGTAAACACCATATTGCTTTCTGGTTCCTCTTGTCTGATTTGATGTTGGTAACAACCAGTACAGCGAAGAAACAGCAACATGGCAGCAGCATCAAATTATAAGGCTAAATGAAAATGTCTGTTTCTATAACGTCTTGGAAGTAGGCATTTATGTGTGAACATCGCAACAACAAAAAATTAAGTGATGCTTTGCAAACTTTGCCGTCAGTTTGACAAGTCACCCACTTTTTGGTAAATAATTTCGATCCGCAATAAAATACCTCCACATTTTCTATACTGCTCTTTTTGTTTGCATAACACTTATATTAACATTTTTTTAAGTATTGAAATTCTAGATTCGCAGACTTTATTTTTGACACATTATTTAAAATATGCGGCTAAAACAGCTATTAATTTTCCTTTTTTTTTGGTGGGGCTCAGTGAAAATTTTGGTAGGGCAAGTAAAAATCTGAACCACTTGCCCGATCGGACTAGTACAAAAAATCCTTAGCGTTGAACCCTGATATATATATATATATATATATATATATATATATATATATATGTGTGTGTGTGTGTGTATGTGTGTGTGTATATATATATATATATATATATATATATATATATATATATATATGTGTGTGTGTGTGTGTGTGTGTGTGTATATATATGTATATATGTATGTGTATATATATATATATATATATATATATATATATATATATATATATATATATATATATATATATATATATATATATATATATAACCCTGTTCTGGTGGTTTTAAGACATCTTGATACAAAAAAAATCTACAGCGGCAACTGGAAAAGATGGTATAAAACAGCAAGGGCCTACCTAATTGGTCAAATTTGGATAAACAACCTATGTATGCACCTTTTAAACAGCTTGGCAAATAAATTAAATTAATTAATCTGTGATATGAATACGAGATTTAATACTATCTCAATAAAGATAATTTTTTAATATATAGTGCAGCCCTATAAAACAGTCATTATTCAACTAAAAATCAATTAAATACATGAATATGAAGATGGTAAATAGAATTCTTTGTGGCCATATTTTTAGAGCAGCAATACCTGCAAGATATTTTCTGTGAAACAGATTTCGAACCATGGTTCTCAGTCGTTTCCAATCCTGCCCCTCCCTCTCTCTCTCTCGTTCTCCCACTTTATTTACTGTCCTCAGTACAACGTGACCTCGATTTCCACAAAACAGCAGAAGAAAAATAATAGATACTGTTGTCATAGAATAAGAATGTGCTCCAGTGGCCTCTTCATTTGTGGTCGCATTGCAATAATTTATTTTCTCATTTCTGCTAACTTGCATCATGGCTAGGATTGAGCTAAAGAAAAGACAAAAAAACAATTGAGGTATGAAACTGAATATGCCCTCCTTTCCTTTGTTACCCCAAAAAATAAATAAATAAAAAGAGAATCTGAAAAACTCTCAGTTCAGGGGCCTCATGTATCAACGCTGCGTACGCACAAAAACTTTGCGTACGCCAGGTTTCACGCTCAGAATTGCTCACGTTTGGGTTTACTAGCAACGAACTGAACGTGGGAATGTGCGCAGCTCCACGCCAGCTTTATGGCTGGCGTACGCACATTTTTTGTGTGTGTCTGTGTTATTGCCATTGGCGACTCCTAGAGGCAGTTGTGTTAAATTGCACTCTACAAAGTGTCTTCTCAGCTGTATGAGATGGGTTCATCCGCATGTCTAGTATATAAGGTTTCCGTACCATACAGTTGACCATCCAAACATTAAAGTGCAATTTGTAGCGGTCGCCTCTTTTCCCAATTTAATTGGAGTGATCTACTGCACACACATTTCTATAAAGACACCATCTGAGGATGAACTGGCATACGTGAATCAGAAACATTTCCATTCAATAAGTGTGCAAATAAAATTTGATGTACAGACTTATTAATGATTCCTACTTGTCTTTATCATGATAAAGACTATATAGGCAAAATCTGAACGTGTCAAAAGATGTTGCCATGGGTTTAACGAGCTGCGCCACTTAGGCTGTTAAAGACTAAATAAAATTTTACACCTATAGATCTCAATATTTCTTTTTTAATCCACTCAGTGCGATATTCAGTTAACCGCATCAGCTAAACTCTCCCCACTATATTAAAAATAATAATAATAATAATAATAATAATAATAAATCTCTCCCCAATCTATTTTTTCTTTTGTTATTAATTCCAGAGGACAAACTTGCAAATAAAACAGTTTTCCTCTGGTCTTCCTCCAAAAGCAGCACCTTCAATTCACATTCTGTTCAAAGTTTCTTTTTTTGCTTGATTTTGCCATTGCTTTTTCGTTGGGTTTTGCCAAAGTAGAGTCATTAGCATATTCATACGGGGGAGGAGGCAGGGAGGGGTTTTGCACTCGTGCATGTTGCGCTCAGTTTCACGATCATTCAGACGTACAAACAGAATATGCGTGAGATTCGGCGTACGCAGATTTTTTTGCGTACGCACATTTACAGCTTTGTGCGTACGCAATGTTTTAGTATGATTTCCATGCAAGTCTTCGTACATAAGGCCCCAGGTCTATGAGAAGAACTGCATGAACCTTTAACAATCACGGCAGAATTCCAAGTTAAGTAACACCAAGTGTTATATAATGAAGATATACAGTCAAAAAAATGATTCTCCCTTCTTTGAATTTCTTTTCCTTTTCAAATCTTTCCCAAATTCTGTTTACAGAGCAAGGATTTTTTCACAGTATTTACTATAACATTTTTTCTTCTGGAGAAAGTCTTATTTGTTTTATTTTGGCTAAAATAAAAGCAGTTTTAATTTTTTAAACCCATTTTAAGGTCAAAATTATTAGCCCGATTCAGCAATATATTTGAAATAGACTACAGAACAAACTGTTAAACAATGACTTGCCTAATTACCCTAACTTACCTAGTTGACCTAGTTATGCCTTTGAATTGCACTTTAAGCAGAATACTAGTATCTTAAAAAGATCTAGTAAAATATTATGTGCTGTCATCATGGCAAAGAGAAAAAGAAATCAGTTATTAGAAATGAGTTATTAAAACTATTATGTTATGACTTCAACTGTATTATATTACTGTAATTACAGTTTATTTTGTTTTACACTTCCTTTAAAATATTAACAACAATGATATAAATATAATACAAAATTGGTGGTAGTGTATAGCAAGAGTGCTAGTGTCATTGTTATTAGGATAGATAAAGCTCATAAGCACACCTGCCAAGGGTAAGATCACCAAAAAAATTTTTAATGTACTCATATGTACATTTAATATGAACTCAAATTGTCCGTAGTGTATGAGTGTGTGTGTGAATGTGTGTGTGTGGATGTTTCCTAGAGATGGGTTGCGGCTGGAAGGGCATCCTCTGCTTAAAAAACTTGGATAAAGTGGCATTTCATTCCGCTGTGGCGACCCCGGATTAAGAAAGGGACTAAGCCCACAAGTAAATGAATGAATGAATGAATGAACGAATATCTCTAAAAATGATCAATTGCAAGATTAAAACGAGTAGATTTTTTTAAAATAAAGCAAATGCGTTGATTAATCATTACTAATGGTGTACATATATTTTGCAGCCAGTTTAGATGTTATATGGACCTTTACGAACTTTTATATAACAAAGTTTTTCGGAGCCGTTTAATCTATTATCTACTTTTTCTTTCTGTATCGGCTGTGCGCGCTGTCGACTATGAAACCAGACAGAAAGTAGTTTTTAATTAAAGAGTACTGATTATTAATAGCATCCTGTACATATATTCACTCATTGTAAATCTGTTCATAGCTAACACAACCTCTATATAATATTCATAGTACATCCATCTGTAAATATCACCAGAGTTTTTCTATAACTGCACTTTATAACTTATACCTGTATCCTGCACTTGCTGCTATGGCACTGCTGGTTAGACCTAAACTGCATTTTGTTGCCTTGTACGTGTACATGTGTAATAACAATAAAGCTGAATCTAAACTAATGGAAAAAATGCATATGAGCTTTAGAAAGTGAAAGCTAAATTTGAATCCCGGACATTTTAGGATTTAGAAACCTGGGCCAGACGAAGTCCCAAAAATGTGCGTCTCTGTGGGTCTGCAGACCACGTGAACGAAACTGGTAAACGAGAGAAGATTTTCCACTACTTAATCAATCTTTGATGTTTGGTTATACTGAGCGGATACAAAATGTGTAATAGGATGTTAATAATAGTAAAAAAAAAAAAAAAAGTGTCACTAAATATACCTGGGCGACCCGCACAAGTAAACTCTATGTGTGGGAAGCACTGGGCGGAATAAGACGAACATTTCTCACGTGAGATTGCAAAGAGTGCAGGCGATATATTGCAAATTAGACAAGGTTAGTCAGTTAAATTATGCAGCTGTAGGTATCGCTTATTTAGCAATAATTCTCCAGTAGGGATAGAAGAACTGTAAACGTCAGAGCTTATCCATACTTCACTCTTTTATAACTTAGCACCAGTATCAATAAAGTGCCGAGTATTGGTACCCACCCGTAAAGGCATCCCATGAAAAATACAGTAAAATACTTAAGCTCTCTCACCTGTAAAGAGGTAATAGACCCACTGTGGCCCTGCAGGACTGCCACTGGGGCACATGTACGAAGGCACCAGACTCGAATGGTTTTGTCGCAGCTCCCCGCCGCAATAAGAGTATTCTCAAAGTTAACAGCGAGGTCTGATATCTCAGCGTAATGTCCTCTGAGAGTGGAGTGAAGCCTTCCGTCAAACGAGGACCAGATCTTCACCAAGGCATCGTCGGAACCCTGAGAGCCAGGAAATAAACAGGCCCAAGATTAGGGATGTTAATTTTCCATGAACGATCATCATTTAAATAAACAGCCAACTTATCGTTAACCTTAATCTTTTAAATTGTTTACTTCAGAGGAACTGGTTATTAAGAATTTGGCTCTTCAAACAAGAATTTTAAAAGTATATATTAGTACAAGGTCAACAAATTAGTCACTAAAAAGTACAAAAACATACCTTTGTAGATTTGAAGAAGGTATCAGGCTGTTTTTGGACTTATTTCAGTGTGTAAAGTGATACAGTTTTAGTAATCATAGCGCTTCACTTTTTCCACATTTTATGTTACAGCCTTATTCCAAAATGGATTAAATTAAATTTCTTTCCTCAAAATTCTACACACAATACCCCATAAAGACAACAAGAAAAAATATTTTTTTAAATTCTTGCACATTTATTAAAAATAAAAAAACCTGAAAAATCACATGTACATAAGTATTGTCAGCCTTTGCCGTGAAGCTCTAAATTGAGCTCAGCTACATTCGGTTTCCACTGATCATTCTTGAGATGTTCCAGCAGCTTAATTGGAGTTCACCTGTGGTCAATTCAGCTGATTGGACATGATTTGAAAAGGCATCATGTCTTTGATGCCTGTCTATATAAGGTCCCCGGGTAGACAGTGCTTTGTCAAAGCATAAACCAAGCATGAAGACAAAGGAATTATCCTCCAAGATTGACCTCCGAGAAAGGATTTTCTCAAGGCACACGGCTGAGGAAGGTTACAGAAAAAATTCTGCAGCTCTGAAAGTTCCAATAAGCACAGTGGCCTCCATCATCCGTAAGTGGAACCACCTGGACTCTTCATAGAGCTGGCCGGCCATCTAAGCTGAGTGATCGGGAAAAAGGGGCTTAGGCAATGAGGTGATTGATAACCCGATGATCACTCTGTTTGAGCTTCTTCTGTGGAGAGAGGAGAACCTTACAGAAGGACAACCATCAGTGCAGCAATCCACCAATCAAGCCTGTATGGTAGAGTGGCCAGACGGAAGACACTCCCTGCCTGGAACTTGCCAAAAGTCATCTGAAGGACTCTCAGATAATAAGAAACAAAATTCTCTAGTCGGATGAGACTAAAATTGAACTTTTTGGAGTGAATGCAAGGTGTTACACTTTTGGAGAGAACCAGGCATCGCTCATCACCAGGCAATGTACAGATACATCCTGAATAAAACCTGCTTCAGAGTGCTCTTGACCTCAGACCGGTGCAACGATTCATCTTCCAGCAGGACAATGACCCAAAGCACACCACTAAAGCATCAATGGAGTGGCTTCACAACAACTCAGTGAATGTCCTTGAGTGGCCCAGCCAGAGCCCAGACCTAAATCCTATTGAACATCTCTGGACAGATCTGAAAATGGCTGTACACCGTCGCTTCCCATCCAACCGTATAGAGCTTGAGAGGTACTGCAAAGAGGAATGGCCAAAAAAGACAGGTGTGCCAAGCTTGTGGCATCATATTCAAAAAGAATTGAGGCTGTAATTGCTGCCAAAGGTGCATCAACAAAGTATTGAGCAAAGGCTGTGAATACTTATGTGCATGTGATCTTTCAGGTTATTTATTTTTAATAAATTTGCAACTATTTCAAAAAAATAAAAACATTTCACATTGTCATTATGGGGTATTGTGTGTAGAATTGAGGAAATAAATGAGTTTAACTCATTTTGGAATAAAGCTATAACATAAAAAAATGTGGAAAAAGTGAGGCGCTATGAATACTTTCCAGATGCACTGTAGATTATATAACACTTTTAAAATTCAGATAAATCTTTTTCCCCGATTCAATACTACTTTTACCAAAAATACCAGTTGCTCCATGCGTTCAGTATCAGATTCATATCTTAAAATGAAACAACCTAATTTAGATGTAGTTTGAGCTTACAGACTTGCAATGACAAGAACAACTGGATGAGTTATGAACAACAATTCTATCCTGGTTGTTGCTAGAAGGAATACAGCTGCTGCCAGATGTTAACTAGAATTATTTATATTATTTATTACATTTCCCATTAATTGTATTTTATTAACATCTACCCCCACCCCAACTCTAAACCCAAGCAAAAACAGTAATTATTGTTGTATTACTGTAATAATAAAAATAATTCTTATTAACTTCCAGCCACAGATATCTCCCTTTTAGACTTTACCTACAACTCTGAATTCGGTCAGAGTCAATAATACTTTGTCCTTCAGCAAATAATCAGGAAATTTTCACTCCGAAAATAACTAATCCTTTAATCCCATCAATAGATCTTGGTTATTGATCAGTGATTAATCATTATTATCTCTAGTCAAGATCCAAAACAAAGGCCCAGGGAAGTCCAACAGATTTTTGATGCTCACCGTAAAAATCCTGGAACCTGTTCGATCAAAGGCGATACAGTACACAGCAGAGAGATGTCCCAGGATCCTCCTGTGCATCTTCATGTGCTGATAATTGCTGACAGGGTTGATGGAGCTGAAGCGCTGGGCTCCTGTGAGCTCTCTGCCTCGGCACACCTCCACTACAAAGAAAGATAGGAAACCCACTCAGAACACTTGACGTTTAAGCTCCATTTCTGCCAAGACATGAAGTCATGAAAGTGTGCCCCAATTTGCATACTCGAATACATAAGATTGGACATTACTGCCACCCCACGCGTTGACCAGAGCTGGTTCTGGAAGTATTCTTATACTTTATCCTCATTGCTTTAAAGGGTTAGTTCACAAAGACATGAAAATTCAATTATTCATTATTTCACCCTTACGCTGGAACCTTTCTTCGTCTTCAGAACACAAATGAAGAGATTTTTGATGAAATCTGAGAGCTGTCATCTTCCATAGACAGTAGAGCTGCATGATTCTGGCTAAAATGAGAATCGCGATTTTTTTGCTTAAAATAAAGATCACGATTTTCTCACGATTCTGTATATGTTAAATAAAGGTATGGTAAAAACAAACACATGGCACAACATCGATAATAATATTATGTGGTCTACTGGTTTTTATAAATAATTCTATTCTACTTATAATAATTATGATGTTAAATTATTATGTTTGAGGAGATATTTGCTTGCATTCGGTCATAAAAAAATCAGACATTTGCCATTATCAGACTATATTCAACAACAACAAAGGCTAGAGTAGTTATACTGACATTGTAAACACTTATTTTCATGCACAACTGTGGGTTCGCTATGAAAGAAAAAAAACATCTAATGCTTGACTTAATCATAACTCTAAAATGCGATATGATTATTTAAATGAAGTGCACACTTTCGGTTTCATTTTGACTGCTAAGTGCTTGTTCATACTTCGCGCGGCTCCCAAACGATCACTCTGTGCCACGAACTGAATATTATTTACAACTTTATAACCTGTTATTTGCAACATATGCAGGTTCTGTTCACTAAAGTAGAAGCGTGCATCTATCAAGTAGAGCGCGCGCACGCGCCCTCTCTGTGATAACAGCTCACGGCCAGAAGCTCACGTCACGTGTAATTTCCCGGCTGCGAAAACATCATTATATGAAGACAAAAAATGACATTTTTAGTTGAATTATACCTTATAAATACATAGTGACTCATTCAACATCAGTTGGAGGTGTCAGTGTCACTGAGCAACGTATGTGAAACAATAAACAGACTTGTGCAGCCGCCTTTTCTTCTCTCCTGAACTTGACAATATGATTGGCAGAATCGTAGAAATGCTGGATTAAGATCGTCTAGGGCAGGGGTCTTAAACTCAATTTACCTGGGGGCCGCAGGAGGCAAAGTCTGGGTGAGGCTGGGCCGCATAAGGGATTACACAAAAAAAAAGTCCTCAAATGTCATTATTAACAGTTTTAATTATTTCTTCTGAACATGAAGTGTCCTGAACATTAATAGAACATTGAGTGAAGATTATGAACAGTTCTTCTGAACATGGCATCTTTTCCCTACTCCTTGCTGCCAGAGACTTGACAGCGCTTCTTTTCACAAATCTGAACCACATTTGGCTTTAGAGCGGAAGCAGTTGAGACCCTCAGTATGGAACTTGGGGAGGGGGGGGGGGGGGGTGATTGGTGCAGATCTGCAGAGTGGATGCGCGCGTACTGAAGAGCGGTGTTATTGCGCACGTACTGATCAGCTGTGTTGTCACGCGCCTACTGAAGGGCGGGACCGAAGGTGTGCCGCGTTGCGGGGCTACTTTTGATCATTTTGGAAGGGCACTTTCTATCCAAGACTAAAAAGGGCATGTGCACTGCACAGGTTGAGCCCTATGTGTGCACGTGCCTGCCCTCACCTAAAAAAAGGCGTATACATGTATAAATAAAACACCCCCACCCCACTCCAGTCACATCAGTCTGTACCAGTCTGTATCTACCTATAATATATATAAGATGCAGGCTGTAGCTAGGTAGGTGGCAGGCTGCAGATAGGTAGCTAAGTGGCAGGCAGGGGCGGGAACAGCTTACCTTGGTTCTGGCCGGCGCGAGTTCTCTCCCGTCACTTCCCGCCCGTCACAGCGTCTAACAAAGAAGCGGGGTGCGTGGTGACGTCACCGGCATCCCCGACCCTTTGTTTACACGGCGGGCGGGGGAATCCCAGTGACCGCTGTGTACGGATAGAATCAGCGGAGCGGGGAGCGCTCCGCTGATTCTGTCAGTGTACAGCGGTCGGCGCGGGCCACAAAATATTGCACTGAGGGCCGCAAATGGCCCGCGGGCCGCGAGTTTGAGACCCCTGGTCTAGGGGGTCGAATCGAGATCGCGATCTTTAAATTGTGCAGCTCTAATAGATTAATTGTGCAGCTCTAATAGACAGCAAGCTTCTCAACTCTTTCAAAGTCCAGAATAATACCCAAAACATTCTCAAAACAAACCATATGCCAACGGTGATTGAATCGGGATTTCATTCATCTTTATTTCTATAGACCTTTTTCTTAGAACGCAAAATAACCCATTATGTATGCACAAGGAGGATGCTAAAAACGTCCGGTCGGCAGCTGATGTGTATAAAGTCTCACATTTGTACTAAAGATGGGTACCGAAACTTGGTACTTCATTGGTATCGGTGCTAAATTATAAAAAATCGAAAGTATCGATAAGCTCTGACGTTAGCGGTTCAGCTATCGATACTGGAGAATTATTGCTGAATAAGCATTACTTAGGCAATGCAGTGGCGCAGTAGGTAGTGCTGTCGTCTCACAGCAAGAAGGTCGCTGGGTCGAACCTCGGCTCAGTTGGCGTTTCTGTGTAGAGTTTGTATGTTCTCCCTGCCTTCGCGTGGGTTTCCTCCGGGTGCTCCAGTTTCCCACACAGTCCAAAGACATGCGGTACAGATTAATTGGGTAGGCTAAATTGTCTGTAGTGTATGAGTGTGTGTGTGCATGTGTGTGTGGGTGTTTCCCAGAGATGGGTTGCGGCTAGAAGGGCATCCGCTGTGTAAAAACTTGCTGGATAAGTTGGCGGTTCATTCCGCGGTGGCGACCCCGGATTAATAAAGGGACTAAGCAGACAAGAAAAGGAATGAATGAACAAACATTACTTACGGTAGCATAATTTAACTGACCAACCTTTTTTATTTTCCGATATTAGTCGGTCTGCACAGTTGACAATTTCACATGAGAAATGCTTGTGTTTTCGGCCAAAAGTACAACGACGAGCACAACAAGTAAAAAAGCCTTCACACTTAGTGGAGGGTCGCGCTAAGCGCACACACATAGCTTGTGACACAGACTCGTGCACATACACAGCTCGTAAACTTGCAGAGTGGCAGAGTGGCCCTCTGCGTTTCACTTTCCATTGACTTTTAATAGAGTGGCTTCAAGCATTGGCTAAATGAATTATGGGTTAGTTATCAATGAGTCACATTGGGTCTGTTGTTTGCTGCAAAAGTTGAGAAATGTTCAACTTTTCAATTGCCAACACAGGTGTCGACCAATTAGATTAGTTTATGTGAATACTAGCGCAGACACTATCCAATCACAATCATGCAACAGAATTGAACAGCGGTCTGTCAAAATGGGGGAAAGCTTACTATCATAGTTGGAAGTCACCCAGTGCTTTGTGATCACTCATGACGATTACAATGTCATGTGAATGGGTCATTACATATGATCCACCAGTGCTTTGTTTCAAACAGAGGAAATTGTGGGCTTGCATCATGAAAGTGTATACTCTCTACTGACTAAAAGAAACTACTGAAAAGTCATCACTTTTGTTTTACGTGCACACAAATGTATTCTCAGATTTAACCACTGTAGGCATATAGACTGCATCGAGTATGTTTCGGGGTATTTTTGATGAGGGAGCTATCAGGTTTCAACTAACATTTGTTCATCTGCACTCCATAGAAGAACAAAGGTCTCCGGGGGTTTGGGATGACGTAAGGGTGAGTAATTAATAACAGAATTTTCATTTTATTGTGAACTAACCCTTTAAAGTCATGATTTAACTGTTATAACCCATGAAGGCCCAAACAAACCAGCTATAAGATGAATCAAAACGTCACAAGCTGATTTAGAATTCAGTTAAGTAGTATTTAAATCGAACAAAAAGCATCAAGTGTGCAAACTATGTCATGTAACGTTAGTAGGGATGTAACGGTATTGTAAATACCGTCATACCGCAATAATAATTTTTTTCGATATTACCGAAGTCGCATGACTCGGTAAAACTATAGGTCTTCTGTGAAAATTTGCTCAGGCGAATGAAGCGAACGGGAGGTAGCGAAAACTACAATTCCCATCAGCCCATGCTTGACCATCATCCCTTGCGGTCTGTTGTCGCTACAGATCCAGTAATGCGGAAATGGAGTGTGCTGCTAGAAGCGGGGATGAAAAAGAGCTGGAAAACTCTAAAGCGGGTGTTGTCGCCGCAGGCGTACTGAATAGCGGTGTTGTCGCGCGAGTTCTTATCAGCTGTGTTGTCGCGCGCGTACTGAATAGCGGTGTTGTCAGCACACTGTTCAGATTGATGCAGACATGAGACCTCTATCTCACTCATGGTTAGTCCTCTCAAGTGGGGGAAAGACAATGCACAACGTTACCCACTGCTGTCAACCTGGGCCAAGTCATATCTCTCTTGTCCCAGAAACCTCAGTCCCAAATGAGAGGGTTTTTTCTGTTGCAAGGGACATTGTAAATACCTAGAGATACCAGCTTTTACCAGATTATATTTATATAATAATTTACCTTTAAACCCATCTCTATCTAAGTGAGTGAGTGATTAAATGTTGAATGTGATGAGTTTTCAACAATACTAAATTGAAACTTTATTTTTTTACATGGTTTAATATTTTTTTTGTTATTAAAATTGAAGTTTCTGTTTCAAAGCTAACAGATAGATGGCTAATTTGTATGTCATTGATACTTTTGGCACTTTTTTGGAGTATTTTCATAAGTTTTGTTTTTTCCTGTAAATGATTCAATAAATACCGTACCGTGACATTCATACCGAGGTATTACCGAACTGTGAAATTCTGATACCGTTACATCCCTAAACGTTAGACATATCTTCAATGAGTCAGACGGACAATGTCATCTTGCATAATTTTCTAACATCAATGTTCACGACGCTATGCAGCATCCTTTTTTCCCACTCAGTTCCTCAGGGTGCATTAATGGTTTTTCCTCACTTCCTAGATATGAGTCCCTCATACAAGCAATTACTGCATAACAAGGTTACTAAGTGTTTTCCTTCATCCACAATATGCTTAAGAATAAACTATTTTTGCCTATTTCTCCAATATCCAGAGTCTTTTCCAGTACTTTTCTAAGGAACCATTTAGGATGGCATATTTGCCACAATACCATTGTTCTCTTTTTTTAAAGACTTTTAAATATTTAACTATTATGGCACTAAAATTAGTTACCCAATAGTAAAACTAAAACTTTGGTAAAGCCATTCATCTAAGTTTTTTTTTTGTGCTGGGATATTTTAAATCCAAATTAATCTCAGGATCAAGGTATCAACTGTTATCATTATTATTACCCATTTAGTAAGACAGGTTATTATGAACATGACATTTCCAAGCACTTCATCCAAAATCGAAGCATTTTTTAAACCCTGGAACACTAGATTAAAATTCCAGCATTTTCAAGGATTTCCAGCACCTGATCGAACCCTGCTAAAGATACTCACCAATATTTGCATCCTTGCAGTTTAAAGGCCTCTCTGGTGGTCTCCCTCTGTGAAGGGCTGCGAATGTAGAGGTTTTCCATCTGCTAGCGCAGCAGTCTGGAGATATTGAGAGAAAGCAGATAGTGGTGACAATTAGACTTGGATAACTGAGGAACTATCCAATGCTGTGGGTCTGAATCACCTGATCTCACCTTTTGATGTTCGGAGTAAAGAGTGTCTCCCGGCCCCCAGTAGAGAGTGCACTCCTGGCACACCAGACGGGACCTCTCGGTCCAGAACCGGACCGATTTGCTTGCATATCTGCAAAAGGTGGTCTGGTGCAATATGCCTGTTGGCTGTGACCTATCAAAGGGAGAGATTTAAGTTCATTTTCATATCTGCTTCCCAATAGTTTTCAACTATCAGTAACGAACTTTCAACTTTCAGTAACGAAATTAATTATGGGTTAGTTATCATTGAGTCAAGTTGGGTCTGTTGATTGCTCCAAAAGTTGAGAAATTTTCAACTTTTCAATTTTTAACGCCGGTGTCAACCAATTAGATTAGTTTATGTGAATACTAGCGCAGACACTATCCAATCACAATTATGCGACAGAATTTAATAGTGGTCTGTCTCAAATGTATTCTCCGATTTAACCACTGAAGGACTGCTTCGAGTATGTTTCGGGGTATTTTTCTGGACATCTCAGTTGGGAAACGTTGCGTTCAATGGAGGATGAGGGAGCTCTCAGGGAGCTTTATCTGCTTCCCAAAATATTTCAAGGCAAAAACAGATGAAGAATTTACAAACACTGTAGATAAACACTTTGGGTGCTTTCTCACCTGTGGATCGATACTCTTATACCGAAACAGGGATTAAAATAGTTACATTGTTGCTCTTTGTACTTGGTGCGGTTCGCTTTTACACGGCAAAGTTTCTAAACGGACCAAAAGAGCTAAAACAAGTCTTGTGTGAGTAAACTCTTCTCAAATTGGTCAGTTTCACTGTTTATTTTGCAGAGTCCCACTCAGCTGTCATGAGTCCCTATTTGAAGTTATGACGATGAACAATAGCCCCTTTCACACATACAGACCTTTCCGGAAAATTACCAGCAATTTTCCGGAAAGGTTGTATGTGTAAACAGGCCCTTTTTGAAAATACCGGTAAATTCGTTCTGGCTATTTTCCGGAAAGAGAAGTTGTAACATTACCGGTAATTTGCCGGAATGCTGCGCTGTGTGAATGCAGAAGGAAGATTGCCGTAATAAGCGCGTCCACGTCTAGAACGTGGCTGACGTGAGACACCTGCTTTAGCCAATCACAACAGTCAGACGCATTCACGTGCGCGCGGTTTATGAGAATAAAAGCCTTTGAATATTATTTCCAGACACCTTTAGCTGCTAGATGTTAGTCAGATAATGTTTCTATGTTCCTTCTTAATGCTGTGTAAATAATTATCGATAAAATGTTTATGATAATCCGTTGTTTACCTTCAAGCTTTGCGTGTGCCCGTGAGCGCCCATAGCGCCAGCACACACACATATCAAAATGTTTCCCTATGTTTTCATTAGAGTTGTACTCAATACTGATCCACCCGAAGAGTTTGTAATGTAGTCAAATGTTTACAAACACAAGCGCAGCCGTTTAGAGGTCATTTCTGGTTAATGATGTCAGAATTTACCGGCATTTCGCGATGGATGTGTGAATGCTCTTTTCAGGAAAATTTCCGTAACGTCCTCGCCTGTGTGAACAGCGCTTTTTTGAATATACCGGTAAAGTCGTTCCGGAAATTTTCCAGAAATTTACTGGTATCACTGTGTGAAAGGGGCTAGTGAGACATTATGAGCGAAAAGCTGTGCTTTTATTTTGAATGGTGACACCCACCGTCGTCACCAGATAAAAAATCAGATGTAAGACTTTCTCATACATAGCCGTTGGATAGAATTATGCATTACATTACAGAGAGAAATAACAGACAATCTAAGACTGAAGTTCGGTCAATTTTCCCAACGGATAAACAGCTCTCACTGATAGTTCAGCATGCTTTCACTTTCGTATTTTACATGAAACGCACATTTACTGGTAGGAATGACATCCCACCCAACTCATCATTCTCTCTTCATATAGCTATATATGCCTATCTCCACGATGGATGTCCAGCGCTCTCCAGCCTCTGGCACCTAGACTGCAGCTCTGCACAAGACTTTGGCCATAGGAGAAATGGTTGTGCCCAACTGAGCCTGGTTTCTCTCGAGGTTTTTTAATTCTTCAATTTCGCCAATTGGTGATGTTTTTTTTTCCCCTCGCCGCTGTCGCCACTGGCTTGCATGGTTCAAGACCCGTGGAGCTGCGCATCGATGGATATGCTCTTCAGTGTTTGAACTCCAAGCACTAAATATTAAACCACACTGAACTAAGCTGAACTTTTAACATTGAAAACTGAACTGACACTGTTTTAAGTTACTATAATCTTCTATGTGAAGCTGCTTTGACACAATCTACTTTGTAAAAGCGCTATTGAAATAAAGATTAATTGAATTGAACATTTTAATAAACACTGCTATATAGCCTGTCTCAGATCCTATTGCTTTCTCATTACAATTGATCCACTCCAGAGTTTGTTTCAATCGAGCCGAGACCACCTCATTCAGGCGATCTCGGACCAATAATTTTGGCGCGGATCAGAGCATGATTGCTTGATTTACATATGCCAAACGAACTGCGCTAACTGGGGAAATGCACCAGGTTCTGAAACAAAAGTCTAAGTGCGAAAGCATCCTTAAAAAAAAAAAAAAGTTAAAATATTAAAAAAGAACTCAATATTATTAACATACATAAAATAAGATACTAATCGAAAAATTTGTTCTGATAATTATTCTACCATTTTTTGAAGAATTGACATTTTAAAATAATTCTCCTTTGAGTGATGTCCATAAGTGAATCTAGAATCAACCTAAAAAACAATAATAGATCTTTACACAATGTGTAAGCAATTAAAGTGGTAAGTTTCGGAAATTAAATAAGACAGTTTAACGTGAGTCTAAAGGCAAACTGTATTGTGCAAAATATAGGACCCTATAATTACAGTGGTTAAAAAAGGACAAAATAACAGAACATAGACTTAAAAACAGCATGTATTTAAATGTTTGAAATTTATTTCATTACTAATATTGATCTCAAAAACTAATCAAAATATTAATTTAAAAAATCTTTTTTAAATGTTGAAACTGCATGATCCACGTGTATGATTGTCGCCATTTCATTTGCAACATATACTGAAGCATTGTATATTGAATATATTTTTATTATCATTACTGCGATTATAATTTTACTACTATATTTGTACCATTATTTATTAAATAAAAACAATTTCCATAAGCATAAATGTTTAAGAAATAGACAGAAACAAGGTACTATATATTTGTACAGCAGAAAGTTCATCTAAAATCAAGTAGTAAAAGTTATAATACAATTATTAAAACTACAGAAATAAATCAAATATTCACAACAAATGAAAAATAGAAATAGTTTGTATTTTTAAACAATTAAAATTTTCTTTTAAATTTAGTCCAATTTTTTTTGTTAAATTTAACTAGCCATTTAATAGTCCACAAAAACTTAAATAGAACAAAAAAACTATTGTTAAAAACAGAATATAGATGAATGTCTACATAAAGACAAGGGGGAAAAAATAATAACACAGCTTACATGGGACCCTAATAATAGCAATGCTTATCTATTACACCTACTTATCTAAGGCTTATCTGTCGTATTGTTAAATTAGGAACATTTATACACCTTAACGCCACATAACGAAACTGTCCACGGTCACGACCCTTCAGGAAAACATAAATAAAAAGCTCGTCTCATGTGGCAGAGTGCAAGGAGTTTATGCAAAACGTGTGAGCTTATCCGCCAATCAGAGAACAGATCACATGCAAAATACAAATCAGACAGGGAGTCCTGATATCGGATTGGCTGATTTAACATGCTGACGTAGCCACAACCCGACGAGGCCCCACCCTAACTGCAATACAGCACTGAAACAAGCAGTCAAAACACAAACCCCTCAACGTTTAATTTCGCGACACAACAGCCCGATTTAAAGTCAAATATTTTACGCCTTTATATATATGTAATAACGAAAGAAAACATTTAACATGGCGGTCTTTTAAAATAGTACACATTTGATGATGAAATAAACTCGTGTTAGATTTAAAGCCATGCCAACATGCACATGTTCCAGAAAAAAAAAAAATCAAAACACTTACCAAATCTTCATAAGATCTCGGGTGTTCATTTCCTTCCCAATCCAACCGACGTGGAAGGAGCTTTCGGGAAAAAAATAATAAAAATAAATATGTTGAATTACGGCGAAAAGACCAAGTTATCCTGATAATAACAGCGTAAAATGTAAACAAGTTCAAGGCGAGCGCTAATGAAGAGTGTGATCTTGTCAATTCCGTGATTCAATCCATAAGGAAAGAAACACACACTGACGGACGGACATAAAGGCTGAAGTAATCGAGTAACACACCTGATTTTCCTCCAGTTCACACACCAGAGCCTGCAACAGATGAGAATGAGCGGTGTTTCAGTGCTCTGGTCCAGATGAGCATCATTTTAAACACTGTACTCTTATTAAAAGTCTCGATGACTAAAGTCAACTCACCTCGGCCGCTTTCCGACACGGCCCCGTGCTCAGATAGCGCGATATCAAGTAATATAACTCTGCGAAAGGACACGGTGAGAGGGTTTAGTATTTCATTTAGGACACAGAAACTATCAAAGTACCTGTTAATAACATCCCCAAATGTTACTTTTTGTGGCTTACCCGATTCGAGGGGTGAAATACTCCCATTTCTGGCTGTGGTATCGGCCATAGCTCAAAGACTACGGTGTTTGGAGACGAACTTTATGTGTAGTTTGTAAATTATATAATTATTTAACGTCGATTGCAGGCTTCGTGCGCCTCCACGATTGCTCCCGCTTTATGTTCGGCCAGTTTTCGGTCGCCATTGGAAGTATGAGGCCTGAGCTCATTGCTACTTCCGCTTGAACGCCGGAAGCAGGGGGAGGGGTGTGTGTAACCGCTCGTCCGCTTCACCAAAACAGAAGCCACGCGGAGGTTTAAAACTCCTAGCCTAATTCAAAACATTAGATTTTCACGTTTTTCCAAACGAATAGTTCCTCAAAGAACAACGAAAACCCGCGTTCGTGCTGAAACAATGTCGGACGGCTGCTGTGTGACGTCACGTGAAATGGCGACAGCAGAACCGTTCGCCTTTTGTCTATAAAGTAGTCGGTTTGAATAATGTTTGAAGATATGCAAACAACTAAAACTCGATACTCCGCTTCTAGTTATCACATTTTACATGGGATCACGTGATGTATGAATCCAATGAAAGCACCATTTAACAGACTGTATAGATATAAAAAGTTACAGTGGCTACCAAAACATTAAAACAAAATGTCTCAGTCTCTTTGCATGGCACATCCAAGCAAGTGTTTTTAGAGTTTTCACAAGGACACGTTTCTTACAAAACATTTAGCTAAATAAGCTGTTCATATTGTTTATAACCAGTGCCAGACAGAACCTGCTGACATGTTTTTTGCAGTTTCTGCACAGAATATTGTTTTAAAATTGCAGATTTATGTTGAATGGTTTCGAGAGTAACTAAACACCTAACCAGTGATGAAAAGAGTACTGAAAAATCATACTCAAGTTAAAGTATCATTATTTGCCTAAAAATGTGGTGCAAATAGAGTAAAAGTATCTGTTGTAAAAATTACTCAAAGCATGAGTAAAAAGTAGACATTTCAAAAGACGTGAGTTTTACTTTGTGAAAAGCTGATGCGTTTACATGTGATTTGTGAGAACATAACATTATGTAGTGCATTTAGTTATTGCACAGCAGGCACACAATGTCATAAGACGTGAATATTAGGTTAGATTTAGGTTGTGATGTCAGATGACCAAAACTCAATGTCTAGCCAGCGTCTAAGCACAATGTTATCTTGATATTCAATAATGACGAGTGACATATGATGTTGATATTTGGTTAATTTTAGGTTGTTAGAAAGCGACCAAAATCCAACGCTGAGCCAACATCCTAAACCATTGCCATATTGACGTCAAATATTGATGTTTATTCATCAGGTTTGGCAACCAAAGTCCAACGTCTGATAGACGTCATCATGGTAATGTCCATACAACGTCAAGCTGTAACATTATTAGATGCTGATATTTGGTTGATTTTAGGTTGGATGTTGGACATTGACATCGGTCTGAGGTTGAGTTCTGGCATCAATCCGATTTTCATTTCCAAACAAAATGCAACGTCCCCATGACATTAGAGTACAACGTCAATCTGACATCATGTTGACGTCTTGGTTATTCCTGTTAAAGGCAATTTCGGTCATTATACAGGAAACATATGTCATCTTCTCATCAGTGACATGCATCTAAACAATGAGTGTAAAGAGACATCTTGGAGACTTTTAATGCTTTCTAACAGTTTGCTGCAATTATAAATTGCCCATGTCTTGAGGTAGTTCATTATCTGCTTGTTAAGTGTGAAGTCACATGAAGCGGCTTCCGGGTCCAAGCGCTCTATTCAACTGAATGGGGAGACTCGTGAAATGGTAATAATAAACATTTACAAAGCGATTAAATACTTTCGAAAATCACGATCGCAATATATATGTCCATGCCTAATATCCAATGGCCAGAAAGTGATTCACTTTTTTAATAAATTGTTAAAATTTTGGTATTTCTGATGCAGCAACCCCAGAGATTGTTGTGTACACTATGACTTTATATAAAAAGAATTTTAATGTGTGATATGAATAAAAAATGTTCATAAACGAATGATGTCAACTCTTGGACCCGGAAACAGTATTACATACGTCACCAACATGTCAACACTTAACAAGCGGATGATGCGATATACCTTCTATGTGTGATTTGATAGGACAGGAATCACAGGACTGATTTTTCTAATCCCCATAGACAAAAAAATAAAAGTAGTGAGTGACTGCAGTTTGAAGAAAAGTAGTGAAGTAAAAGTACAGATACTGCACTAAAAATGTACTCAAGTCAAAGTAAAAGTACAGATTTTTAGTAAGTTAGTAAACAATTTCTGAAAAACTACTCAATTACAGTTATTTGAGTATTTGTAATAGTTACTTTACACATATTACATAAAAAGAATAACTTTTTTATAATTCTTATTTAAGGTTTGCAGTACAAGTTGCAAGTCTCTCGTATAACATTTTTACTGAAAGATAGAAAGTATTACTTTACAAACTGTATTGTACATAAATCATATACACATTTGCTTTCGATCCAATAATATTACCGAAATTAATATAAAAACGGAATAAATTTAGGGCATCATGTTGGTGCTGTGGGTAGCACAATCGCCTCACATCATAAAGGTCACTGGATCGAGCTTCAGCTGGGTCAGTTGGCATTTCTGTGTGGAGTTTGCATTTTCTCCCCGTGTTTGCATGGGTTTCCTCCGGGTGCTCTGGTTTTTGCATTTCCAAAGACGTGGTATTGGCGAATAGGGTTAGCTAAATTGTCCATAGTGTATGAGTGTGTATGGATGTTTTCCAGTGATGGGTTGCAGCTGGAAGGGCACCCGCTGCATAAAACATAAGCTGGAGAAGTTGGTGGTTCATTCCACAGTGGCAACCCCAGATTAATAAAGGGACTAAGCCAAAAAGAAAATGAATGAATAAATATACATGTGCATAAGAAAACAAATAGATTCAATAATGGAGGCCTCCAAGTATATATTTGGCTGTATCTGTATACTTACATAAAATAATACAATATATTGATTTTATAAACATATACTGTACATAATGATATTCTGTGAGGCTGATTTGAAAAAAAAAATGGCGGCATTAAAAAAAACAAACTGAATTTTACTTCCAGTTATCATATGTAGTGGCATTTAGTGTTAAGATAGAATAGACAGGAATAGAGCTACTGTTTATATGGAGTGAAAGCTTTTAGCTAAGTTGTGATATTTAAAAAAAATGTAATTTAACGTATTTCACATCACATTTCTCTACTAGAGAAAATGCATGATTCTTCATTGCAGGGAAATCTGATATGAATTGCTGTGTGAAAACAAAGTTCCTATTGCCGAAATGTACTGTATAAATCATGAATGAGGGGAAAACGTGATCAGGTTTAATCAAAATACATAGCATGAAGTATTAATAACTACAGGTGAAGTCAGAATTATTAGCCCCCCTTTTATAAACAAAGAGAAGATATTTCAGCACATTTCTAAACATAATAGTTTTAATAACTCATCTCTAATAACTGATTTGTTTTATCTTTGCCATGATGACAGTAAATAATATTTGACTAGATATTCTTGAAGACACTTCTATACAGCTTAAAGTGACATTTAAAGGCTTAATTGGGTTAACAGGTTAGGGTAATTAGGCAAGTTATTGTATTACTATGGTTTGTTCTGTAGACTATCGAAAAAAAAAATTGCTTAAAGGGGCTAATAATTTTGACCTTACAATAGTTTAAAAAAAATAAAAACTGCTTTTATTCTAGCAGAAATAAAACAAATAAGACTTTCTCCAGAAGAAAAAAATATTATCAGACACCCTGTGAAAAATTCTTTGCTCTGTTAAACATCATTTGGGAAATATTTTAAAAATAAATAAATATATATCAGAAGGGGGGTTAATAATTCTGACTTCAACTGTATGGTCTCAATAAATAATGATTAGAAAGTCAAAGTTTTTTATAAGTACTTCTATTAGTCTGACCTTCAAGACGCCGAGACAAAAACACAAAAATGTTGTTGGGCAATTCCTAAAAATGCATGGATGTTTGTCTTTGAAATAAATTAGATTATTAGAGAAACTCAAAACTTTGTACAGATCTTTGGTTTTGTTATTTAAGGATTCTCAGCCCAACCTTCATCCATTATCTTCTCAGATGTTTTCTTTCCAGATATGTAAATATATCAAATTATTCACAATTCATGCAGATGAGAGATTAGCCCAAATCTTTTGATAATTTAATATAATCATTTCTACATATAGACGACAGTTCAAAACTGTTAATGTAATTTTTAAAAAAAATGGAAATTGCTTACTTTAGACCACAGGTGTCAAACTCAGTTAAAAAAGGGCCGCAGCTCTGCACAGTTTAGTTCCAACCCTAATTAAACACACCTGATCAAACTAATTGAGTCCTTCAGGCTTGTTTGAAACCTACAGGTAAGTGTGTTGGAGCAGGGTTGGAACTAAACTGTGCAGGGCTTCGGCCCTCCAGGAATTGAGTTTGACGCCCCTGCTTTAGACTGTATTCAATCTAAGCCAAACTGTTTTCAGTGTTATTTTGAGCAGTATATCAGTGTATTAAAAATAAGTGATTTCTGAAGGATCACGTATCACTGAGAACTGGAGTAAAGATGCTGAAAATTTCTGCTTTATATATAGCTTTAATATATATTCAAATAAATAAAATATATATATATATATATATATATATATATATATATATATATATAATTTTCATTGTAAAAACTGCATTGTTTGGCTGTATTTTTGCCTATAAAATGCTGCCTTTGTTGGAAAAACAAACAAACTTTGTTTAAAATATAATTTATCCAATGACTACATGTATATTGCAAAGATAATGTAATAGCAATTCTTCTGTCCATGGCATTTTTTTTTATTTAATGTATTTTTCTTGATCATGGTTACTCAACCACTGGCTTTTGCAGCTATCACATTAGACTGTATTAAATCTAAAACCAAACTGTTTTCAGTGATAATTTTGAGCAATATATCGGTGTATTAAAAATTTGTGATTTCTGAAGGATCACGTCACTATAGACTGGAGTAAAAATGCCGAAAATTTCAGCTTTATATACAGTTGAAGTCAGAATTATTAGCCCCCTTCAAATGCTTTTCTTCTTTTTTAAATCGTTTCCAAATGATCTTTGACAGAGCAAGGAAATTTTCATAGTATGTCTAATAATATTGTTTCTTCTGGAAAAAGTATTTTTTGTTTTAGTTCGACAGGAATAAAAGTATTTAAAAAAAATGTAAACACCATTTTAGGGACAAAATTATTAGCCCCTTTAAGACATATTTTTCCTCGATAGTCTACAGAACAAACCATCGTTAAACAATAACTTGCCTAATTACCCTAACCTGCCTAGTTAACCCAATTAACCTAGTTAGGACTTTAAATGTCACTTTAAGCTGTATAGAAGGGTCCTGAAAAATATCTAGTAAAATATTATTTACCGTCATGGTAAACATAAAATAATTTCATTATTAGAAAGGAGTTATTAAAACTATTATGTTGAGAAATGTGTTGAAAAAAAAATCTTTCCGTTAAACAGAAATTAGGGGAAAAAAAACAAGTGGTGTAATAATTCAAGGGGGCTAATAATTCTGACTTCAACTGTAAATATTTTTTAATATATATTCAAATAAATATAAATTAATTGTAAAAAAAAAAATTGTTCCACTGTATTTTGGTCTATTAATTTTTTTTTTACTATAATTTATCCAATGACTACATGTATATTGCAAAAATAATGTATTAGCAATTCCATTGTCCATGGCATTCTTTTATCTACTGTATTTTTCATTATCATTGTCATTCAACCACTGACTTTTGTAGTTATCACTTTCACTGTTACATATTTTTTTTTAATATTTAGCCATAGAAAAACAAAAACAGAAAAAACAAGTGCAAAAATATTAAGGTGAAATTACAACCATTTTATTGGCAAGTCAACCAATCATTACAGATACAACTACATAAAAATGGGAAGAAAAAGAAAACTGTACACATGTACTTTTAACCTAAAAACCTTGAGTGATTTAGCTACTGCTGGCATGTTCACAAGAATGAAATTACAGTAATTCTTTTGTATAATGTCAGCTACAACCTGCATGTTTAACACTGTAACACAGCTCTGCCATTAGCTTTGCTAACACACACAATTCCATTTTTCATCCTCTTAAAAGTACCATCACATACTGCATATAGAAATCATGAAAACCTTTTCAGCAGCTATACAACGTTATTGCAATGCTATCACCACACAGACAAAAGTAAAAATCACACGTCAGATGAGTGTTCCAGTACTAGCGAGCAGGATCATTAATCAAAAGCTGTCGATTCATTAAAACGGCTTGAATAAAGAGGTTTCAATTTGCAGAACACAGCTTACAATCAGTCCCATCCCCCCTAAAAAAACAAAAAGCATTTTCTTACAGAACCCCTTCCAAAACAATACAGGCTACATACAGGTGTCCCTTATATTGCCTATGGAATGTTAGTGTCTCAGGCAAACGCTCCCAGTTACAATTGAATGACTTAAGAAATTTCATTTTTAAAAAGGTTTAAAAATGGCACAAATCACATTGTCGCAACCTGTTCCATTCCTCTCCCAAAACAGAGACAAAAAAATAATAATAATAAAAGGGAAGTCATTAGTTGTTTCATGATTGCAATTCTTCTTCAGGAAAAACTGGAGTGGGAAAAGATGGAATCTCTCTTCTAAGGCTTTTCTCTTGAACATCGTCTATAAAACGAGCTTCTAATTTTTGAACTACTAAAACAAAACCTTTTTTTTTTTTAGAAAATAGTCAATAAAAATATTCCTCTGTATTGTACAAGAAAAGAGGTATGGGAGCTCTGGTGAAATGATATTAACGTTATTCAGCTTTTTCGTCGTCACCTCCTGCCTCTCCGTTGTTCTGTAAAAATAAAAGTAAATTAGTTATAAAATACCCGTTTTCAACAGACTTGGCAACAAAAACCAAAAATTACATACAATTTCCCCAGCACTCTGTACTAAAATAAGGCACAGAGCTCAATAACATACCCGAGCAGTATATATTAATTATTCTAATGTAAATAGAGAATGGCTTACTTCATCAGCTTTGGTCTCTCCGTTCTCCGCTGGAGTTTTCTCCTCGGCTTCTGGCTTTGCGTCCTCTTTCTTCTCTTCTGGTTTGGCCTTTTCTACATCCTTGGCCTTCTTTCCTCGTGCAGGTGCTTTCTGTAACGTTCCAGAAAAAAAACACACACCATTAAGCCACTGATTAAAATGTTTTACCTGTAATAAAGCTTATTTCCTTTCATTTACCTTTGGCTTGGGCTCAGACTTTGGCGTTTGTGGTTTCTGGAAAAAAGAACCATGCATTAGCCAGGCACATGATAAAATTGTAAACAACAATGAAATTAGCGAGTCTGACAAAACCAACTTACACCCTGAAGTCTCTCAGACCGTCTCTTGGGCTGTTTATGTGGAGAAAACAAGAAATTAAGAAAACAAGACAAACTTGTAACAGTTGTGTTCAAGAATGTGTTAAATGCCACAGTAAAAGAGGCAAACTTACCCCAGCTGCTTCAGTGTCATTGTTAGCCTGTACCAGAGGAAATAGAAGTGGTTAGTGTGTGTAAATAGATGGTTGACTGAAGGGGGAGGTTTTGTACCCCCACAACACCCCCCTCCAAACTTATGGCCAATTATGTAATCTGAAAGTCACTGTGGGGGAGGGTTGGAGGAATCTGGGTCTTGTAGGCCTAATAATTAATTGTATGAGAATGTAAACACAAATATAAAAACCAAACGTCGGAAATAAACTAAGTAAATCAAATTGCAATTGTTTGCCGATGACAAGTTTATTTACAGTAGTTCTGAAGGTAATAGCGACGTTACCTAAAAGAAAAAAATGTCCACACTGAAGTAGTTTAGAGGGAGGAGGGGAACAGTAGCTCCGCCTCTACCGACCAAACTCGTTCATTTCGACGAGTAAATACATTAAACGTCGATACATTTCGTTAAAAATTGTGAACGTGCATCAAGTTTTCCTTGCTGAAAATGAAAACGAAAGGTTATTACATTTAGGACTTGGATAAATTTGCGTAAAAGTGGGCGAACTGTCTTAAACCACTTAAAGTCCATTTCAAAGGTCAAGTAAGAAAACATTCAGGCGGTATACGCATGTTAAAAAATACTAATGATCTTGTTACCCCAGCAGATTTATTCTGTTTGGGTTATTTAAACATGGCTAAGTCCAAAGGCAGCCATGACGCTCAAGGCTATAGTGTGTATGTGTCCTACTCGAGAGCCATATGGAGTACACAACACGCCACTACACATGTATTTACAGTTACACAACAAGGTCTTAATAATCCCACATAATACCTTCAGACTTACAACTTTTATAAATTCGCGTGCATATGGTCAAAATGACATAAAATGTAGCAGTTAAAATAGAAAACACTTGCAGGACGCGGTCTTTTCTCGGATGAATAACATGTACAAACGTTACGAGGTTAACGTTACACCCCTTTGGTTGAGCATAACTTTGCGTTTTCTAAACACGATTTTGATATTAAAATAAAGCTAGGAGAGCTCCTTGCGTCGTGTATTTCTTTAAATATCCACACGCAGTCGACAGAACCATTGCACAGCTCTAAGTAAAAAGGCGCCAGATTCATGCCACCGACTCACATGCCCTAGATTAGAAATTAACGCATGCACCAATGCAGTAAACACACGAATAACTTTACACAAAGCTTCATAAAGACATACATGTTGATTTATCGCATGCCAATAAAACCAAAATTACAAAACAGTATAAAATATCGAGTATGTTTGTACTTACTTTGCTCCTTTTAGGCATGGCTGCTTAAAGCGTGTGTGCTTTTAGAACAAAAATAGGAAATAAATTACAGCAGCTTCAGCACCGATTAGTAAAGAGTAAAAAAACAGGTCTAGGAAACACTGAAGCAAGCTTAAATGTTCTATCGGAACGGAAACTAGCTGAAACCGGATTGGATCTCCCCTTTCTATATTCTTTTCATTATAGCACTAACCTGATGCAGGCTACGCTCCGCCCCTTCTGAGCGGCGATTGGCTGAAACGTCCTGGCAACCACATTTCAAACCAAAGCAAAGTACCTGTTTGGATAGGTTGAGGTGCCAATCACAGATTTACTTGTATATTCTTTAGGCGCCACTCTTAATAATTTTTGTGTAGGTACGCTTACAAATGTAACATTTAACAGCGGAAGTGTTGAGTACATATTCAAGCATTGCAAACGATTTAAATGCATTTAAAGATATTGTAAACAATAAACGCGAAAACAATACTTTTTATCTTACAAACATGGGGGTTTAAAACACATTTGTATGCAATTGCATGTTTTTAAACAACACAAGTGAACAATAACCGTCTAATCCAAGGGACCACTTTAAAACAGGGCTATAGTCCGTTTGAATAATTGGGGGAGGATCAGGCTGATGAAAAGAAAATGGCTGCCGGGTTTAACTGGTTTCTTGTACTGAGCTCTGTGTTTCTGTGCAACCTCGTCAAAACATTCCTGCCATCCATTTCTTCATTTGTAAGTACTCAATTAAAACGAGTTTTAGGGACGCTTAAGCACATATATATTTTATTTAAAACGTGTTTTCGTTGTAACATAACGTGACGCCACAATGCACAGTGATACAGCATGTCTGCTACCCCTACCGGAGCTTCTTGTAGGCACAGCGAACAAAAGCTTCCCTGTTAAACAAGCACAGTATCTTCATTTTGCTTTGTTCTAATTCACTCATGAATTACATTAAGATGTTCTACCGAACAAACATTTTATATGAGGTGTTGTTGCTTTGACAAATCAATTAAAACAGGTCAATTCGTTCATAACAGTACATACTTGTATAATGTTTCTAAACTACTGCTAATTCATATTACATTCTATTTCGTGTACGTGGTATATATATATATATATATATATATATATATATATATATATATATATATATATATATATATATATATATATATATCCACCGTGTGTGTCTTAAATATACATCACACAGTTTTTAGCACAGCCATATTCTGAAACATTTTAATTGTGCTGTGAACTTGGTTGTTTAGCTTGCATGTTTACATTATTATTATTCCAAATAGTAGCCTAATAACGAAATTTAAAGTACTGTTGCTATGGGGAAATTATAGCAACAATTATATAGCACAAATTGATTAAACGTTATTGATTCATTTTGATTACATTTTTGGGACATTCAGTGTAAAAGCTAGGATATATAGGGCTGATTCCAGCGTTATGGATGTGACATTTGCAGTAAAAATTCAAAACATAAATTTGCAGAGAAAGTATATTTTAACATTATATTGAATCATCTGTTTATATTTTCCAAAACAACTAACCACAGAGTTCTAGGATCAAAAAAATTCAATCTGTGAACATTTTTATACTTTAAATGAGGAAAATAAACAAGTGTTATGGATGTGACAAAAAAAGTCTGCGAGTTTACAGTATACAACTTATTTCGTTTAAAATTCTGTGAATTAAACTGCACAACCCAAAATAAATAATTTTCAACAAAAGGATAAGAGTTGGCTCTTTATAGAACAAAACTAATTTATTTTATTTTATTTTGACATTTTTGCATTTTTGAGGGAAAATCTTTGTTATGGATGTGACACTTTTTCGTTATGGATGTGACGGATGTGAAATTGCCATTTGTTTGACTTTGGTAAATCAAATATATTAGTTTGAAAACATTGACAGAGACATTTTTAAGTATTTTTAAAGTACTGTATAACACTTGCCTGCGCAAAACATGTAGGAACGGTTTCGCTATTTTGGTGAAAACATTTTTCTTTTCATGGCAAGGTTGACATTTTCATGGAATTGCTCATATATAACATTTGCAGTAAAAACTCAAAACATAAATTCACATAGAAAGTATATGGTAATATTATATTGAAGCATCTGTTTATATTTTTCAGAACAACTCATCACAGAGTTATGGGATCAGAAAAATATCTATCTGTAAACATGTTTTGTACCTTAAATAAAAGAAAATAAGCATGCGTTATGGATGTGACCAAAAAGTCTGCGAGTTTGCAGTATACAATAACATGCTTTGTAGAAATTCTGTGAATTAAACTGCACTGCCCGAAAGAAATAATGCTAATAAAAAGGATAAGAGTTGCTCTATAGAACAAACATAATTGATTTTATTTTATTTGACATTTTTGCATTTATGAGGTAAAAGCTTCGCTATGGATGTGAAATTGCCATTAATGTGACTTTGGTAAATCAAATAAAAATAGTTTTAAAACATTGACTGAGACATTTTTTAGTATTTACTAAGTACTTTAAAATACTTGCTTACACTAAAAACATAGAAACGGTTTGGGTATTTTGGTGAAAACTTAATTTTTTTGCCCTAAATTGACATTTGCATGGAATTGCTCATGTATAATAGGCATGGACCGGTATAAGATTCTGACGGTATGACATCCTTGGATAAAAATATCAGTTTGACGGTATTGTTATTACTGCTCTAAAATATGTTCTTTTTAAATGTCTGGGTAAGAAACAAAACCAAAAAAAATCCCCAATAAACACAGTATATTTTATTTTGAGGAACATTTATAATATTTTGGAACAGTAATCTTGTCTGAGTAATTCAAATGAATCATTGAATTCACTTGATTTGTTTCAAAAACACAGATTTTTTTTTTTTAAATGGCAAATTTGGATTTTTTTTTTTATGCTGGAGATACTGTTGTCCTAAAATGTTCACCTCCATTCATTTTTAGATGTTAAAATGGCTTGTTTTGTTGCTTGATGTTGCAAACTGATATTTTCTTATTATATTATTCTACTTTTATGTATAATTATGCAAACACTTGTTTGTAGAGCAAGTAGTTTTACAGTTTAGGCAACTGAATCGGAAGTTCTAAAATGATCGCACTTCCGCATTAAAGAATAAGGTCAATGGCAGAAAATTTTGGCGGTTTTAAAACCTTGACTTTTACAAACCGCTGTATATTGAAAACGGTTATCGTCCCATGCCTAATATATAATAAACACACGTGCATGTATATTAAAACTTTTTATTTGTGTGTTTGTTCTCATAGTTGTCAAAGATCTTCCATAAAGATGCAGATCAGGAGATGGAGATGAGGACTGAGATCCAGAACATGAAGATGGAACTGTCAACCATCAGCATGATGGACGAGTTTGCCAGATATGCTAGACTGGAACGCAAGATCAACAAGATGACTGATCAACTCAAAACTCTTGGTAAATAAAACTCGTTCTTATTTTGCACATTACATGCATACGCAGCAAGGTGGTGGACCAAGCTTTCTTACCAGCACACATGTGGTAAGAAAGAAGCCCACTAACTAAAGCAGACAAAATGTGTAGCAACATGTATAATATTGATTCCAGAAAAAAACAAGGAGCAAAGGGTACGTGTTAAGATGTTTACAGCCAACAGAACACTTCACTGGAAGCAGATGAAAGTCAAAATAGCATCAAAGCTTTGAAAATGTACCTTTGTCCACTTTAAAGTGGGGTGGGAACAACTAAGAAACCAAAAGTTTTTCACTTTACCCTAGAGGACTCAGCCCAAGTGTGGAAAATGGCAGGTGGGTTTCAGATAACGGCTTCAGTGTTCATGAAGGGAGACAAATGGCTCAGCTGCTGCCTGTTGCTGTCCTTCATGTCCAGCATAGTAAGTTTATTGTGGGTAAAATGGATGAAACTTAGTTTACCCATAATTTAAAACGGTCATGACTCTTGCTTGTTCTTATGATGTTTCAAACTCATAAGAGTTTTGTTCATCTTACAAACAAACCTGAGTGATATGTCCTTCCAAGGCAATCTCACGGCGATTCGTACCTTTTTGATTTAGTGGCTAATTCGTATGAATTCGTACAATCCAATGACTGTAAAAAATATGGACGACGCGACAGCCCCTTTTCCCATTGAACGCCTTGAGGGCAAAACGCCTGCTTGACGGGCACAAACTGTCGCAAAAGACTGCTGAAATTGGAGCCTTGACATGCGCAGAAGGACTGTCTGATGGAGCCAGAGGAGGAGCCGCGAAAATGAGCGGAGTCGAGCTTCCAACCAAACGCTTTATGTAAAATCAACCACGCCCCCCGAACTTCTCAGCATGCGTTTGCTGTCATATCAACACAAATGGATGTAATAACGTTAACAAATATGAGGGTTTTATATATTCAATCGCGCCAGCTCCGGGCCGCAGCGCATAACCTACTCGCGGCGTCGCTGGCTGATTCCGGCTCGCATGCGGCAGCGCCGGCTCGCTCGGCCGCCGCATCTGGCTCGATTGACTCGGGCTGGAATCGGGCAGTGAGTCCAGGCATCCGGAGTAGGTCCAGCAGAGGTAGTCAGTCTGAGCTCTGAGGGGTAAGTCTCCGACAGGCGAGAATCTAGCCGGAACTGGCCCGAGTGTATTTTGCTATCTGGGTGGTTAGGCGTGAATCAGCAAACTAATAAAGCCCGAAAAAAGCCCTGACCTTAGCGAATAAACAGTGTTCCACCAGGATCATGTATGTCAGAAACTATAGTTTACTGCTGAACTCATTTTGTCATGGTAAAATAACACAGAAATCGAATAATAACACTTCAGTCTCCTGCCGAAGCTCAGACAGTCTGCTTTGAGAAACTGTCAATCAAAGCTGTCAATCATGATGACACGCCCAGCATTAAATTACTGCTAAAAACAAACTGTTTACAAAAATTAAGATCTGCACCTATTTCAGCACAATAATCAGTGCCTTAATCGACCAGAACCATCTTTCGGGACATTTTATTGCAAGTGTACAAATTTTTTTTATTTGGGCTCAAGTCTCCTTCATTAACACGGAGGAGGCGGGCTTTATGACTTGTACTGCAGCATGCCCCCAAGGGGCGATCTAACGGCCGAGACCTTCACTCAAACGCAGGCTTGCGGCACACTTGGTACAATCTAATTCGTACAATTTAGTAAGATTTGCTAATCACCCAGTGACGGTTGGGGGTGGGGTTGGGTGCCACGCCTCTTTTTTTAAAATCGTACATTTTCGTACGAATTAGCCACTAAACTGACAAAACGTAAAATACTTACGTTTCCTCGTGGGATCAGGCTGGTCCTTCTATTGAATTGTAAAAGTAATACATATGAAACAGAGCCATGGCCACTTTATACAATGAGAAGATTTAATTCAGTGTTTTACTCTCATATAAACATTGATTGATTCTATACGCATGCATAAAGCACATCAAATGTCACATGCCATATTTGTTTGACATTATAAGCAAACATGATTGACTTTTTACAATGTCCTTGTGATTAAAAATATGTAAATGTACTTGTTACTAGCATAATAAAAATATGTAAAACTATACCATATAAATATATTAATAAAAGCAATATAGTGTTTTTAATTTTTGAAAGTGCTTAGATTTCGTATAAAGTGCTTGAAACCGCTTGAAAATGCAATTCTGTTGCTTTCATATTAATTAGTTACTAAATGGTAATAATAATAAACTATTTAAATTGTGTGTGTGTGTGTGTGTGTGTATATATATATATATATATATATATATATATATATATATATATATATATATATATATATTTTTTTTTTTTTTTTTTTTTTTTTTTGCTTTAGCATAAAATAAAGCTCTGGTATCTGTGCATAGATATCTGCATGTTTTTTTTTTACATTTAAGATGTGAGTAAAATACATTTAAAGAGAGTAAATGAATGTATATGTTTGGGCTTGGGGCAAAACACTTCTTTACATTTTTTACTTCGAAGAATACCATACTACTATAGAATACTTTAACAAATACCATCTGGTATAATGTAGTATGAAGTACAGTATGTATTACAATATGTAATTACCCACTTTTATAAAGTGCTGGAAATAGTGAAAAGTGCTTAAGTTTGACTTTGAAAAATGTATAAGAACCCTGCATACAACGCCAAGAACAACTGTGTGTGTCAAAACAAAAATGTAAGTACGATTTGGTCTTCCATGTCAGATCAGTTTGCACGTTTACTACAGGCAATTCAACATTTGTGTGTTGCACTATTCACTTTAATGAGATTAGGCCTAAATTGTGCTGCTTGTAGAAATGAATATTCTGCCTAGGAAATGGAAAGAAGGTCTAGGACAGGGGTGTCAAACTCAATTCCTGGAGGGCCGAAGCCCTGCACAGTTTAGTTCCAACCCTGTTCCAACACACTTACCTGTAGGTTTCAAACAAGCCTGAAGGACTTAATTAGTTTGATCAGGTGGTTTAATTAGGGTTGGAACTAAACTGTGCAGAGCTGCGGCCCTTTTGGAACTGAGTTTGACACCTGTGGTCTAGGAAGTCATATTTACCAGTTGTTTTTAGAGCTTCGCAAAGCCTACATTTAAATGCATTTTAAATTGCCTCATTTTTCTGTAACGGTGTTACTGAAATTCCATAGTTTAGAAAATCTGGCCAAAACAAAGTTCTTTTTGAGTTTGTTTCAGCAATTTGAGACAGTCCACCAAAGCTAACTTTTTGGGAGAGTTTGTTTTGCTTTTACCTACCCTTGTTCAGTGACAAGTATGCAATCAGTGGCTAGAACTCTGCCGGTTTAAGCCCTGCCGGTTCCTGCCTCAAAATGAGCGAGTTTGAACCACTTGTACATTAAGGAAGCGTTCAGGAAAAACCAAACACCAGCGAAGAAACTCGACACAGAGTCTCACACTGTGATATTTCAGCCATCTGGGCCAACCTTGGAATATCCTAAAAGATTCCTGAGGTCCTAGGCTAAAATCTGTGGTCTTTGATCGTTGGTTTGACATGTTCACAGACAGCTGCTTATGGCCCGTTGCGATTATGTTTTCCTCCGATGAAGTTCTGAGAAGATTTCAGGCACTTTCCTGCAGTGACAGGAAACAGCTGCGATGAACGTCAATCCAAGAACCAATAGAAGCGCAGAATCTGATGACGCAATCCATGCAACAATCCAAATGACCGTCGGGAAATAAAAAAAATAAAAAAATTCTTCCTGCCTTCAATATTTAGACGTGCTGTGTGCAAAATTGCCGCTACAGATTGTCTGTTCCTGTGAGGAATCATTTAAGAATGCGAGACGTCAAACTCCGCGGGTGTTTTCTTCTGTGTTTGGTGCATCTTCATTGTCGTTCAGTCTGACATTATGATGGCTGATTTCGTAAGCCTGGTTTATACTTCTGCATCAAGTGATCAGCATGACCCACGGCGCATGCAACGCGCAAAGCTGTGCATTCATACTTCTGCGCACTGTTTCTGTTGCTCTGCAATAATACTTCCGAAATGCTAGATGGCAGTAGGTGTTTATGTTCCTCTGTGTCGAGTTTCTTCGCTAGTGTTTGGTTTTTCTGAACGCTTCCTTAATGTACAAGTGGTTCAAATTCGCTCATTTTGAGGCAGGAACCAGCAGACGTGCAACAACTAACCACAAGGTAAACACAAAGCAACCATCTCCATCCGAAGCTCAGTCGTACAGTCGATACTTGTAAACACTCGCTCCAACGGACTCACACGGCTCTTGGTCCCGCCCACACTTGTCAGCGATTCCAAGCCGACTAATCACAGAGCTTGGGCTACGCGACACGTAGTTAAGTTTTTTGAGAGGTGCACGTCAGCGACGCCGACAGACACGGCGAGGACTATGCGGGCACGGCACAGCCTACACGTGTGCTTGACGCAGAAGTATAAATCAGCCTTTACAGTGTGACATGGAAGCCATCTTTGTGCAGTCTGACATGCTACAATAGTTTAGGTTTATAAAAAAATCGCACAACGCATTGTGAGCCGGCCTCTAAACGTGCTTCGTGTCTACAGAGTTCAGAGTCAGACAGGAGAAAAACATCCAGCACAACAACACCAACATGGCAACATAAATACACTGGAGGGTCGAGTAGCAGAGCTGGTACAGATGTATCCACACCTGCACTATCACTTGCGGAAAGATTCTGAGGGATTCACGCACCAGTTGCTACAACGCACAACCGTATCATGCCACATCTGATACAGTTCTAAACATTGTTCTATTCGTGTCTGTCCATGGCAAATATAAAGCAATGTGATGAGCCACACACTTCTTATGGAGAAGGCTGTGTCAGATATTTATAAAAGGGTTCTTCTCTATGAGCGGCCATTGTTGTTATGTTTAGCAGTACACTCAAGCAGGGCAACTCGTTTAAAACCCTGCGTCCTGCAGCACAGGGGTGCCAGAGTGTTTTAAAACAGTATACCACCTCTCAGTCACAAGACATTGTTTTTGCCCTCAAATGGAGAACAAAAAAGAGCTTAGTTTGAAGTATAGCGGAGTCTTTATTTCCCAGTGGTTCTATTCGGACTGAGTAGAAACTTTATTTTTCATGATTAATTTTTCATGATTATTCAGAATATCACATAAAGATCCACTGCTATAATCCTTATGCATTATCCTTAGGCCTTCTGGGTAGCATATTTTGTAAGTTTTCCTTATCAGTACTCACCCAGCTCAAGTCTACTATTGGGCTGGTCAGTTGAATCGGGTAGACCCAACAAGACTTTCAGTGCTAAGAGGTTTCTAACACAGGTTATAAAACTGTTGCCTTGAGACTTATTTAATAGTGATGTTCTGGGGTATGTTTCTGAAAACTATCGTTAGCCAACTAAGTTAGCAAGTTCTGTCGTTAGAAACATAGTTTGTTGATTTGGCGTTTTCCAAATCTGTCGTTTCAACGAGCATTCGCAAACTGCTTCGCAAACTTATACGCTTGCAAGTACACATCTGGAGCTGTAGTTAGATATGCCCTAATCATTTAGAACAGAGGTCACCAAACTTGTTCCTGCAGGGCCGATGTCCTGCAGGTTTTAGCTCCAACCCTAATCAAACACACCTGAACAAGCTAATTAAGGTCTGCTATGTATACTTGAAACATCCAGGCAGGTGTGTTGAGGCAAGTTGGAGCTAAACCCTGCGGGGACACCGGCCCTCCAGGACGGAGATTGGTGACCCCTGATTTAGAACATTCTAACATTTAAACTTGGAATGATTAAAAAAAAAAACATTAAAGTCCTCTGTCTTTGGTGTAATTTGCTTTCAGAGTATTTTTGCAGTTCAGTTTTAGCGATCTCTATATTTACAATTGCGTTCCCTTTACAATGCACTTTGAAAACGTTGATGTCGTTTAGAACACAGCCTCATGACGAAAGCTATAGCTGACCTATTATTTAAAAGCGGAATTTGTTACATCTCCAAAGCTTGTGAAAACAAAAAACAGCATATGTTAATGCTTTCTATTTAAAGTAGGTTATTTATTAAGTATCTGTACTGTGTATGACATGGGCCTGTTGGTTAGAGCATTTCTGCAGTGCATGTGTCAAATTGTAAAAGTAGACTTTCAAAAAAAAAAAAAAATCCTACTTAATAATCATCATCATTAGTGTTATTAATATTAATAAAGTATTCTAAAATATTCTTTCTCAATAATAAATATAAAATTGAATTTCTTAATAAATAGCCTCATTATTTGTTTAAATTATTTATTTATGATATTAGGATATGTGTTATCTTTTGTAAGTGATTTTGTGTTTCAGAATAGACTATATAAATGTTCTCAATATTATTTGTAAAGGAAACAAAGGCTCTATACATGTGCCATTGACAAATTTAAATTAAAATGAAAAACGAGTGTTTTTTACCAAAACGAATATTGGATTTTTTTTTAAATGTGTGTGCGTGTAAAACAACATAATTTACACAAATAAATGGGGTTATTCTCTAAAGAAGTTGTTACTCTAACCCGTTTAGAGCGTCATTATTGGCGTTTTATATATAACTAACGTGGTTCAAACAATGGATCTGCGACAGAGAAACTACAGGTTTTGGGAAACACGCATCACTACATTGTTCTTTTCCCAATCGATGCATCGCACTATGATAGTTCAGCCACGAGTTACGTCGTTGTTTGGGAAACGCAACCCTGGTGAGGAAGTTCTATTAATAACAAAACACTAGATTTTTAAAATGCAGTAAGTCCTTAATTTTTGTTAATCTAAAGCAAGCTTTATGAAAGGTTTTAAATTGCTTTTATTTCAACTTGGAATAGCCAGGAGGGCTGACGTCATAAAACCATTTTAAATATGAACCTTTTTTGATTCTACTTTCTTTTGTTGCTTTACAGTTAAATCCAGAACAGCACAGCAAGCAAAAATGAAGTGGATTGTAAATATAGCATTTTACATTCTTCAGGTGAGTGAGGAACCCTTTTTTATTTCAATATTAACACTTCAGTTTAAGCCTACTTTAACATATTTATTCCTGAGCAGATCTAGCAACCAGAACTTTTGCAACTCTCAGATCAGTTTTGAAGAACGAAAAGATCCTGGATCGTGTCAAATCATCAATAACCAAATTGAGTAATCCACATACGAAAAACGGACCCCAGGAAACACCAGGGGCCTCATGTACAAAGACTTGCGTGGAAATCATTCTAAAACATTGTGTACGCACAAAGCTGTAAATGTGCGTACGCAGAAAAAAATTCAGATGTATGAAACCGAATGCCGAATCTCACGCATATTCTTTTGTGCATCCGAATGAACGTGAAACTGAGCGCAACATGCACAAGCACAAAACCCCTCCCTGCTTCCTCCCCCGTATGAATATGCTAATGACTCTACTTTGGCAAAACCCAACGAAAAAGCAAAGGCAAAAGCAAGCAAGAAGAGAAACTTTGAACAGAATGTGAATTGGAGGTGCTCCTTTCGGAGGTAGACCGGAGAAAAACTGTGTTATTTGCAAGTTTGTTCTCCGGAAATAATAACAAAAGAAAAAAATATATTGGGAGAGTTTAGCTGATGCGGTTAACACAGTTGGGTCTGAACATCGCACTGGGTGAATTAAAAAAGAAATAGTGTGGTTTATAGGTGTAAAATGTTGCAGTTCCCTTAAGAGTCTCAGTGGCGCAGTTCGTAAGACGCATGTTAACATGTTTTGACATGTTCAAGCATGAACTCGGTTCGAATCCAGCGTCTGATGAACTCTTTCTTCTTTTTTCCCCAGCTACATATCAGATTTTGCCTACTATTTATCACAAGAAAGACAAGTAGGAATCATTAATAAGTCTGTGCATCATATTTTATTTGCACATTTATTGAATGGAAATGTTTCTGATTCACACATGCAAATTCATCTTCAGATAGTGTCTTTATAGCAATGTGTGTGCAGTAGATAGCTCAGATTACATTGGGTAAACAGGCGACTGCTGCATACTGTGCTTTAATGTTTGGCTGGTTAACTGCATGGTATGGAATTCTTATATACCTGCTAGATGAACCCGTCTCATACAGCTGCCATTGCACGGCTCAAAGACACTTTGTAGAGAGGAATTTAACACAACTGCCTCTAGGAGTCGCCAATGGAAATAAAACAGACACGCACAAAAAATGTGCGTACGCCAGCCATAAAGCTGGCATGGAGCTGCGCACATTCCCATTCATCGTTAGTAAATCCAAACGTGAGCGATTCTGAGCGTGAAACCTGGCGTACGCTGATACATGAGGCCCCAGGAGTGTTGTGAACATTTGGAGAGATGCCTAAAAATATGTAAAAAATTAAATAAATAAAAAGAATGAATAATAAAATTCATTCAAATATACAAAATGAACAATTTAAAAATGGATTAGAAAAAGATTCAAACTTGAAAGCAAAAATGTAAAGTGCAAAAAAGTAAGTAAATTAATAAATATAACATTGTAATGAACAATACTGAAAAAATCAATTACACAGATGTAATGCATTTTAGCAAATTTAGTGTCTCCAGTGTCATTAGACCTGTTTATAGCATTCATATTTTACATGGATCTCTAACATTAAGGTAGTTTATATTTAGGTATTCTTGGCTTTAAGACCAGAATCTCCATGTTGTGTATGATATTACATGAATATTAAAAGCCATATCAAATATGACAATCAAATAAGAGTTTTTTTTATTTATTTGTCACATTGGTAACACTTTACAATGTGTATTAGTTAATGCATTTACTAACATAAATTAATCATGATCAACACTTGTACAACATTTATTAATCATAATTGAACATTTACTAATGCATTATTAACATCCAAGTCCATGCTTGTTAACATTAGTTAATGCACCATGAGTTAACATGAACTAACAATGAACTACTGTATTTTCATTAACTAACGTTTATTAACATGAACAAATACTGTAGTAGATGTATTGTTCATTGTTTGTTCATGTTAGTAAATGCATTAACTAATGAACCTTGTTGTAAAGTGTGACCATTACATTTAACGAAACGCTTCTAAAATGTCTATTAATTCATGAATGTCAATTTCCAAAATGTTTAATTATCTATTATTTCACTTGTTTAGCTTACATGGTTAATGTAAGGGTGCTTTCACACCTGTGAATCGATTCAGTTGTTCTGAAACAGAGATTACAATTGTTACATTGTTGCTCTTTGCTCTTGGAGCGGTTCGCTTTCACACTGCAAAGTTTCTAATCGGACCAAAAGAGCTAAAACAAGTCACGTGCGAGTAAACTCTCCTTACATTGGTCAGTGTCAGGGTTTATTTTGCAGCGTCCCGCTAAGCTGTCAGGAGAGGTGGTGGTTTGGTGGTGATTGACAGGGTGCGCGCGCACGACGTGTCTGAGGAGAGACGCGGTGGGGAGGGGTGAGAAGGGTGCGCGACGATGCCTATTTGAGGACCTGGAGGGAGACGCGAGATTACCGGGAGATCATCACTTGTTTGCGGGCATCCGGAGACTCGCGAAACTTCCCGCCATACTCATAATTCTCTCTTCATATAGCCGTATGCCTATTACATATCCATAAAACACTGTGATACAACCGCGCTCGGATCGGATCGCTTTCTCACTACAATCGAACCGCTCCAGGGTTCGTTTCAATCGAGCCGAGACCACCTCATTCAAGCGATCTCGGAGCGATTACTTTGGCGCGGAACAGAGCGCGATTGCCCTGTTCACATATGCCAAACGAACCGCGCTAACTGGGCAAACGAGATACGTTCCGAAACAAAAGTGTAGGTGTGAAAGCACCCTAAGTGACTTATGATACACATACTGTATAGCAATTCCTGCCATGGGACCTGACAGTCCTAATTTGAACCCTTTGTATTTTTAAGTATTTTATGTCTTTGGTGTTGCTCTCTTTTTCTCAGAACAGATCTTATTTTAAAAGTAATAAAAGTAATACATTCCAGATTTATTAGTCATGTTAATTATATTTGTTAGATTTTCAGCACACAAAAACTGATAAACTATGTTGTAACTTATAGGTATTAATTAGGGGCCTTCACATCTCTGGGAGGGGCCTAAAAGGCCATTTACCTTGCTTATGGTTAACTCCACCCCTGCATATAAGCACTCTCTATTAAGTTTCTCTTTTAATGTCGGCATGTTGTGTTGTGTGTTGTTAGGCGGCCCTCATGATCTCGCTCATACTGAAGTATTATGCAGACCCTGTCACAGTAGTGCCCAGTAAATGGATCGCTCCATTAGAGAGACTAGTCGCCTTTCCTTCTGGAGTTGCAGGTATGTCTCAGTCTGTCTCTCCTGGGCCCGGTTTTTCAAAGTAATCCACTAGGATTTTGGATAAGGGATTGGATCAAATCTTGAAAATGGGTTTTTCAAAAGAAAAAACGGATTACATAATCGGATTAGATCACGTTATTCAATCTTGGTTTTGATCCGGATCAAACCTTTAGTTTGGGTTTTTCAGACCTTTTTTGTAGGATCTGGATCACTTTGATTAAAAAAAACCTGTATTAAACTGATCCCATCAGAAGGGTGGATTTAGCGTGGATTTCATGCCTAAAATGTAATGAAAACTTTAAAAAATGCTGTGAAAATGGACCAAAAACAATCATTTTTATTTAGTCTCTAATTGATATATATATTCATCACAATGGAAAACATTTTTCTTTTTAGAATATTTATTAGTGATGCATGCATTGATTGCAGAATGAACAAAAAATGCAAAGAATGGCAATGACTGATTTTTTAAACTCTTTAAACAATTGCAAAAAGAGACTGAAAGGGCAGAAGCACAGCTTCGTCTGCAGAGGAACAACTAACTCTGACCAAACTGCAGCAAACCAAGGCCAAGGACTTGAGATCCGCCTCCTAAAGGCTACGCTCAGACAAGCTGCTCTCCACATCAGATGAGGAAGTCTGAGATTATTGTGGAGTTTTTGACATTAAGTCTTTTTTTTATTTACATCTATATTTGAAACTTGTTATAAATATCCTCAATGTACAGTGTTGTAGGTCTCAGATGAGTGGACTGCTGGAAGAGGATGGGGTGGGCTTTTTCTTGTTTTTATTATTTATTATTATTATTAATTTAATATTTATTAAGTTTTCATTTAAAAAAAAAAAAAAGTTATATTGACCCCACGCTGGCTATTCTACTTGTCGCTCTTTACATATCTATAGTTCTACATTGTGATTTCCTATCCTGTTTGAGCACTGGTAATCCAGATTTAGTGATCCTGAAAAGTTCCTATCCGGATCAGTTTGATCCAATTCGATGTTGCTTTGAAAAACTGGCTTAAAAAGTACACTGGATTACCTGATCACGGATCGCAAAAACAGAATTACTAAATCTGGATCAATTTCATCCGGATTAAACCTTTTGAAAAACCGGGCCTTGGTGTTTAATTGGGAGGAAACTGATTTTATAATATATTAATGTGTGAAGTATTATACATCACCTTTTGCTGCTTTTATCTCAGGTGGTGTTGGAATCACATGCTGGCTTGTTGTATGTAACAAAGTGGTGGCCCTCATTCTACAAGCTGTCAGTTAAGCGACAGTGTCAACATAAATGCACCATGCCTGATTTTCCATACAACAACATATGCTCATGAATGGCCTAAACTCAGTGAGTTGTTTTAAAAGGAAAAAGAAAAAGTCATTTACTGTTCCGTTCAATGGTTCATGTCTTGTGTTTTTAGTCTTCAGTTGTTGATTAATGGCATTTAAATGTCATAATTCACTAGCTAACTAAAGTAAATATAAACAGTGCATTCCTAACAAATCACAGAGTAGTGATTGAGTCTTTATAATGTCATTTTATTTTTGTGACCAGCAAAACGTTTTGTTTTTATTTATTAATTGTACCATAAATGTGTATTTGGGGTTGTTTTGGTGTTCCAGAGTTTTTTGTCAGTGTTATAAATCTATTTATTGATTTTGTTTTTTGAAGAACGATGTCCTTACATCAATAAATATGTGAATGAAAAATTACGTACAGAATTTTGTCATTTCATTTCTTTTACAATACCGAGAAAAGTATTTGGAAATGCCTGGATGATTACTCATTTACGGTGGCGTAAAGTAACAAATTACAAATACTCAAACTACTGTGATTGACAAGTTTTTCTCAGGAATTGTACTTTACTAGATACTTTTAAAAATGTGCACTTTTACTTTCCTTTGAGTACATTTTTGAGCACATCACCTTAATATTCTTAATGCATCTTCCAAACCACGTATTTTCTTTGTTTGATGCCAGATTTTAAAGAGTAGATTTTATCCATGGGTTTGTTTCTTTTATTGATTTTTCAGTCACTATTTTTTCTTGTCTATGAGGATTAGAAACATCAATCCTGTAATTCCTGTCCAATCTAATTGCACCGAAGGTAAATCGCATCATAATGAACTTCCTCTAGACATTGGTGATTTTATAATTGCAGCAAACTGTTTGGAAGCATTAAAAATGTCCAAGAAGATGTCCAAAATCTTTAAAACTTGACTAAGAGACTGTTTAGTTGCATGTCACTTGATAAGAAGATGTTGACGGATGTTTACTGTATTGTTTGCTGTATTATAGAAACAGGTGTGAACCTTTCCAAATCACGGCCAATCAACTGAATTTACCACAGGTGTTTTCCAATTAAATTGTAGTAAACTCTGCATGATAGGAATGTCATGGCACAGGCTATGAATATTTATGTAAATGTGATTTATTAAGTTTTAAAAAACTTCTTTCATGTTGTCATTATGATGTATTGTTTGTCATAGTTTTAAGGAAAATTAATTAATGTAAAATGTGAAGCACAAAGAAGACTTTCTGGATGCACTGTACAACTATTTTGCTACTAGTCAATTATTCTGACATTTTAGAAGTGATCAAAAGACAATTTGAAAGGGCCCATTCACTGTTTTGTACACTGTAAAAAAAAAATCTGTAATTTTATATCCGGCAGCTGGGGTACAAAAATTTACTGTAAGATAATGGATATTAAATTACAGAAATTTTCCAGAAATTTTAATTTAAGGAAATTTCTGTAATTAAATATCTGTTTTTACGGTATGTTTCTGTAATTTAACAGCCGTTATTTAGCTTTTTTTCAGCACCCCAGCTGCCGGAAATAAACCGTAAAATTATGAAGTTTTTGTACAGTGTACTGCGTATAATATTTACTTTTTTGCCTTATACATTGTTAAAATGTGTCCCTGTATGCTTTACCCCAGTTTGTGGTTAAAAAGTTGTTACTTTTGTGCAATCCTGCGTATCATATTTTATGTACTGCAAAAAATAAATCCGTAAAATTTATGGTAAAAATGGCAGCTGTGGTTGCCAGTATTTTACCATTATAAACACGGTAAAAACTGTAAAAGTAATATCTAATTTTTACAGTAAACTACCGTATTTCGTTACTTTATTCACTAAATTGTCTTTACCAACATTTACACACTTTGTTACACAGATAAGCACGTTATCATGGCCATATGCAGGTGGTGATGGGAAATTTGTGATAATAATGAACAACTGCTCATCACTATCAACTTTTTCCCCACAAGCAGAAAAGTGTGCCAGTGTATGGAAGGTGCTCAGTGTCATTCACGCAGCTACTAAACACAAGTATGGCAACACGCATAAAATTAAATTCATGAAATAAACATTGTTTATCAACATTAGATGTAACATAAATCTCTAATTTAACTGATGGGGAAACAACTAAAAAGATCCATATTAATGTCAACAAAATGCATAAAAAGTTATGTGCCATGCAGGGAATTCTGGGAAAGTCAATTTACGGTTATTCGCCGTATATATTAAGGAAACACACTGTTAACCAGGTTACGGATTTTTACCGTAGCATTTTTACAGTTTTTTACCGTTGAAATCACGGACATTTTTTACAGTGTAGTTTTAACATATTTTTAACAAGAATTATTGCATGCTTTGGTCATATTTTTAGTCCACTTTACCTCAAATTATTAAAAAAAGGTAAACTGACCATAGAAATTTCCCAGAGAAATTCAATTTGATAAACTTTTGAATCATATAATGTAAATATACAGAAATACAGGCTTGTGCTGCCTTTTAACATTACCGTATAATATTCTTTTATTTTGAGTTATGGTTTTTTACTGGTCTGTCTACATAAAAAAGCATAGTGTCAGTTCAGTTCACTTAAACATTTTCTTCACTGTTGTCCAGATTTTACTAAATTGAATTCAACATTTCTGTGGAATCCTGCTAAATGAAATATTTGTCTATAATCCTTTGCACTATACTAATAAATTACATTTGCCTGCGTGAAGGTTTGACCTATTTTTGGTGATCACGAGTGTAAACAATCAGTGTAAATCAGTCGACCATAAGACAAGGCAGGTCTGTCTTGTTTGCGGAATTTGGGAAAGGTGCTTGGAAAATAGGTCACAACATATTCACGACTCAATAACCTGTCATAGCTTATTAAAGTTTCATCACTGATGCTAACATGAGCTGACTGAAGCACCGTCCCTAGTGATCTACTACAGAAGACTTGAGCTTTTCTGTGATGGTTACAATGGCAGGCGAGCCACTTAAATAAACATTAAAATATTGAAAATATTGCCTTCAATAGATTTATTATTAGAATTTTTGTAGGTGGGCGTCACGGTGGCGCAGTGGGTAGCACAATTGCCCCACTGCAAAAAGGTAGCTGGTTTGAGCCCCGGCTGGGTCAGCTGGCATTTCTGTGTGGAGTTTGCATGTTCTCCTCCGGGAAAAGAAATTTAATGAGTGTTAACCCTTCGACTGCCTGTGGTTATTTATGCCCCCTGGGATTTACGCCCAAAAGAAAATGAATGAATGTTAACCCTTTGACTGCCCGCTTCACCAAACGGTTGACCATGTTTTTACTGTTTTTTTTTTTTTTTTAACTTTTGTTTTTTATTCGTTTTAACATAACGGAACAAACAGATCACCAGAGGCATCACATACAATTATTACATTCTTCTTATACAGTCGTTTTTATAGTACAGGTTACTCTCCCATTAGCCCCCACCCTAACCCGTCAGTAAAAGGTACTGTGTTATAAGCATGAACACCAACATAGTTTCCTTCAAGTCCATATGATTCAGTCTTTTACAATCTGTAATGTGCGGTCCAAACAAAATATTTCACATATATAATATACATATATATGTACATATATTGAAAAAATAATAAAAATAAAAAATATAAATAAATATAAATAAGGGGAGGAGGGGGGTTCGCACTCATTGCAAAGCATTTCCTAGCAAATTATATATTTTCTATATTCTTATATATAAACCATTTTGACCAATTTTTATAGCATTTATCCATGTTTAGTCTTAAAGAAAAGGTGAGTTTCTCCATTTCAAACATATTATCTACAATTGTTATCCACTCATCCTTTGTTGGTGGAATCTCTTCCAACCATTTCTTGGTTATTGCTTTTTTACTAGCAACTAATAGTATTTTGAGAAGGTATTTGTCTTGTGCATTAAAATCGGTTTGTGTTTTTACTGTTTTAAATAATGACTTACACAGCATTGTTGGTTTACAAAAAAAAAAAAAATCAAACAAACATCCTCTTGCATAATTACACTGTTGCACAATTACACTTGATTTTGGTTGCACTGCAGCAAGCTATTGCTGGAGTTCAACATTAAATGAGCTGCAGACAGGGGCGGACTGGGACAAAAATTCAGCCCTGGCACTGTGGCCACACCAGCCCACATTACCACACTGACACAGCCCCAATCACGGACAAGCACATTCACTACTTATATTCGTGTACAGATGGTGAAATAATATAAGCAGTACCATAAGTAATATATATCTAAACATTTAATTTATGTGACTGGAACAAAAACAACCTGTTTATAGCAAATTAATACATACAGTAAAATATATTACTTGTGATATGGAGTAACCTGTGAATGTGTATTACAAACACACACCTTTACACACACACATCTTGACTCACAAATGGACATGCAACACTTTAGCATACTTTTATTCACAAATAACTATTTATGTCATTCTCTGCAGTGTTGCCATTCTCTGCACCCCTACTTAAGGTTTAATTACATATTGTAACCTGTGCATGTATTTAATGTTTTACTTTAGACCAGGGGTCACGAATCTCGGTCCTGGAGGGCCAGTGTCCCTGCAGGGTTTAGCTCCAACTTGCCTCAACACACCTGCTTGGATGATTCAAGTATACCTAGTAACCTTGATTAGCTTGTTCAGGTGTGTTTGATTACGGTTGGAGCTAAAATCTGCAGGACATCGGCCCTGCAGGAACAAGTTTGGTGACCCCTGCTTTAGAGACTAGCTATGTATTCAGAGTTCACAAATGCCAGTATTATGGCTATAGCTATAGTTTTTTTTTTGCATGTTAGACTACATTGCTAGTACAGTAGCATACTGCAGTTTGTATACCCTAAATCTCACATTATAATGACAATTTAAAATGTACGGGAGTTCTAAGCTTACTGTTAAGCACAGTGTAGGTACCTGTCATAAACTGTCAGAAGGAGTGTGAATGGCGTCAATATGACCTAGTGTATGTTAGTGTAATGACAAAGTATATTTTCTGTTTTCTTCTTACCTCCTCTAAAGTGCTACTGTTCTCCAATGCATCGGACGAATTTAAACTTTTCAAAAATATTTCAGAAAACTTTATGCATTTGGCAGCGTCTGATTTTAGAGCCCTTTTTTTGCTTTTTCTGAGCTTTTTGGTAGCCAAGCCAGCCAGCTATCACAGATTGGGCCAAATGCTTAACATTTACTATTAATATTGCTATTATTACCATCATCATCGTCATCATAATATTCACATCTTGCTTGGGATAAAAGCTTCCTGCATGTAAAAGCAGAACATATAATAATAAAATAAAAATAATAATAATAAAAAACAGACCGGCCCACATTTTAAAAAATGGTCCAGCCAGATGGCCAGTCCGCCCCTGGCTGCAGACACACACCTGACTAGTATGAGTAGAATGGGTGAGATGAACTACGGAAGCAGTGGGAAAAAAACAATGTGAGGAAGGGAAGAAAAAAACTCAACTGTTTCTAAATGCATTCTATGCATATTTTAGGTTATACATATATTCATCACAATAGAGTGTGTGTATATACACACACACACACACACACACATATATATATATATATATATTCGCCCATGTTTCTATGGAGGATGAGATAGAACTCAGATTTCATTCAAAATATCTTAATTTGTGTCCAGGATGAAGGTTTTAAGGGGATTGACATGAGGGTGACAAACTAAGAGCATTTTTATTTTTGGGTGAACTAAGCCTGTTAGAAGACCTATAGGCCCCCCAGTCAGGGCCCAGGACAACATTCCTGCTTGTGTCCCACGACAACAGCCTATGGCAAACCGTTTTGACTTTTATTCATTCTCAGGATGAATGAATTCTTAATATTGACAAACTTATATCAACAACTGAAACGATATCAAGAATGCTGATTGTTGTTACATTTCAAGTTGTAATATTAGTTTCTTGATATCAAAAGTTTAATTCATATACTAAAACTAAATGTGAAAATGGCTTGCCATAGCAGCCCTGTTCAAAACAGTAAAAACACAAATCTATTAAAGTGGATTGAAAATAAAACAATTGTCACTAAAAACTTGTGAAATAATTGTGTTGATTCAGCTCGTTTTAAATAAGTAGTTTGAACAAACAGGAAAAATCTTTTTAAATGATATACAGTTGAAGTCAGAATTATTACCCAACTTTGAATTTTTTCTTGTTTAAATAAGCATTTTTTTTCTCTCGATAGTCTACAGAACAAACCATCATTATACAATAACTTGCTTGATTACCCCAACCTGCCTAGTTTATCTAACATAGTTAAGCCTTTAAATGTCAATTTAAGCTGTACAGAAGTGTCTTGAAAAATATCCAGTAAAATGTTATTTACTGTCATCATGGCAAAGATGAAATAAATCAGTAATTAGAAATGAATTATTAAAACTATTAGGTTTAGAAATGTGTTGAAAATGCAGTTAAAAAGAATTTGGGAAAAAAATAAAAGGGGCAAAAATTCAAGAGGGCTAAAAATTTTGACTTCAACTGTATAACTGTCTAACTGTGCAACTTTTTATGTTAATAGGGAAATCCAAATCTAATAAAATGCATGTTATTAATGGTGATAATTATTTGCATTTTTTTCACTATCATCTTACCTGGGGTTTTGTAAAAGTAGCCTACCAACATCCAGAAAACCGAACCCTAAACTGAAAAAAAAAAAAGAAGATTTATTGGATTTTTTTTTTTTTTTATCAGGTAGGCTGACCGGTTGCAAAGAGTTTATGGGCTGAATTTAAACAATCAAATGAAGTAAAACATTATTACATTTCATTTGTTTGTTTAGATTCAGCCAATATAATTTGATGCCATCCAGTTATATTTAAAAAAATTAGTAAATCCAAATGAATCATTTTTGTGATTCTCTTCCATTCCTCTGTGGACCGTAGCTCCAGTTCTGGATTGCTTTTCGGGTTCCAGTGAACTGTTTTTTTTAATTTGCCCTTGGGTTTTAAATTTATTTAGACAACTTTCTGAGCTTTACTCAAACTGAATGCTGACTTTTGATGTTTATTTCAATTTTTTGACAAGCTTATTTTAAAATAAACCTTTATTTCATACATTTGTATACCTTGCTTTATTTAAGTACATTTTGAAGGTGGATTTTGTACCAGACTAGGTGTGTTTACTGTTTCATTGAGTTGGTATCGTGCTTTGGGCTTTTCTTATAGATTTAAAAACTTCAATAGAGCAATAATCTGGAGAGATCTAATAATTAAAATCAGGGCCCTTCCACAAACTAAGAAAAGGGCGCAACACAATTTCCAATTTTTAGTTTTCAAGTTTCTGAAAAAAAGCACCTATGTCCATACATGCAGGTCGTTAACTAACTTTAGCAGCTCTTGATGTGGACAGACAGCTGAAATTGCCAATCACTCAGACGGTGCTGGGACAAACGCACCAATCCCGCCACATGATGCTGATGCACCGGGGACAAAAATAGACAGAGTCGGGGCTGCTGCGCCGTGTGCTTTCCAGTCAAAGCGAGGAGGATCGCTGTGTCTTTAAATACCCTTTTTACAGCTCATTTAATATCGCTTATCCACAAAATGGTCATTAAAGTCTTCCTGGCATCCTCCTCGGGATCGACGGCGGTAAGAAACAGGGACAGCAAGTGTTTTTTTGTTCAGTCATTCAACAGGTCACTGAGCTGAGGCGCGTTGATTCGGCTTCTGTTTTATACAGATCGCGTTATGACTCGATTGTTCAAATGCTCATTTGCAGTAATAAGCAATCGATGTAGCTGGTAGAAAGTTAGAAACAAAATAGTGTTAACTTCGGGACTGTTTAAATACTCCTGAGTGACCTAATAACAGTTGCAGCTCGGCCAGTTTCCTTAAATATCTCTGAGATCACATTCCAGGCTGCAGAAGCGATTGCTTTAAACATGAAACTTTCAGGATTTACTCATTACGCTGACGAATGAGAAGTGTTGTTTATCGAGTTTGTGCTTGGTTTTAAGAAAACACGAGCAAAACTAATAATTCTGATCATTTAACTTCTTAAGCTAGGCTACTTTGATATGTTTAACAAAGGGGAGTGCTAATAAATTAAGTTGTTAAGGAATTCACAATTTCCTAAAGCTTTAAATGTACTGGAAAGTGCTCGTAAATCCTAGCTTAAATTAGATTGTAACATTAAGAAAACATGGCCATAATGTACACTTTTTCCAACATTTGTATTTTTTTTTCAAAAATGTTAATAATACATTATTACTATTTTGCATGACTATAATGCGATTTTAATTTTTATATTATTTCATGAACTATAAACATCAATTTATCGTTAAATTATATTTTGATGTAATCAATATACTTATTTAACAATACTAAAGATTCTGATCATTGAACATTTTTTATCTCATGTTTTAACATGTAAGAAAAGTGCAAATATTTAAAGTATTTTAGGCATGAATCTTTCCCTAATTTCTAAGTTCTGGAAAATGCTGGTAAATCCTATCCCAAATTAACTTATACATTTCAGAAAACATGGACATGATGTACACTTAGCCAACATAACATTTTGCTCAAATATTAGTCGTTAGATGTTACTATTTTAGTCAATGACTAAAATACTATTGTTATTTTTATATCAGTGTATATTATTTTCTGAATTATAAACATCAAATTATAAACGTCAAAACCTCCTTAAATCATATTTTGCTGTAATCAGTGTACTTATTATACTATACTATTGAATGATTCTGATCATTTAACTCGTTTTATCTCATGGTTTAACTTGTTTGAAAGTCCAAATAATTAAGTATGTTAGAAATGAATCTTTTCCTAATGTCTGGAAAGTGCTGGTAAATTCTACCCCAAATTAACTTGTACAGTTCAGAAAACATAGACATGATGTACACTTAGCCAACATAACATCTTGCTCAAATATTAGTCCATAGATGTTACTAGTCACTTACTAAAATACTTTTTTTTATTTCTATATCTATTGTTTTATGTATTATAAACATCAAATTATAAACGTCAAAACCTTCTTAAATCATATTTTGCTGTAATCAATGTACTTAGCTTTACAATACTAATGATTCTGATCATTTAACTAATTTTATCTCATTATTTAACGTGTTAGAAAAGTGCAAATAATTAAAGTATTTTAGGAATAAATCTTTTACTAATGTCTTAATTCTGGAAAGTGCTGGTAAAACCTACCTCAAATTAAGTAATAGAATTCAGAAAACATGGACATGATGTACACTTAGCCAACATAACATTTTGCTCAAATATTAGTCTATAGATATTACTTTTTTAGTCAATGACTATAACACTATTGTTATTTTTATATCAGTGTATATTATTTCATTAATTATAAACGTCAAAACCTCCTTAAATCATATTTTGCTGTAATCAATCTACTTATTATTCAATACTATTGAATGATTTTGATCATTTAGCTTGTTTTATCTCATGGTTTAACTTGTTAGAAAGTGCAAATAATTATGTATGTTAGAAATGAATCTTTCCCTAATGTCTAAGTTCTGGAAAGTGCTGGTAAATCATACCGCAAATTAACTTATACAGTTCAGAAAACATGGACATGATGTACACTTAGCCAACATGACATTTTGCTCAAATATTAGTCTATAGATATTACTTTTTTAGTCAATGACTATAACACTATTGTTATTTTTATATCAGTGTATATTATTTCATTAATTATAAACGTCAAAACCTCCTTAAATCATATTTTGCTGTAATCAATCTACTTATTATTCAATACTATTGAATGATTTTGATCATTTAGCTTGTTTTATCTCATGGTTTAACTTGTTAGAAAGTGCAAATAATTATGTATGTTAGAAATGAATCTTTCCCTAATGTCTAAGTTCTGGAAAGTGCTGGTAAATCATACCGAAAATTAACTTATACAGTTCAGAAAACATGGACATGATGTACACTTAGCCAACATGACATTTTGCTCAAATATTAGTCTATAGATGTTACTAATCACTTACTAAAATACTTTTTTATTTCTATATCTATTGTTTTCTGAATTATAAACATACAATTTTAAATGTCAAAACCTTCTTAAATCATATTTTGCTGTAATCAATGTAATTTTTATACAATGATTCTGATCATTTAACTTTGTTTTAATTCGTGGTTCACATATCAGAGCAGTGCAAATATTTAAAGTATTTTAGGAATGAATCTTTTCCTAATGTCTAAATTCCGGAAAGTGCTGGTAAATCCTACTGCAAATTACGTAATACAAATTAGAAAACATGAGCATGATGTTCACTTATCTAACATAACATTTATACAAATATTAGTCTATAGATGTTACTATTTTATTTACTGACTATAATAATATTTTTTAAAGCTGTTGTTTTCTGAATATAAACATCAAGTTATGAATATCTACACCAAAATTCATATGTTGCAATAATCTATATAATACGGTGGCTGAGAGAGTTTAACACGCTGCAATTTAAGAAAGCACATGCAATTACAAAAAACACCAGCAAATAAAGAAACGATCTTCATCCGTTTGACAACACACGTTGCCAATTCTCACAACACAAACAACTGAAGAAGCGCGCAGCAATTGGTCACAACACAAACAACTTAATAAACATGCAGCAATTAGTCATGACATTTGCAAATATCCACATAACACAACAGGAATGTTTTAAGGGGACCCTGAGATATGGATGTGTTATTATGTTGTGTAATCGGGATACGAAACGAAAAACAACTCCTCTTTCAAAGACCACCAATCAGTTCACAGAGCAACAGTCATGACATAATAACACATCCATATCTCAGCAGGGTACGTCGTGGTTTGGTTTGTGTTGTGACCAATTGATGCATGTTTTTTTAAGTTGTTTGTGTTGTGACCAATTGCTGCATGTTTCTTAAAATATTTGTGTTGTGACCAATTGCTGCATGTTTTTTAAGTTGTTTGTGTTGTGACCAATTGCTGCTTGTTTCTTAAAATATTTGTGTTGTGACCAATTGCTGCATGTTTTTTTAAGTTGTTTGTGTTGTGACCAATTGCTGCATGTTTCTTAAAATATTTGTGTTGTGACCATTTGCTGCATGTTTTTTTAAAGTTGTTTGTGTTGTGACCAATTGCTGCTTGTTTCTTAAAATATTTGTGTTGTGACCAATTGCTGCATGTTTTTTTAAGTTGTTTGTGTTGTGACCAATTGCTGCATGTTTTTTAAGTTGTTTGTGTTGTGACCAATTGCTGCATGTTTTTTTAAGTTGTTTGTGTTGTGACCAATTGCTGCTTGTTTCTTAAAATATTTGTGTTGTGACCAATTGCTGCATGTTTTTTTAAGTTGTTTGTGTTGTGACCAATTGCTGCATGTTTTTTAAGTTGTTTGTGTTGTGACCAATTGCTGCATGTTGTTTTAAGTTGTTTGTGTTGTGACCAATTGCTGCTTGTTTCTTAAAATATTTGTGTTGTGACCAATTGCTGCATGTTTTTTTAAAGTTGTTTGTGTTGTGACCAATTGCTGCATGTTTTTTAAGTTGTTTGTGTTGTGACCAATTGCTGCATGTTTTTTTAAGTTGTTTGTGTTGTGACCAATTGCTGCTTGTTTCTTAAAATATTTGTGTTGTGACCAATTGCTGCATGTTTTTAAGTTGTTTGTGTTGTGACCAATTGCTGCATGTTTTTTTAAGTTGTTTGTGTTGTGACCAATTGCTGCTTGTTTCTTAAAATATTTGTGTTGTGACCAATTGCTGCATGTTTTTTTAAAGTTGTTTGTGTTGTGACCAATTGCTGCATGTTTTTTAAGTTGTTTGTGTTGTGACCAATTGCTGCATGTTTCTTAAAATATTTGTGTTGTGACCAATTGCTGCTTGTTTCTTAAAATATTTGTGTTGTGACCAATTGCTGCATGTTTTTTTAAGTTGTTTGTGTTGTGACCAATTGCTGCTTGTTTCTTAAAATATTTGTGTTGTGACCATTTGCTGCATGTTTTTTAAAGTTGTTTGTGTTGTGACCAATTGCTGCATGTTTCTTAAAATATTTGTGTTGTGACCAATTGCTGCATGTTTTTAAGTTGTTTGTGTTGTGACCAATTGCTGCATGTTTTTTAAAGTTGTTTGTGTTGTGACCAGTTGCTGCATGTTTCTTAAAATATTTGTGTTGTGACCAATTGCTGCATGTTTTTTAAGTTGTTTGTGTTGTGACCAATTGGTGCTTGTTTCTTAAAATATTTGTGTTGTGACCAATTGCTGCATGTTTTTTTAAGTTGTTTGTGTTGTGACCAATTGCTGCATGTTTTTTTAAGTTGTTTGTGTTGTGACCAATTGCTGCTTGTTTCTTAAAATATTTGTGTTGTGACCAATTGATGCATGTTTTTTTAAGGTGTTTGTGTTGTGACCAATTGCTGCATGTTTCCTAAAATATTTGTGTTGTGACCAATTGATGCATGTTTTTTTAAGTTGTTTGTGTTGTGACCAATTGCTGCATGTTTCTTAAAATATTTGTGTTGTGACCAATTGATGCATGTTTTTTTAAGTTGTTTGTGTTGTGACCAATTGCTGCATGTTTCTTAAAATATTTGTGTTGTGACCAATTGCTGCATGTTTTTTTAAGTTGTTTGTGTTGTGACCAATTGCTGCATGTTTTTTAAGTTGTTTGTGTTGTGACCAATTGCTGCATGTTTTTTTAAGTTGTTTGTGTTGTGACCAATTGCTGCTTGTTTCTTAAAATATTTGTGTTGTGACCAATTGCTGCATGTTTTTTTAAGTTGTTTGTGTTGTGACCAATTGCTGCATGTTTTTTAAGTTGTTTGTGTTGTGACCAATTGCTGCATGTTGTTTTAAGTTGTTTGTGTTGTGACCAATTGCTGCTTGTTTCTTAAAATATTTGTGTTGTGACCAATTGATGCATGTTTTTTTAAGTTGTTTGTGTTGTGACCAATTGCTGCATGTTTCCTAAAATATTTGTGTTGTGACCAATTGATGCATGTTTTTTTTTAAGTTGTTTGTGTTGTGACCAATTGCTGCTTGTTTCTTAAAATATTTGTGTTGTGACCAATTGCTGCATGTTTTTTAAAGTTGTTTGTGTTTTGACCAATTGCTGCATGTTTCTTAAGTTGTTTGTGTTGTGACCTATTGCTTCTTTAGTTGTTTTTGTTGTAAGAATTTGCAACACGTGTGCTGTCAAATTGATGAGGATCGTTTCTTTATGTGCTGGTGTTTTTTGTAATTGCATGTGCTTTCTTAAATTGCAGCGCATTAAACTCTCTCGGCCATCATAATATAATGCAGTTTAAGCATAAGAGGTCTATTTCAAAGCAACTTTGTAGAAGAGAAAAGTTGAAGATTGTAACATTTGGTGCATAATGTACAAAATATGTTACACAAAATCCCTTTAAAAAGTGTTACAAATTTGCCCCTGTGCATTTGACTTGAATAAACACATTGGACATAAATAGCCAGCAACTATTCTGAGAAAAACAACAACAACAGCAAAAAGGCTTGGCGACAAATTGGTAAAATGATTAAAAAATATTAATTAAGGTATAAAGGTTTAAAAATAGCAATTAATTTGTATTTAAATATGTCTGAGAGGATTTCAGGAGGATTTTTGTTAGCTAGATAAACTGTTGTTACTCTAAATGACATTTTAATCATATATTTTACAGAAAACATTGTTTGACTTTGAACATTGAAGTCTTTAATTGGTGATTAAATAGATGTTTATCACACTTGTGTTGTTTTGATGCTTTAAATTCTTTTTTCATCTTTGACCTATTTATTTTTTTAAAATGCTTTTTTAAAAATGTACCTACTACCATTCGCATTTTAGGAGTTTGTAATGTTTTGAATTGAAAAAAGTAAGTTCTTGGACTCATTAATCTCTTATAACCAATGCCACAGATCAAAAAGAAGCAGCAAGATGTTGTCGGCTTTCTTGAGGCTCTTAAAATCGATTACGCACAGCTTGACATTGCTTCAAATGAGGATAACCGAGCGTGGATGAGGGAAAATGTTCCCGGAGAAAAGAAGCCCACCAATGGAATTCCTCTTCCTCCACAGATTTTCAACGAGGAGATGTATTGTGGGGTAAGAGCCGGCTACAGTAGAGCGTTTCATAAAATAACTTTTCTAAAAGTTGCAATAACATATCAAAGTGGTAAAAATAAGTTCAAATAAATAAACTTCTCCCTTAAACCTCTTCAAAAACATAGTGCAAGCAAATGTACACAAAAATAGGATTATACAAACATTATTTACCAGTTTCCCAAAACTAGAACAGTTTCAAATTTTAAGAATTTTGTTGACAGTGACAGATATAGATTCACACTCTACTGTGCTTAAGTAGTGTTTATAACTTGTATTGACTACATTATTTTAAAGATACGTTTAACAGAAATGTTAACGTTCCCTAAACACAGCCTGAACTTTCACAGTTGATGTTGTTTTGCTACTTTAATGCTAATAGTTGATAGTTTCTTATCCTGATTTGCAGGACTACGACACATTCTTTGATGCTAAAGAGGACAACACAGTCTATGAATTTTTGGGTCTGACTCCTCCACCTGGATCTAAGGTTGTATTTGTGTGTGTGTGTGTGTGTGTGTGTACGTGTTTGTTTTCTCTATTGACATGAAACTATTTTGAATCCAAAAATCCTTATTATTAGCGACCTCAGTGGCCATTAAATGAACTGTTGACAAAAACTTATTGAGAATACCCAGGCTCATTCTGAAAACATACCATTGTATACAATTCTGGAGACCGGGTAATAAGTCCCAGGAGGTAAGTTTTTTTTGCCGTTTTTGTTTTCGCAAATCCACGGGAAGCCGTTGTGTACACTTTTGAGATCTTAAATTTCTCTCGCAAGTGTCATTCGCGCCTGCTGTTCTCACATAAACCCACCAGAGGTCGCTGTTGACTGACTGTGTGACTGACAGACTGACTGACCGACCTATCTACTGACCCACCCTCCTCCTTCCCTAAACCCAACCAATTTTATTGATTGACCCGCCCACCCACTTACCTAAACCCAACCAACAATTTTCAAAAGCAATCCAGAAAAAGAAAAGCGCTTGTCTGATTTTTACCACGTTTTCAGATTTTGTTATTTACTTGTTTATTTTATTTTTTGGATTCAGGTTTTGTCTTGCCTGCATTCTGGAACCATTCTTTATGACACTTAAACCCCGTCGTCGTGGTCAACTCCATTCTGCGTCTCAAGTCTGCTAACATACATGTCGAGCTATCTAGACAAACTGGTTACAGTGGGTAAGCCGTCCATATGGAGGTAGGCGGTCGGCTGGTATCGCGAAAAGGACCAGTGTCATACCGCCCCATAGAGTTTGTTTAAAAAATAAAATGCAGCCAAACATAGCTCTGGCTCCATGATTTGCGGTCTCCAGAAACGTATATAGGACTACGTTTTCAGAATGAGCCTATGTTGGAGAATACAGTACATTTGCTACATTATACTGTTAATGAACATCTAGAAGTTAATGAGCACAAGCATTACTTTTGTGTTTCAGAGAGTGTTAGAGTTTCTTGTAAATGTCACATCACTTTGATTTTCTCTACAAAAAGTACATACAAATCTACATCAAAGTCTACAGGCTTTGAAAAACAACTCAGGAGCACAGGGAAGTTTTGTTACAAACCTTTCACGAGTTGTAATTTGGTCAATATGGCTAGGAGCTATAATCTCATTCTGGTGTAATAATCAAGGAACTTTGCAGTCATACCTAGCTGGGAACTATTTTCAGGCACTATGGATGAATTACCGGTTGGCAGTGGTATAAAGTAACTAATTACAAATACTCAAATTACTGTAATTGAGTAGTTTTTCTCAGGAATTGTAATTTAGTAAGTAGTTTTAAAAATGCGTAATTTTACTTTCCCTAGAGTACATTTTTAGTGCAGTACTCAGTACTTTAACTACTTTTCTTCAACCTGCAGTTACTACTTTATTTTTTCTTGTCTATGGAGATTAGGAAAATCAGTCCTGTGAATCCTGTCCAATCAAATCTCACATAGAAGGTAAATCGCATCATAATGAACTACCTCAAAATAGGGTTATCAAAAGAAATATATTAATGCAATTCAAATATATAACTTATGAACTGATGTTTACTTTAAACTGATTATAAATAAATATTTATATTGTTCAATTATAATGTTTAAAATATTTTTTATGGCTAAAAAGTATCGGTTCAGGCACCATTTTGGCACCGGTACCGTTTTTAAAGTATCGATTTAACACCGGTATTGAAATAGCCCTAAACGATATCCAACTCTACCTCAAAACTTGTGCGCTTTATAATTGCAGCAAACTGTTTGGAAGCTTTAAAAGTGTACAAGATGTCTAAAATCTTTCCATGCATTGACCCAGAGACTGTAAAGATGCAGTCACTGATGAGAAGATGACGGATGTTTGCTGTATGATCATAGAAATGGTCTTAAACACCCAGCAGGCACAAGATGTCAACATGACGTTAGAATAAAGTTGTTACCCCAGTGTCATGAGAAGGTTGCATTTTGCTTTTCCATGAAAATCATGGAAGTGTCAGCATTTAATGCCAAAATGACGTTGGTTTAAGTTGTTTGCTAGACATTGGATTTTGGTCACTTTCCAACACAACCTAAAGTCAACCAAATATCAACGTCATTTGATGTTATTGAACAAATAGCGTTGTTCTTAGACGCTGGCTAGAAATTGATTTTTGGTCACCTGACATCACAACCTGGCGACGCAGTGGCGCAGTGGGTAGCACGTTCGCCTCACAGCAAGAAGGTCGCTGGTTCGATCCTCGGCTCAGTTGGCGTTTCTGTGTGGAGTTTGCATGTTCTCCCTGCGTTCGCGTGGGTATTCCGGTTTCCCCCACAATCCAAAGACATGCGGTACAGGTGAATTGGGTAGGCTAAATTGTCCGTAGTGTATGAGTGTGTGTGAGTGAATGTGTGTGTGGATGTTTCCCAGAGATGGGTTGCGGCTGGAGGGGCATCCGCTGCGTAAAAACTTGCTGGATAAGTTGGTGGTTCATTCCGCTGTGGCGACCCCGGATTAATAAAGGGACTAAGCCGACAAGAAAATGAATGAATGACATCACAACCTTAATCTAACCTGATGTTAATATCTTATGACGTTGTGTGCCTGCTGGGCAATAACTTGATGCACTACAGAATGTTACGTTTACATGCACAAATTACATGTAAACGCATCAGCTTTTAAAAGCGTAATAGTCAATACTCACTACTCTTGAGTACTTTTGAAAGGGATACTCTTTACTCATACTTTGAGTACTATTTACAACAGATACTTTTACTCTACTTACACTAAATTTTTAGGCAAGTAATGGTACTTTTACTTGAGTAAGATTTTTCAGTACTCTTTCCACCACTGCCGGTTGGTAAACATTCAGCATGCGCGCGCAGCGAGGTTGCAGGAAAAAAAAAACGGGAGCGCTAGCTTTTACGGTGAGGTAATGACATCCGATGCGGTACAGAGTTTGTTGTTGTATTAGAGATAAGTTATATTGATTACATATTGTTTACATAATGCTTTCAGCGTATTATAACAGCTTGTCACCCAGTAATCAGCACAGTTATTCTGCAAAATTAATGTTAAAGTGAGCGGCTTATGGATATTGGATAAGATGAAATAGCTAAGCATTCAGCCCCAAATATACATCTCATTGAAACTCCCAAGTGATTTTACAAGAGAGAAGTTAAAGGCCTACAAGGCTTTGGATGCCAACAATTTTGTTCTGTGTGGTCATGTGCAAGAAACAATGCTCCATGATTCAATGTAGTCAATGTAGTGCTAAAACGAGATTCTGCCTAGCCAAAGACAAGAAAATAAGACGGAGCTATACAAGGCCTGGGTAATCATCAGCAAGCTAAACAAATGCATTCTGACAGCGAACTGCAACTGTACAGCAGGGTATGTGAACATTCATTTTTTCGGTTATTTCGATACATCAGCATATACAAATACAGTCTCAGTCATACAGTGGGAAAGTAAAAAAATATATATATAAAAGGGGGAAATATACAAACAAGTAAACATGGTAATACAGTCAGGCTAGGAGCAAAATATATATACATATATATGCATGCACATACACACATATGCATACATACACACACATACACCAGAGAGTAGAAATTCAGGAGAGATTATTGATGTAATGCCAAAAAGGTGTCCATAACTGCCAGAAGTCATCTGACTTTTGGTGTATGTCATAAGTGAGTTTCTCAAGTGGAGAACAAGTGAACAAGTGGCCACATTTTAAAGGAAGGCACCTGAGGAGACATTTCTTTGCCAGATAGACCAAAATAAAAAACAGGTATTTGGTGTGGGGTTCTAACACATTCTCAACTCCATCATACAACAAATACAATTCTAGAAAAAAATGGAATTTTATCTGAAAGAGTCCTTGTAGAAAATGATGTATTTTTTCCCAAAAAGAGATGATTTTGTCACAATACCAGAAACAGTGAAGGAATGTTCCTTTGGATTTTTTGCAGTTAAAACAAAGATCAGAGGAGTTTCTATAAATCTTTTTCAGACGCAAGGGTGTAAGATAGTGAACATTCATTTTTACATTTCATTCTAAGCATTCAGTGTCCGCAGTTTAATTCACCATATTTACCTGTTTATGCTGAAATCATTGCTGCAATCAAAAAGAGTAATGTTTATGATACAGCATAGCGTGAACTTCCCTAATATGAAATGAGAACTGCAGAGTCGAGCATTTTTAATTAGGTCCTCACTCCATTCAGCTCTTAAAAGTCTGCGGTTGGCATTAAAAGCAGTGTGATGTACGGTAAAATTCAAGTTATCTATTTTTCAAATTTGGCATCACCGACAACACGACATGTTTGCTATTGCAACTGGTCTTTTTTGCAACCGGTATGCACGGTTGAACCCGTGTGACGTCATGTGTGACATTGACCATGTGCGGCTGGTAATTCCCCTATATCATTGCCTCTGCTGCAGCCATTATACAGCAGGAAAGTTCCTTGATCTTTACACCTGAAAGTATAGGATAGTTTCTAGCCATGTCAACCTAAAACATGGCATCCTTTCAATATATGTTGGTCTCAGTAAACAGTATAATTAGAGTCAAGCTTAGGAAAATGATCACTCTTTTTAAATTTGTTTTAACAAGATGCCCATAGTTTAATGCAATTTAATGATCTATGCTAAGCTAAGCTAAAAGTGCTCTTACCAGTTTAGGAGTTTATCTGAATGTATTCAACAATTGTAAAATTGTAAATGTTTAACATAATAATTTATTTCCAAATAAGTGCAGTGTTCTTTGAAAGTGATAACAATGTCATAACAACTGCTTTCAAAAAGCAACCAAGATGCAAATACTGCCTCTGGTTGAATTTTTTTTTCCAATTTTTCCTAGTCAAGTATAATATCGACCAACCACCAAAACCTCACTTCAGTAAAGTTGAAGTAGATGCAAATGATGAAATACTGTTATACAGTTATACTACACAGAATTTAATGGCTAAAGTTGAATTATTTAATCATTTGACCACCTTAAATTCATTCAAAACATGCATTATATGAATTCTTATAAAAGCAATCAAATCACTTGATTTATAAAAGCCAGTATAGAAAAGCAGGTTTCTTGGAATCATAAAGTAATCAACACAGGCTCACTGGAAAATGTGCTTCAGTCTGCAATTTATATAAATAAAATAAAATAAAATAAACTGTGGCGAAGCAGTGGCGCAGTAGGTAGGTCGCTGGGTTAGCTGGTTCGAGCCTCGGCTCAGTTGCCATTTCTGTGTGGAGTTTGCATGTTCTCCCTGCGTTCGCGTGGGTTTCCTCCAGGTGCTCCGGTTTCCCCCACAGTCCAAAGACATGTGGTACAGGTGAATTGGGTAGGCTAAATTGTCCGTTGTGTGTGAATGTGTGTGGATGTTTCCCAAAGATGGGTTGCGGCTGGAAGGGCATCGGCTGCGTAAAAACTAGAGCTGTGAACCTACACTAGTGTCACGGTTTGGTTCGGATACGATTATCATGCCATTGATTCGATTCAATTCGATATTTCGGTGCATCACGGTGCTTTGACGGTGCTTTCCGTACACAGGTTTTTATTTCTTCACAGTAGCATTTCTTGTATTAAAATGTATGAATACATTTATATATTATTTGTATTTTGTCTTTTAATACAAACAGTCAGATAAATAAACTGTAACATTAAACAAAACAAGCATTTAGCAAATAATATAAACAAATATAAATATCCAGCTCACTTTCTGATCCTTGTCTAGGATCAGATCCTTGTCTTCTCTTACACCTCTTTGATTGGTCACACCCTCAAAAAAAAACGGTTGCGATTGGCTCTTGCGCGCTGCGTTCTTCACAGATGAGTGACACTGATAAGCGGCAGGCGGCAGCGGCAATCTCACAGCTGATGTATGATAGACACGGTGGAGAAAACTCTGTAGACACGCGCTCCTTTCTGTATGCAAAAGTAACGCTGTAAAACAGCCGAGAAGAGAAGAAAAGCCACGTCAGCAGGTCAAATGGGCCACTGTGTGTGTGTGTGTGAGAAAGAGAGAGAGAGAGAAATGGAGTAGGCTACTTTCATTCTCTCGATCTCAGTGAAATAGGGGGTTTTGTTGTATATGTCAGTAAAAAACTGATCCAGCAAACACACACAGTAAAATTGTGAGTTTTAAGTAGTTAAAGCGATGTAAATACTCGCGATCGCTTCCCTCGCGACAGAGCGCATATGAGGTAAATGACGTCAGTAATAACCGGTTATGATTATTACTGAACCGATACCGAATCGTCCGCATCGCAGTGCACCGAAAAAACAATTAATTTTGACACATCTAGTAAAAACTTGCAGGATAAGTTGGCGGTTCATTCCGCTGTGGAGACCCCGTATTAATAAAGGGACTAAGCCGACAAGAAAATGAATGAATGAATGAAAATAAACTGTAAAAATGTACTTTAAAGTGCATTTGACTGTAATTTCTATGTAAAATGAACACTTTGGGAAGTATAGTCTATGCCTCAGATCCCACACTTTTCTGGAAACACTTTAGCAGATCCTCAGTAGTGCTCTGATTGGTTTAAACACACAGGACTTCCGGGAGTCGAGTACACAACCAGTCTACCTAAAAAACAAGTCTGGGTGGATAAAAAGCTGTGATGTTTATATTGATGACAGTGCTCATTAATAGACCTACATGCAGGAGTCTTCAAATTCTAGGTTAAATTTCAGTGTATATAAGTAAAAACGTCTTCTGAGACAATTATTCATCAGTGATTTACTGCCTGCACATCTGTCTATTATTGTGAGGATAACTTAATCCTCACAAGAGCATTTATTAAGTTAACTTAAACACTGGAGTACTAAAATTATGTACTGCATGACTGCTTCAACTCGTGATGTCGACAAATATGCAGATATACTAGTTTTTATCGAATGGCAGTGAAAAACCTTCAAATATTCTGTCATTTCTGTCATAAAGATACGAGAAAGACATTGTTCAAAATAGTAGTATTTTTTATTTGTGGACACTCACAAATACAACCAAAATTGCTTTTATAGAACAAAGAAAACTTTCATCTGTCATCTCAGTCGGCGTGATATTTATGTAGAAACGTGTGACCAAAATAATTAATGAATCTCAGAACAAAGTCTACAAACATGTCCTACTGAGTTTCTATATGTTTTGCTGACAGATTATTGAGGATATTGCGTTGTTGCTGTTGTAAACCTTTAAAGACGTTCATGAATGAATGATGTAAGGTTTCATGACGGGCTCTTATTCTGAGGAGATTTCCTCTCAAAAAACATGCCACGGCACACAACGACATGTGATTGGTTGGTTAACCTGTCAGTCAAATAACATAGTGGGTGGCCCTTGACCAATTAAAATGGTGAATATTCTCAGACATGGCTACGCTAGTGTTTACAACAGGCTGTTATTCTGTGGACATTTTCACACCCCTAAACTTTTCTCTTATACAGTTGCTTTTGAAAACACCTGGTTCGGTTAGAGAAGAGTTTAAGAGCGCACTCATTATGCTATCCGAACCGTTTCCCGGTTCGTTTGAGAAGTGTGAGTGCTCTGAATCGGGCTCAGGCGCGGTTCAGGTGTGCCAGAGCGCGGTTCACTTGGGCTTTGGTGCGGTACGCTTGTAGTTTGAGTGCAAAGTGTGCTTGAGCCTGAAACTGAAGAACTTTCATATGGATTTATTAGTCATTCTTACTGTTTAATGAACACAAACTTAGTTTATTAAAGTCGCAAACCCCTCGCTGCATGACAGCTGCACCTTCAGCTAACCTCCTAATTCCTGCAGCATGAGGACTTTATAATTGGTTATGAGCGTCAAAAGTGGCTGATCTGCTCAGAGAAATATTAGACTACGTGTCCAAGCATCCCACTAAAATGATATAACTAAAGCAATGTCCACTGTGCTGAGCGAGAGCGCTTCTCTTTCTGTTAAACTGAACAGCACAGCATCAATGATGTAGGTGTGCTTCGGCTCAGATGTAGTGTGAGTGCAGGCCGTCGGGGGACAAGGGAGGGAGGACAAGTGTGCCTTGGCACAGTTCAAGGCAACTGTACGTAGTGTAAGGATGCCCTAAGTCAGTGGTTTACCTTTCTATCTGATCTGTACGACAAGCTTCGCCTTCTCATGAATGTGTACAAGAAGGACATGTAACTAAAACATACAACTAACTGGACTCTAATCAATGCATTTCAGATCGACAAATGTAGACAACGCCCTCTAGTGGATTTTTAAATCTGAAATGTGCAGCGGAATTTACGTTTTGCCAAAATGTAGACTAAGACATGAGTTTCTAATGAGCTTGGGTTGAAAATAAGGTACAAAAGTACCAGGGGTTTATTTGGTGGTCAATGCATTAACATTAGTAGAGTGATTTTCCTTGTGAAAGTGTGTTTTTCTGTCTTTGTCATTTCTTCTTTTTTTCTTTTCTTTTTTTAAGCATTTTTTTGGTGAATTTTCCCTTGCTGACAGGATTGAAATTGATTTTTCAATTTTAATTAAAAATCTCTCTTGGTGCAGGAGGCACAACAAGCTGAAAATTCACAAAAGCTTCAGAACGGATCTGTCACAGAAGAGCATCCTGATGATGACACAACAGTAATACAGATTTAACTTAATTCAAACCTTTCCATTTATAACTATTTCGGTGCACTTCCAGACACACGTCAGCCCTGCACTTCATTGTTTGTTCTGCGTCTGCTTTTTTTTTTTTACTAGGTTTCTTTTCACCTGTCCTTCACAGCAACTTAACACCTAGGCTATGTTGGGATTGGTATATACAACTCACACTGACTCTGCAGTATGTGAACTGTTTGACATTTGACAAAAAGTCCTCTATAACCAGGGTGTCTGTGTGGTCTTAAAAAGTCTTAAAATGTCTTAAATTTAAAAAACTAAATTTTAGGCCTTAAAAAGTCTTAAATTCACTGAAATATTGTGTTGAAAGTCTTAAATCATTTTAAACAGGTCTTAATTTCCGTTTGTACAAGTAAAAATACCCAATCTGGCCAACACCCAATCACATATTGTCCAATTTACATGATCTTACATTAATACAAAAACTATTTACAGAAATAACTGGGCCATTAGAAAAAATCCTTAGTGTTTAGCCCTGTATAAGTCTAAAATTTCGTTCATAATGGTCCTAAAAGGGTTAAAGACTTAAAGGGCACCTAGGTTACCCCTTTTTTCAGATTTTTTATTATACCTTTTACAAGATTCTAATTGAAACAGTTTTTGCACTGGGTGGCAGTTTTGCTGTACTGCGCCTTTAAGGCTAGTCCTCTCCGCCCACCGTTTCTATGTGCCTTTCTGCGTGCCTTAATCTCCTCCCTCGGCTGCGTCAGACAACAAACTGGCATAAAAGAAGCAGATCTCACGTAGCGTTTGTGAGAAAAACCACTGTAAGAACTTTACCAATCAGTATTCGGTGCATTTGTTGTGTTGATTTACAATGATGAGTCACACACAATGTCGTTACAAAGTTCATGCACACACAGATACACACACACATATAGACAGCACGGACACGATACACACAGACAGAGCGCATTTAGCTTTGCACATGTTTTGCACACAAATGTGACAGGATACAGGTTAATCTCCGCTGCTGTATGAATATCTGTCATATTACAAAATAAACCTGATTTAATGTCCACAAACCGGGATTGAAGCGTCTTCTTTTATAATTGTTCTGACACTTGGCTGTGCTGATGAAGTAAAGCTGAAGTAAATAGCTGTAACTACATACATGCGCTGTTTTAAAACATTTTAAACTTGTAAAACTCACTCTTCTTGATCACATTTGATGATGATTGATGATCCTAGCGAACTGAACAGACCTTTTATTCCCGGTTGCTTTGCGCTCGTCCCCTCTTGTTGATATGATTATACATGTGACTACCGGGACATGTTACGCAGCTGTCAATCAATTCGGTAGGTGGGGGGACCGCCCTCCTACGTCAAGTTGCGATCGGTCTGAAAACCGCTCCAATTGTTCCACCGTTTTTATGTTGTTAAATTGAAAAAAAAGTACTGTGTGTGTTTATATCACCCCAATTTGACGGTCTATACACTATACCTACACATATTTCTGTCCAAACAGCTTGAAAAGTAGATTTTTCACCATAGGTGCCCTTTAAGTCTTAAATTTGATTTGAAGAAACCTGCAGAAACCCTGTATAACTTACATTCGCAAAATTGCTCAGTGTATTCCATAATGTATTATTACATCCTTGATTTTGACATATGCTTTTGCTTGATTAACCTCCAATAGTTTAAAACCTTTTCGCTCAAAAATGAAAAGTGTTTATTAAATGGAAATTGGATGTTAAAGTAACACTTTACAGCAGAGTCTTGTTTGTACACATACCTGAATTAGTCACATATATTGCATATATTAACCATTTTACTGTTTGCTAAAATGTCTTTGTTGATGTTAGTTCAAAGTGAATTAATTATTGTTAACATTTAATTTTAAAGTATTATAACAAATGCGACTCTTGACCTCAAAATTACAACTTTAAAGGTGATTAACCACCTAATTCCAGATTTTCAAATAGTTGTGTGTTGGCCAAAAGTGGTCCTATAATAACACACCACACATCAAAAATGTAAAACTTCATTCATTCATCTTCTGCCGCTTTTCCGGGGCCGGGTCATGGGGGCAGCAGTCTTAGGAGAGAACCCCAGACTTCCCTATTCCCAGACACTTCCTCCAGCTCCTCCGGTGGGATCCTGAAGCGTTCCCAGGCCAGCCGAGAGACATAGTCCCTCCAGCGGGTGGTGGTCGAAATGTAAAACTTATTTATATTTTCAGATGATGAATAAATCTGGAAGAACGACTTATGATGGATTTTGTGGTCCAGGGTCACAAATGTTTGAAGTTAACTGTTCATTAAATGATATACAAATATTATAGTGCATGTTAATTAGTTAACTAATGTTAGCAAATAAAACCCTCTGTCAAGTGTTACCCCAAAAAAGAGTAAGGAGCACAATGTCAAACGTCAGTATGCCATTCCAAACATAGACACCACAAAAAATGTTTTCACATCAAGCATGCTGTCTTTATTCTTTGCCCTTGTGTGGTGTGTATTTTGTAAGAATCAGGCATGCCTTCTAACTTTTTCTAATACAAAAAAGGTTCAAATGTTGTATAGTTTTTCCTAACTATTTTTTTTTCTCCCAGTTAAATTATGCCATTACAGTTGAAGTCATAATTATCAGCCCCCTTTGAATTTCTTTTTCTTTTTTAAAATATTTCCTAAATAATGTTTAAGAGATTCAGGAAATTTTCACAGTATGTCTGATAATATTTTTTCTTCTGGGGAAAGAACTATCTGTTTTATTTCGGCTAGAATAAAAGCAGTTTTTAATTTTTAAAAAGTAATTTTAAGGTCAATATTATTAGCCCCTTTAAGCCATATATTTTTCTGATAGTCTACAGAGCAAACCATCGTTATACAATAACATGCCTAATTACCCAAACCTGCCTAGTTAACCTAATTAACCCAGTTAAGCCTTTAAATGTCACTTTAAGCTGTATAGAAGTGTCTTAAAAAATATCTAGTCAAATATTATTTACTGTCATAATGGCAAAGATAAAATAAATCAGTTATTAGAGATGAGTTATTAAAACTATAATGTTTAGAAATGTGTTGAAGAAATCTGCTCTCCAGTAAACAGAAATTGGAGAAAAAAAATAAACGGGGTTTAATAATTCAGGGGGGCTAATAATTCTGACTTTAACTGTACATTGCACTTGTAACCATATGTTTTGTATTTCCAGTTATGAAGTTACTAGTTAAATTATTGAAACCTTAATGTTTGTTTAGAAAGTTTTTACTTTCTTTTTCTTTATTTGAAAAATGTGTTTTATTAGTCACACTTTATTTTTAATGTACAATTCACACTATTACAAACTATTTACTATTATTTTTAGCTCAAACTACTAATTAGTTATTAATAGTAAGTAAGGTTGGTTGGGTTTAGGTAATGGTAAGTTTAGAGATGTAAAATAAAATTATGCTTTAATATGTTTATGCTAATAAACAGTTAATATATTAATAATAAGCAGGTAATAAGCCAACAGTAAATGGTGTGAATTGTTACTTAAACTAAAATGTTACAATTTTCTCTTGAAAGATAGAAATGTCCTTTTGTGGCTGTTTCAACGTTACAAACTGATTGATAATGGCAGTTTCTCATATGTCTTTCCCATGCTCTAATATGACAAAACCCTCTTTTCTTTATCACATTTTTTCCCCTTTCTTTCCACCACAAACAAACCCAGTTCAATACCATTTCTTCCATTTTAAAAACTTCCCAGGATCCTCCGCTGTTGGTATCTTCCTGTAGTGTCATGACTGTTTTAATTTTGAATGTCCTGAGATGAGTTGTGTGTGTCTTTAGAAAATAGAACTCAAAGAGGCTGAGCAAAATGGAGATGCACACACAGCAGAGCTGGAGGAAGACGAAGAGAGCAAGAACGCAGAGACAGACGCTCAAGATGAGAACGAGGAAGAGGAGGAACCTGCGGAAGAAGAGGAAGAGAGTGTAACTGTCCATCAAAATCTTCTATTTAACCCCTCAGCATCATTTGTTTTCCCATAACTGCTCATTCTTCCTCCATTTAATCACATTTTTTTGCTTCAAACATTGACCATCTCAATTTTCTTTATTCAGGTTCTCCCGTAATCTCTCCTGAAATTAACATCTAACATCCGCCTTTACCATCTTCGTCCTTGTAGTTGGGTTCATGCTAGTGCTTTCTGTTGCCAGTGTGTAGATTGTATGGGGTTTATTCAGTAAATGTGCTTCTGCCTTGTGTGATTTGCTCATTTTAATATTTCCCTTTCTTTTTGTTAGAGAAAGCCAGCTGAGGAGGAAGAGCAGGTAAGTCTTTTTTCTTTTAATAAAAATGTCAAGCTAGGCTCATTGCATTGAAATTAATTCACGCCTCCTCCTGAAGTGACTTGCGAAGCGCCTTCACAATTTGCAATGCATTAAACATCGTTTTCCAGCCGTGCTTCATTCTCGAAATGAATGGTTTGTCTAAAGAGATGTATACAAACTATATAGTATACTATGACCAGGGATGCAATCAGTCAGCGCAGTCGTCCCTCTATAGTAAAAGGAGACATTTTGTGTCTGGTGGTTTGTTTACTTGCAGGAGTTCCATTGGCATTTTCCTGCACAATAATTCTGATCTATCGAAAAGCAGTTTAGGAAATACGTTCAATGACATCTGGCCTATGAGTGATGTGGATTACGTCACATGACTGCATTTTGGTTCTTTTCAACTGGTTCGGACCAAAAGCAATCAGTGTGGTGTGAAAAATGGCAGTAAAATGCTACAATGCATCATTTGTTGCCTTTGGTCCAGACCAAATGAAGCGAACCACAGATGTGAAAGCACTCTTACACGGCATGATTCTGAATGGCTGACAGGTCCAGATATTTAGCATGCCATGTATCTTAGGGTGTCAGCGACTCATCTGTGATTGTCTTAGGGTGCTTTCACACCTACACTTTCGTTTTGGAACGTGTCTCGTTTGCCCAGTTAGGGCGGTTCGTTTGGCATATGTGAACAGGGCAATCGCGCTCTGTTCCGCGCCAAAGTAATCGCTCCGAGATCGCTTGAGTGAGGTGGTCTCGGCTCGATTGAAATGAACCCTGGAGCGGTTCGATTGCAGTGAGAAAGCGATCCGATCCGAGCGCGCTTATATCACAGTGTTTTATGGATATGTAATAGGCATACGGCTATATGAAGAGAGAATTATGAGTAGGGCGGGAAGTTTCGCGAGTCTCCGGATGCCCGCAAACGAGTGATGATCTCCCGGTAATCTTACGTCTCTCTCCCAGTCCTCAAATAGGCATCGTTGCGCACCCTTCTCACCCCTCCCCACCGCATCTCTCCTGAGACACGTCACACGCGCGCACCCTGTCAATCACCACCAAACCACCACCTCCCTGACAGCTGAGCGGGACGCTGCAAAATAAACCCTGACACTCTGACCAATGTAAGGAGAGTTTACTCGCACGTGACTTGTTTTAGCTCTTTTGGTCCGATTAGAAACTTTGCAATGTGAAAGCGAACCGCTCCAAGAGCAAAGAGCAACAATGTAACAATTTTAATCTCTGTTTCGGAACAACTGAATCGATTCACAGGTGTGAAAGCACCCTTAGATTATGTTTTTGATAGCTCTCACTGTGCGATTGTTACACGCATGAACGAGCACCGATTTGCCTGCGATTTCTCAAAACCTGTCGGCGAGTCAAAATCCTGGCAAAAATCATCCAGTCTGAACTCGGCATTAGGATACTTTTTGTTTCACTTTTCAGTAAAACGTGAGTCTTAATGTACAGATCACGTAGACCAGTGAATCACTGACCTAAACTCAACACAATTGTGTTTTCAAAAGCAAACGTAAGAAAGTGTACTGTGATCTCGGGTTGGGCGATGTCGACCAATTTGGCATTGTACAATGTCTAATGTGAAACATCGCATCGTAGGCGGCGGTGAATTAATTATTTATGAACAATTAATTAATTAATTCAAAGCGAATAATTATTTGTAGCCTACCATTTCAACTACCTGACCCGCATAGTCTTTGTTTTACCCATAAACAAATCATTAACAAATAAAGATAAGTTACACACAAATTACCACCTGTCAATCACTTTTTCCACGGGAGTCTGGCATGAATAGGCAGAGTGATCTGTGTTGTTATAACTACGCCAAGAAACCACAACCAACAGCAACTAACAGTATCTGAGGTTTTTGCTAAAATTACAAACGTTAATTACAAGCGTAAAAGCAAAAGATTGAAGCAGTGTACTGATGCTGTTACCTGATAGATTCAAAAGACCGAAGAGATATTAGATAGAGACAAGATTAATTAAATATCACGTTTAACAACTATAGTGAGACACCATCCAGCAGTACATCCTTGATAAACGGTCTGACGTGCACTGCTCTCTGGAGTTTTGTGCTTTAAGTCGGAGGCTGATTAGCGTACCCAATTCACCTGGAGCACCAGGAGGAAAACCCAAGCGAACACAGGGAGAACATGCAAACTCCACACAGAAATGCCAACTGACCTAAAAAGGCTTGAACCAGGGACCTTCTTGCTGTGAGGCGATTGTGCTAACCACCCAAGAGAATTTCTCTTTAATGGTATATAGTACTTAAAATTGCAGCCAGTTTGTATGCCAATTTACAGATAGCATTGGTAATTTTACAGAGTATTGAATATAATTTAAAATACCAAAAACGAATGTAAAAAATACATCATTTTCTGTAATACTATTTTTTATTTTTTAATGTTACTCTTTCTGTGATTCACAGGAAGAAGCAGAAGGAGATAAGGTAAGACTGACATTTATATTCTTATTTTATATATATAAAAAAGCATTTGGCAGTTGTGTTTTTTGTTCAAATGATTTTTTTTTAAATAATAAGTGAAATATTTGCTCTTACTAAGAGGGAGACTACAAATGTGTACAAAAAGACGACAATTAAATATATGTATAAGATTGTGGAGAGCATTGTGTAAACATTGGAAGTTATTCTCTCTTTCTGCTTATCTATAAAATAATTGACAGATTGTCAGAGTTTGTGTTGAGCTTGAAATATCAGTTTTGTTTTGTTTTTTTTTACAAAGATGATTACAATTATTTACATCTGGTTCTTGCAACAACAAAAAACCTGCATACTCAGTTTTTTTTAATTTGCAGATTAACGTGCAGTGAAACGAAATGATAATTAACAAATGCTGCTGTTCACACTTCATTGTTTCAGGTTGAGGACAACCATCTGGTCTCAGAGGTGATTTTTGTTCTAGAATAAACTGATTCTAGATCTGCAGTGTGTTTGTAACACTTGTATTCTCCCCATTCACATTCCTTCTTTTCTCACTGACAAGATTGATTTTATATAATTCAATTTTTGCATCTACAGTGCATCTGGAAAGTATTCATAGTGCTTCACTTTTTCCACATTTTTTTTATGTTAGAGCCTTATTCCAAAATGGATTAAATTCATTTATTTCCTCAAAATTCTGCACACAATATCCCTTAATATGTCAATTTTAATGAAAAGATGTTCAATAGGATTTAGGTCTGGGCTCTGGCTGGGCCACTCAAGGACATTCACCGAGTTGTTGTGAATCCACTCAGTTGCCCCAGTCTGAGGTCAACAGCACTCTGAAGCAGGTTTTCATTCAGCATGTCTCTCTACATTGCTGCATTCATCTTTCCCTCTATCCTGACTAGTCTTCCAATTCCTGCTGCTGTAAAACATCCCCACAGCATGATGCTGCCATCACCATGCTTTACTGTAGGGATGGTATTAGCCTGGAGATGAGCTTTTGGCAAATTTGAGGCGGCTTTCTTTGTGCCCTTATACTAAGGAGTGGCTGCCATCTGCCCACTCTACCATACATGCCTGGTTGGTGGATTGCTGCACAGATGGTTGTCCTTCTGTAAGGTTCTCCTCTCTCCACAGAAGATTGCTGGAGCTTAGACAGTGTGACCATCGGGTTATTGATCACCTCCTTGACTAAGGCCCTTCTCCCCTGATTACTCAGCTAAGATGGCCGGCCAGCTCTAGAAAGAGTCCTGCTGATTCCAAACATCTTCCACTTATTGATGATGGAGGCCACTGTCCTCATTGGGACTTTCAGAGCAGCAGACATTTTTCTGCACATTCCCTAGCCTTGTGCCTTGAGAAAATCCTGTCTTGGAGGTCTAAAGACAATTCCTTTGTCTTCATGCTTGCTTTATGCTTTGACATGCACTTTCAACTTTATATGGACAGGCGTATGCCTTTTCAAATCATGTCCAGTCAACTGAATTCACCACAGGTGAACTCCAATTAAGCTGCTAAAAGTATCTCAAGAATGATCAGTGGAAACAGAATACTTATGTAGATGTGATTTTTCAGGTTTTTTATTTTTAATAAATTTGCAACAATTTCAAAAAAATCTTTTTTTTCACATTGTCATTATGGGATATTGTGTGGAGAATTTTAAGGAAATACATACATTTAATCCATTTTGGAATAAGGCTGTAATGTAAAAAAGTGTGGAAAAAGTAAAGCACTAGGAATACTTTCCGGATACACTGTATAAGTGCCTCTCATTTGCTCTCCACAGCCTCTCGTGAATCATTTGCATTGGATTTTGCGCATGTTTTGTTTTCCTTCATCCTTTCTCTTCCAGGTGTCATGGAGGTTTCTTAAAGCCTCACCTGAGATGTTCTCCATCAAAATGGAAAACAGATTTCCCTTGTTTCGGAGCTGGTTATTAATAATCAGTTTTATTCTGAAAGAATGAGTTGAGAAATTAATTGTTTTTCTAAAACCAGACGTTTTATTATTTATGTGAGAACATAATGCTATTTCATTTGAATTGATCAATCAAACAAATTACATCAAATAAAGTAATGTATGTGTTGGATCAAGTACAAAAATCATTGGAATAACAGTTGTTAAAACCATCCAATATTAAACCATCCAATAAAAGTTTCAAACCATCCAATGTTGCGCTACAATTCATATAAAAAATATTTTTAAAATATACAATTGTTTTAATTAGTATTAGTAATAGTACTGAATGAAAATCAGATCAATGGGTTGAATGAAATACACTGGAACCGAAAAGTACTGAATTTAGTTCTGTCATTTCTTCTACTTTTGTGTTAATTTGGCATGTTAAAGCTCCCTTTTCTGTCCCTTCTTTTCTCTCTGTCATGATTACCAGCGATCACTAACCACCAGAGGTCGCTGGAAAACATTTACACTCAGTTAACTACAAATCTGCCATGTTATGGACTACAACACCCAGTCATGCCACACACACACACACACACACACACACACACACACACACACACACACACACACACACACACACACACAACCGGTTCCAGATCCAGACTGATTACACGCAACAGCTAAACAATACTCAGCACATGTGTGTTGACCAGAGGGGTTTAAATAGACCAAATAATCAGTGTGTGAGCAGTTTCAGCTGTGAGTGTAATCAGTCTGGATCTGGAACTGGTTGTGTGTATGTGTGGCATGACGGTGTTGTAGTCCATAACATGGCAGATTTGTAGTTCTATGAGTGTAAATGTTTTTCAGCGACCTCTGGTGGTTAGTGATCACTGGTAATCATGACACTCTCCCTCCTGTTTTTTTCTAGGCAGAAGATGAATTGGTGTCTGAGGTAACTTGGTTTAGATGACCAAAGATTCTATATAACTTGTAGTTGTGATTTGGGTTTTCTCCCCTCATTTCACCACTGATTTTCCTTCTTCATTCCTCCTTTTAACCTCTCGTTTCACTTCTCTCCTCCAGCTGCCGTCTGCCAGTCTTTTTCTTCTCTCTCCATCTGTTTCTCCAGTTGCATGTTTCTCTCATTCCCTCTTTTCAGCTTCAGTACTCCTACTCTTCTCATCTGATATACAATCTGTTCTCTTCTCTAGGAGGAAGAAGAACTTCGAGAGCTTGAGGTAGATTAATGCATGTTTGAATTTTTCTTTCTCTTCTTCCGCTACCTCTGTGTTTAAAACTCAACCCAGGCTCATTGGTAATACATGTCTACATTTTTGTGGAATGTAAAATACATTGCTCCAGGTATTCTTGCTTCATATTTTGGATTAGGGTGCTGAGGGTGCTGTCCACATTTTTATAAATCTGAAATTAGAGTAAAATTAGTTGTGCGTTTCAGATACTTGTAGACCAGTGAACCACTTCCCTAAACCCAAGAAATGGTGTTTTCTAAAACAAAACAACAAGAAATGTGCACTGCAACTATTTAGTTTTACCGTGATTGATGTTATATCTTCTACCATGCTTCACCGGACTTAGGGTGCTTTCATATCTGTAGTTCGCTTCATTTGGTCCAGACCAAGGGTAATAAATGATACATTGTTGCATTTTCTGCCGTCTTTGGGCCGTTTTTACACCACACTGCTGGCTTTGGTCTGAACCTGTTGAAACGAACCAAAATGCAGTCATCTGACAAAATCCACATCTCTCATTGGCCAGATGTTGTTGAACATATTTCCTAAACTGCTTATTGATTGGTCAGAATTCACGTGCGGGAAAATGCCAGTGAACTCCCGCAGGTAAACAAAACCTTTTACTCTGGAGGGACGACTGCGCTGGCTGATTGTATCCCTGCTTTAGACAAACTATACATTACGAAAATGAAAGCGCGGCCGCGGCTGGAAAACAGTGTTTAATGCATCGCTCGTCACTTCAGGAGGAGACGTGAATTAATTTATCTAAACTGCGACATGGTCATCTTGCGTAAATATTACCAACGATCCATCAGGTAATGTTTTCCCCTCTCTCTCTCTCTCTCTCTCTGTACGAACCGCTCCAGGGTACGTTTGAAAGCGTACCGAGACCACCTCTTCAAGCAGGTCTCGGTACGCTTATTTGGTCCACTTTTGGTGCGCACTCGAGTACGATTGTTGCATTCTCACCTGCCCAAACGAACTGTACCAAAAGGGGAAACGAACTCTAGTGCGATTCAATCGAACTAAATAAGGCAGGTGTGAAAGCACCCCTAAACTCGAGCATTCTGCATCGTACAATGTGAGCTACCAAGCAAACTGACCAAGCCAGAAAAATTGTCAATGTAGAGAAAGATAGCTAAGGCAAACATTGTTGATTACAAATCATAGATATGTTAAGTAGTTTTGTTGTATTTATTTGGTGTTGTGCAAAGAACTGCATGGAAATCAAACTTTATTTGTTAATAATGGCCTTGTGAATGTCATTAGTGTGAAAAGTAACAAAAGTTTTCCCATCTCAGGTTCACTTTGCAGTCAGTTTACCGGCCTTAACCGCACCCTGTGGTGGGGCCATTGACTTTGGCATTGACTACACTTCCACGTAGTGTTCATTTTACCTCAAAACTGCAGTCAAACATTTTTGTATGTCCAATGAGCCTGTGTTGCTGAAATCTTTTCACTTGTACTTTTACATGTCTTGGACCAAACTTAATCTACTGTACTTTCAAACTATTTTAGTAGAGTTGGATAGACACTGAAAACACATTATCAGCAAATATAAATGTCTAAGGGTGCTTTCACATCTGTAGTTCGTTTCATTTGGTCCGGACCAAGGGTAATAAATGATACATTGTTGCATTTTCTGCCGTCTTTGGGTCGTTTTCACGCCACACTGCTGGCTTTCAGTCATCTGACAAAATCCGCATCTCTCATTGGCCAGATGTTGTTGAACATATTTTCTAAACTGCTTATTGATTGGTCAGAATTCATGTGTGGGAAAATGCCTATGAACTCCCGCAGGTAAACAAACCGGCAGACACAAAATGTCGTTTTTACTCTGGAGGGACGACTGCGCTGACTGATTGTATCTGCTTTAGACAAACTATACATTTCGAGAATGAATCGCGGCTGCGGCTGGAAAACAGTGTTTCAATGCATTGCACTTCAGGAGGAGGCATGAATTAATTTAGCTAAACTGCGACATGGTCATCTTGCGGAAATATTACCAACGATCCATCAGGTAATGTTTTCCCCTCTCTCTCTCTGTTGGTAAACCACTGTCAATAAATATTTTTCCTCCATATCCCATAATGCACAGCGCATCGGCCTACGGCAGCTGGATTAGTCCAAAAGGCGCTGTACTTTTTGCGGTTCGACTTGTTTTAGTACGGATCATATTCTCACCACAAGCGAACTGCTCCAGGGTGCGTTTGAAAGCGTACCGAGACCACCTCTTCTAACAGGTCTCGGTACGGTTATTTGGTCTGCTTTTGATGCGCACTCGAGTACGATTGCTGCATTCACACCTGCCCAAACAAACGGCACCAAGATTGAAAACAAACTTTAGTGCGATTCAGTCGAATTAATAAGGCAGGTGTGAAAGCACCCTAAGACTCCAAATATTCCAGTGTGTGTTGTACAAAGATCTGATCACGTACATAAACACTACTTAGTAGGGATGGGTACCAAAACTCAGCTTGGTATTGGTGCTACATTTTGAAAGACCGAAGTATTGATAAGCTCTAATGGTTAATGGTTCTGCTATCAGTACTGGAGAATTATTGCTGAATAAACATTACTTACAGTAGCACAAATTAACTGATGAACCTTTTCTGCCACCAGTCAATCACCTAAATTAGTATAACATTAATAGTTAAATAAACACACATTCGATTACAATGAAAACAGTATTTTTTTTTCTGCAGTAGCCTAAATACATCTTAAACATTAAAAATGCTTTGACATTAGTGATGGGTCGTTTATGAACAATTCGTTCATTTTGAACGAATCTTCAATAGGACTCGGGAACTACGAGTCCTCTCAGGGAGTAATTCGTTCATCTGCGCGTGCGCACATTTGTGCAGGTTGTATCGTTAATTTCAAGTCTTCATCACATTGGCAGAAGCCAATCATATGCGTTTAGAGCCGGAAAAAGAATTGATCCGCTCCCCTCTCGAGTCCTCTATCGGGTCTGAGTCACTCGTTCATCACGGGCCAATCATACGCGTTTAGAGCCGGAAAAAGAATTGATCCGCTCAGCTCTCGAGTCCTGTATCGGGTCTGAGTCACTCGTTCCTCACGGGCCAATCATACGCGTTTAGAGCCGGAAAAAGAATTGAACCGCTCATCTCTCAAGTCCTCGGGTTTGAGTCATTCTGTCACGTAAACAACGAACGATCATGGCTCCTATCGGCTCAGACTGTGCATTGATTAAGATTATATGTGACTGTCAGTGTAACGTGAATGAACCCCTGACATTTAAAGATATGAAGAGGTGAGCTGAGCAAAGAGACAACAATACCTTCAGACAAAAGAGCAGGGAAACAGTGAATTATTATTTTCTCCTTCTTATAGTATTCTAGTTATGACTTATTTGTCGTGTGATCAACCTTTTGGGCTAGTTGTAGATGTGATTGGAAGCAATTCATAACATTTTAATAATATTTTGGCAAATTGAACCAAATGAACGAAATGACTCAAAAAGATTCGTTCATCTCGATGAACGAGACTCAAAGATCAGTAAAGTCAGTAAAATGGTCCGAACTTCCCATCACTTTTTGACATTACTGTCTGTATTTACAAATATAGCCTATGATAAACTATGCTTATTAAGGAATTATAAAAAAGGCTTATTTTTGCATTGCAAGATGCTCCAATATTGTATTAAAAACCCTATAACTCCCAAAACACTGTTGACTCATTTATGTGAATGCGTTAATGAAAAATCATAATCATTATTTTTTTAACGGCATTTTGCAACTCAAAGAGGGTATTTTAAACTGCAGGGAGCACAATAAACCAGGAAAGATCTTGACATTCACGAATGTTGATTTTTCTCCAGAATAATGGTTGAAAACAGAGTCGTTTTCCTTCAAACCATTGTACATTGTTTTACAGGAAACAAATATTTATTTGTTTTACAATTATTGGTTTCATTTTATTTTACATTAAATGCAAAGGCAGGGAGAACATGCAAACTCCACACAGAAACGCCAACTGAGCCGAGGTTCGAACCAGCGACCTTGTTGTAAGGCGACAGCACTACCTACTGCGCCACTGCTTCGCCCTAATTCTGTTCAATTTGGCTTTTTTTCTATAAAAAACACAACAAAAAGTACAGATAAAGTACTGAACCGAAGTGGTATCGATAAAAGTAGTAATACCATTAAAAACTTAACGATAACCATTCCTACTACTCAGTGTGTCAAAGCATGAGCACTAACCACTAGATCAGCATTTCTCAATCCAGGTCCTCATGCTCCACCGCACTGCACATTTCCTATATATTTTTCTTTTCACTTCAGATGTTTGTCCTAATTCAACAATAAGTGCCCTACAAAGTGAACTCCACAGGCTATTCCACCATGATTTCAGTTTGAAGGAGCCCATATGTTTCATTCAAATGGCATTTTAGAGAATGTGCTGTGTGAATGTATTTTGTCATGGTATTTAATTTTTTTTTATAATATATATGGATGTATATTATGTCACACTTCAAGTTTTCTTGGGTCTGTGTGTTCAAAAAGTGGGCGGGGCAATGTTTTGTTCAGCCAACAACTAAACGGCTAATGACCAGAATGGATGGCAAATCATTCTGGTGAACTGGCAAAATGATTTACAATTTATTTTGATGGTCCTTTTGTTGAATTAAGTTACATTGCATCTACATGCCATCTAATTCTCATTAGATTAAAGGTGCAGTAGGTGATTGTCTTCAGAAGCATTTTTTGTTGTGCTGGTTGAAAGTCTCTTCACAGTCCAATAGTAATGATTAAAGTTAATGATCTAAATGTATTTATATGTATTTTTATATTTTGGGTAAGGCGTAAAACTAAAAAATGTTCATCCAATTAAATAGAGTCAGACCGATATCTCTCATAATTCCGATAAGTAGCTCAGACTGTCTGTCAGCAAATACAGATTTGAACAACTGCGCAGCCGTTTGTACGCAGATCCGCCAACCGCTGTTGGTGCCGTGCATTCACGAGAGAGGGCGCACGCTCGATCGGTGAAAACCTGCTTGATCAAAACTTTTTAAAAGCCTAAATCAATATTGGAGTTACCTTTGCCTGATGGAGAAAGGATGAAACATTGGCTGAAGGATTTCTCTTAGACAGGTCATGTTTTGTTTTAAAACTATTTTAGCTTCAAGGAAAGCCGATGTAACGTTAGATGTTGATACAAACGGGTTATATCTTCACAGAAGTGATGTTCAGCCACTCAAATCTTCCGATAAAAGATTGATAACACTTTTCAGTTTCATAAGGGACCTTTTACAGCATCGATATTGTAGATTTTAATTAAACAACAAAACACAAGTAAATAGCGCCATTCCGCCTAGTTTCTCCCTATATTGTTTACCATGCAAGTCTAAATATTCACTCTGAAATCGCATGTCAGTTTGGCCAACACAATCTCACGGCAATTCGTAACTTTTTCATTTAGTGGCTAATTCATATGAATTCATACGATCTAATTCGTAAAATTTAGTACGATTTGCTCATCCCCCAACGATGATTGGGGTTAGGTGCCACGCCTCCTTTTTAAAATCGTACCATTTCGTACGACTGAACTCGTACGAATTCGTATGAATTAGCCACTAAACTGGCAAAATACTTACGTTTTCTTGTGAGATCAGGCTGGTTTGGCTTGCTCGCCACCGAGCAAACACTAGTCGCTTTTAACACATGAGAGAGGGTTCTTTTGCTGTGCTCGTGTTTAAGGAGGCGTGGCTCTGGATGACAGGGGTGGGACTTTGATTCAGAGATTTATGCTAAGCTGTTAGCATTGTAGATCACCTACTGCAACTTTGAGGCCCAATCCCAATTCTATTTTTGTACCCCTACCCCTTCCCAATACTTTCGAAAATCATGATCGTAATGTACATATGCCTGCCTAATATCTGATGGCCAGAAAGTGATTAATTTTTTATAAATTGTTAAAATTTTGGTATTTGTGATGCAGCAAGTCCAGAGACCGACGTGTACATTATGATTTCATATAAAATTTACTTTTATGTGTGATAGGACTAAAAAGTAGTCATAAACAAACATTTTCTCAGTTCAAACGAGTGGCAGCTTGAAACGGAAACAGTATTCCATACGTCACCGATACGTAACAAGCGGATAGGGGCTCTTTAAAAAAAGGGTCATGCAAAATTTGTAGATCGTTGGGGCACGAGGACTGGGATTTAGAAACGCTGCACTAGAACATTTTATATGTGGCATAAACTCACAACACATTCTGTCCACATTTAGTTGCTGTGAACTTCTCTCCATGAAAATCCTCTACTCCTTATTTCTTAATTTTCTGCATCTCTCCTTCTTCCATCATCATTCCACATCTCACTTATGTTACAGGAGCAGAAATCATGGACGTTTTTTTTCCCTTTCTTTGTTGTGGAAACACACATACATATTAATTCTAACTCTCTTCCACTTTCTGTCCCCCCTATAATTACTTCTGTTTGAGTGCATCATAACCTTCTCCTCCTCCAGTAGCTTCTTTTACACAAATACACTGATGCCGTTTTCTATTTTCATGTTGAATTCCTTCATGTACAGGAGGAAGAAGAACACCCATCAGAGGTAGTATAGAACATTTCAGCTTGTTTCAGCATGTTTTGGTCGCTGGAGGACAGGTACACCATTGCATGCCATCAGTTATGTTTGTAATCTGAAGACTGGCTAGATCAGTGGTTCTCAACTAGGCTCCCAGGGCCCACAAGGGGGCGTCAGCACACTTTCAAAGGGGGAAGTATTGCTTACTGTAGAATGAAATGTCAAATGTTATGGACAATATAATAATAATGATAATAATTTCTATCTTGTAAAAATATTATAAATGATTATAATTGTATTATGAATATAATAATATGACATATATAACACAATAATGTTCTGTCTGTTGCTGTATGTGGGTAAAAACAACAACCATATACCACAAAATCGGTTTTATTTATATATATTTATGGGTTTTACGGTACATTCATTAAATGTTTATTTTAATAAAAAGTGAAATGAGCATTATAGCATAATAGTCAGCAACAATTGTGGGACAGAATGTGGGTTTGGGTTCAGGTTTAGGTTTCAGAAACTGTCCTGTAGTCAGAGTTGTTGAGATCCACTAGTCCAGATAGTCGGATCTAATATTTACCTTTTATAATGGTGTCACTGATTTGCTTGTTTATGTTTCTCACTGTTGTTACTATTCTTAAAGCTGCTGCAAGTTATCAACTTTCATATTTTTTTTAATTAGATTATTTAATAATAGGTCAAGAAAAAAAAAAACGGTCCCAAGAAATCACACAAAGATGTGGAGAAGATCTTACTTATTGGGCCTTCATGGCCCAACTGTACCTGGATTTATGAACTCACACTCCTCTCAACTGCACTTCCCTGGTGATTGCCTCTGAGAAAGGACCTCCCTTCTTAGAAACGGGGCACCATCTTACACCCGCACCCAGATCTCTGGAACCTCCACGTATGGCCCATAGATTCAGCAAGGAGGACTTAGATAAGAAGACAGAGGCGACCCAGATGCCTGATGTCCTACTAAACGGACATGCCAGATGTGTTATCCTTCTTTCAGGATTAGCTGGAGTGAAGGTTGTAACCTTACACACATTAAGTGACTGCCATATCTGCTTGCCATGTCACAGTGAATGGCAGCATGCTCGGGAAGCATAATCTCATCATTCAATTTCTCAGAGGCTTGAGGTGATTAAATCCCTTCTTATGCCCTCTTGGGACCACTCTGTAGTAGATAGATGCAGCTTGGAGGACTTAAGTGACCTATCGGCTTTGGTGGTCCCTAACCAGGCTATGCCATTTATCATTAACCAGGTTATGTGCCAAAGATCCTACCACACCCTTTCAAGTCCAGGTTGTGAACCTGCAAGGGCTGCCTGCAGAGGAGGCAGACCCAGCCCTTTCATTGCTATTCATGCACTGCACTTTTATGTGGACCGCACTCAGGGCATAAGCCTCCAAGCAGCTTTTTTCTGTTATTGTTGGCAGAAGGGAAGTGCCATATTAAAGCAGAGGCTGGCCCACTGATTAGTGGATGCCATCGCCCTCACATATTATAGCCAGGGCGAGCCATATCCCATGGAAGTGAGAGCACACTCAACCGTGTGAGGAGGCGTTGCCACCTCTTAGTTGTTAGAGGGATGTGGTGCCTCTCTAACAGACATCTACAGAGCTGTGGCCTAGGCGAAAGCTAACGCATTTGCTGATTGTACAATCAGTGTAGCTTGTTTCCTTCAGGTACCTGGGTAGCTTGCTGCGCCATTCTCTCTAACCAGAAGATGTGTGCGAAGATGCCCCATCTGGTGATGCATAAGGGGTACTTCTGAGGCCCCCAACACTAGGGGCTAGGTAAAAAACTCCTATGACCCCGTAAATTCTAGATAATTCCATATTCTGGTAATTAAGTGTCTGGGGTCATTGGAAGGTTGTGCTACACTGAATCAAGCCAATGACCTTTGATGTTAACCCAATGAGAGTCTAGGTGCACTCACACTATACTATCCAAATTTTGCCCAGGCATGTTCCGGGTTCATTGGACAAGTGTGAGTGCTCCGAATTCAGCCCAGGTATGGCTACGTTGGCCGGCCATGGCCCGATTGGAAGAGGTGTGCCAAAACACGGTTCAGTTGGGCTTTGGCCTGATACGCTTGTAGTGTGAGTGCAAAGCGCACCAGAGCCCAAAACCGAAGACGCGATGTCACTTTTAAGGGACTGTTTTATATGGATTTATTAATCATTCCTACTTTTTAGTGAACACAAACTGTCGTAGCTTATTAAAGGGTCACGAAACACCAAAACACATTTTTTGAGCTGTTGACAGTCGTATATGTGTCCCACACTGCTAAAAACACTATTAGGACACCTATATTTCACTAAAAAGTGTAAATTGGTTGTTTTTGCGTTATTTCAAGCAAATTCGAACTTCCTGTTTGAAACGAATTTTTGAAGCTGCGTCACGGTCATGACATAATAGCGTGTATTCCAGCGTGCAGACTGGGCGTCTGTGCCAGAGTGAGTCTTATTACGTCTTACAGTGTGATGCATTAATGCATGAGTAAGGCTTGGTTCAAACCAATCAGCGCGCTCTATTGTGCAACTTCATTAATATTCATTACTGTCACAGTGTTGACGGCAAAGACGCCACGTTGTGTTGGCAAAACAAGCGTGAAGTGTTGCTTTTATAGTTTGCTGCAGTCAAGTTTCGTTTTCATTTTCTCTCTGTGAGAGCTCAGACTCATGTGTGGATTAACAGTGTGCGCGACAACAATAACTTACGTGTCTAAGGAGGATTATTGTTTACCTGAGAGCTGTTCTCATCTGCAAACGCTGAGATTGTAGTCTCCTCTAAATAAAGACGTGGCTCTAGTTGCTGGTGATTGTCCTGTCTCTACAGATTTGGTAAGTGAGCGACCAGTGCTCTTTGTTTATTCAGTTCGTATTTTATTCGTATCAAACAAACTGTTAGCACTAACAGTTACAACCAAACTATAACCTCGTGTTGGATTTTGTGACCGGTATATCACACGCGGCTTTCTGACGCTACCTGCCGTGTGTATCTAAGTTTCCGGGAAATGCTGAGTTTTTTTTTTCTCTCATTCGCTGTGCGGTATCAAACATTGCATGAAAAATACACGCTTAGAGCAGTTCCTCGAATCAAATATCTCGTTTGTCGGGAGGGACATTAATGAATTCCCTGAATGAAAGAGCCAAACTGCAGTTAAAGTCCACCATTTAATTATTTGGCAAATAATTCGACAACAGATGTCCATGTAAACACAGTCACATTGTCAGCTGTGGGTGTGTGTTTTGACTCTGAAATTCAGCGCGCCCAAATAGACACTCCCATACTAAGCCGCTTTTCTTCCTCCGACACTCCCCCCTAAACAGAGCTGGACACGCCCACTTTTCAGACTTTTTCCAAAGTAGAGGTGTGAAAACACCCTGCTGAAACGAGGGGGTTTCATGGCCCTTTAAATATGCAGTTGCACATCAGCCACCACCTTCAGCAAATCTTCTAATATGTGCAGCACAATGACCTTATGATAATTTATACTTTAAAAGTGCTGGATCTGGTTGGCAAAATATTTGACTGCGTGTCACTTCATCCCAAATGACTAAAACGATGTCCAATCTCCACTGTCCTAAACGACAGGGCTTCTCTTCCTGTTAAACTGAACAGTCGCATTATCGATGACGTAAGCATGCTCAGGTTCGAAAAGTAAAAGTAGTGTGAGTGCAGGCCGTCAGGGGAGAGAGGAGGGGGGACAATCACGTTTTGGCACGGTTGAAGACAACTGTACCTAGTGTGAGTTTGCCTTAAGTCCGGAACACACCAAACCAACCTGACTGAAGGAACGTCGAAACCCATTGGCCGATCGTCGGTGTGGTGTGTCCCGGACTATAGGTGTTCTTTATGAGCACCATCTTGTGATTCTAGGCAGGTTTCAGACAGTCATCCCAATTGGTGGGTATTTACATGCAGTGAGAAGACGTAGCATTAAGTGAACCTACTAAGGTTAAATTAGTCCTTAAGGAAAATTTCTTTGTTAATTTTCAACTGATAACGCAACATTACCTTGTCATCATATATCCAGATGGCCAAACAATGTTGGACTTTCAGTTTTTTTTTTGTTGTGTGGTCATTTTATGGAATTTACGCATGACTGTTTTGTTTATGGACCAGGATGGAGGATTATTGAAAGTACACAGAAAGGTTTACTGGACTAATGTAAACATAACGTTGATGCATTGAGAATGTTTTTCCAGATATTGAGCAAGACCATCAGCATGCAGTATCACACATTGATTTGAAAATGTTGTATTGAAATAAACAGGAAATTGACTTCTTCTGGATGGCATGGTTGATGTTCAGATGGAAACAAAATGCAGTGACTTGTGTGTGGAGTTGAAAAAACTGTTGTGACATCTTTTCCTGTTTTCTAGCATTGTGTCTGACTGTATTTTTAAGTGAGAATGTTTAAGATGTTTTACCCAGGCATGTCCAAACTCTGTCCTTGAGGGCCAGTGTTCTGTAAAGTCTAGTTCCAACCACAATCAGACACACCTGGGCTAGCTAATCAAGCTCTTACTAGGCTTTCTAGAAACATCTTTGCATGTCTCTTGAGGCAAGTTGGAGCTAAAATCTGCAAGACCCCAGCCCTCCAGGACCGAGTTTGGACACCCCTGTTTTAACCCTGTTTTACATTGTTTTAACCCTGTTTTACATTATGTTTGGGACATTTTCATCCACTCTAGGGTGCTGTTGAGTTACATCCATACATTGTAATACTTTTTTGAAATTGCAAAGCCATAACACCCTATAATTATGCAATCTTTATAGTTTGTGGTTTTCCCTGTTGGAAAGAGGTACACATAGTAATGTTTTCAATTGAACATCAGTTGCAGTGCAAAAAAAGCTTGGTGCTTTTTAATTTTTTAATTTTAATTCATCAAAATGAATTAAATTAATTTATTTTCTCAAAATTCTACACACAATATCCCATAATGAGAATGTGAAAAAGATTTTTTGAAATTTTTGCAACTTTATTAAAAATTAAAAAAACTTGAAAATCACATGTACATCAGTATTCACAGTCTTTGCCGTGAAGCTCTAAATTGAGCTGAGGTACATTCTGTGTCCACTGACCATTCTTGAGATGTTTCAGCAGCTTAATTGGAGTTCACCTGTGGTAAATTCAGTTGATCAGCCATGATTTGAAAAGGCATACACCTGTCTATACAAGGTCCCAGGGTTGACAGTGCATGTCAAAGTACAAACCAAGTATGAAAACAAAGGAATTGTTTGTAGACCTCCAAGACAGGATTGTCTCAAGGCACGCTGGGGAAGGTTGCAGAAAAGTGTCTGCTGCTCTGGAAGTTCTAATGAACACAGTGGCATCCATCATCTGTAAGTGGAAGATGTTTGGAACAACCAGGACTCTGAGCAACCGGGGGAGAAGGGCCTTAGTCAGGGAGGTGATCAATAACCCGATGGTCCCTCTGTCTGAGCTCCAGCGTTCTTCTGTAGAGGAGAACCTCACAGAAGGACAACCATTTGTGTGTAGCAATCCACAAATCAGGCCTGTATGGTAGAGTGGCCACTGAAGGACTCTCAGACCATAAGAAACAAAATTCTCTGGTCTAATGAGACTAAAATTGAACTCTTTGGAGTGAATGCCATGCGTTACGTTTAGAGAAAGCCAGGCATCGCTCATCACCAGGGTAATTCCACCCCTACAGTGAAACGTGGTGGCAGCATCATGCTGTGGGGATGTTTTTCAGCAGCAGGAACTGGAAGACTAGCCAGGATAGATGGAAAGATAAATCCAGCAATGTACAGAGACATCCTGAATGAAAACCTACTTTAGAGTGCTCTTGATCTCAGACTGGGGCGACGGTTCATCTTCCAGCAGGACAATGACCCAAAGCACACTGCCAAAATATCAATAACTTCACAACAACTCAGTGAATGTCCTTGAGTGGCCCAGCCAGAGCCCAGACCAGACCTCCTATTGAACATCTCTGGACAGATCTGAAAATGGCCGTTCCCTGTCGCTTCCCATCCAACCTGATAGAGCTTGAGAGGTACTGCAAAGAGGACTGGGCAAAAATTCCCAGAGACAGGTGTGCCAAGCTTGTTGACATCATATTCAAAAAGACTTGAGGCTGTAATTGCTGCCAAAGGTGCATCAACAAAGTATTGAGCAAAGGCTGTAAATACTGATGTACATGTGATCTTTCAGGTTTTTTATTTTTAATAAATTTGCAACCATTTCAAAATCTTTTTTCACATTGTCATTATGGGATATTGTGTGTAGAATTTTGAGGAAATAAATGAATTTAATCCATTTTGGTATAGGGCTGTAACATAAAAAGTGGAAAAAGTCAAGCGTTATGACCACTTTCCGGATGCACTGTACCTTGATAAATCAGAGAAAATCAAAATTAGCAGCTCAGCTCTCAGAACTACATGGAGTAAACAAAAACATAGTAATTGTATTTCTGCATGCATACTAAAATATGGTGTTATACTCCACAGAATCCATATAAAAGCTAGGAAGTAAGGTTTTGCACAGGCCTGAACTGGGTTAATGTTGCCAACTGATGATCAACATTAAACATTTACAAATTTGACCTCTCCCAAAAGGAAAAACCACCAACAATCAAGAATGCATGATTATATGGTGTCATGGCTTTGCAATTGAAAATTGTTGTTATAATGTAAATCAATAGAGCAAAAATTGCACAAACGGTTAATGAACGAGAACAAATTTAAATCTGATGTTGCACTAAAACAAACAATGCATCAAAGCCAATGTTACTAATCTTTCTCATGTCCAAGACTGTAAAAAAAGGTACAAATATATGAAGTACACAATTACAATTAATATTGAAAATAAGTCATTTAACTAATTCCATTTTACAATGTAATACTGAAAACAAAATGTGCATATTGCAGAAAATGTTTTCACATGAATTGATTTAGCATTTGACTGATTCAGAATGCTGAAGCTAACAATATCTAAATGACTAAATCTGGACTTTTCAGGTTGACTTACAATTCTTTTACATAGTCATAACAGACTTTTATTACTTAAACCTGAAAAGCCAGGATGCAACAACTTATGAATAATAGCCAGACCACTATAGAGCAAGCATTTATTGCATATTTAGAAAGAATATGCTAATAACTGCGTGATTGTTGTCATTCACAGGAAGACTAGTGCTCTGAAGCTGAGGATTTTGGATCTGGGTTTTCGCAAACACAGGTAATGCATACATCTTTGACACTTGGTGGCGCTGTAGGATAACATACCAGAAAAAAAGTCAATATTGGCCAGCGTGGTTAATCAAGAACATTTGATTGCTTCCTGTTAACAGTTATATTACAGGCAAACAGACTGAACAATTGATAAATGCACAAAACATGCCAAAGGTTTAGCTCTTAAATATTTAATAAATTTTAGATTAAATATTTAATAATATTAATGTTCAATTAATAATTTATTTTAACATGTATTGTACTGCTTTAATGAATAGTCCATGTGATTTGCAAATAAGCATGTAAACCGTATTCCCCGAAGCAATAACACAAAAGCTGGAAAATTACAAAAATCATTTCAATTTCAAAACCATCTCAAGTGCACATAGGGTTGTCAATTTTGACTGATTTTGAGCGAGCAATAATTCATCCTGACCAATTTGAGTGCTCTCTTGGACTTGTGAAATCTTTAATCTGATCCATATTTCTCAGTCTCAGTATTTATTTATTGGTTCCTCTACTTTCTATAGGTCAAAAAATAAATGCATTGATCAGCATTTGAATGTCGGGCATGATTTGTTGGTCCAGAATGAATCTTTTTTATCATCTAACCCGCTATTCAATGATGTTATTTTAATAAATCAAAAGCTTTATTTAAATGCATGTATCAAAAGTGTTAATACATTTGTATTCTGTTTTAGGATTTCATAGGAAACATATAGTACATTTGAGTGCTGATCACTGCTACTGTCACACTCTGACTTGGATAAAAACATCCAAAACATTCAAATTAAAACAAAACATTAAAATTGAAGTATATTATCATACAGCCGAAATATGCTATGTAATACAGCGGTCAAAAATAGAGAACAATTTATGTCAGTAGTCTGTTTTTTACAGCCTGATCTCATGAGGAAACAAGCATTTTGCATTTTGTCAGTTTAGTGACTAATTTGTACGAGATCAGTCGTACGGAATTGTACGATTTTAAAAAGGAAGTGGGTACCAAACCCCACCCCTAACCCCAACCGTCATTGGGTGATGAGCAAATCGAACTTAATTATACGAATTAGATTGTACGAATTTATTCAAATTAGTTTCTAAATCAAAAAGTTACGAACTGCTGTGAGATTGAGTTGGTTTTTTATGGTAACTTGAAGGAAATCCTCTCAAAACTAGCTGTATTTTCATCAAGTTTTCAGAGCAGCTGATGGTAGTATTGGTAACCTTGTAATGTGAAATGCGTTTCCATTTCCAATTATTTACACTAACCCTTTTCACCAGTCCAAAACCAAAAACCTCTTTGTAAATTAAGAAATAGTGCCGCAGTAGGTAGGTTCGCGTGGGTTTCCTCCGGGTGCTCTGGTTTCCCCCACAGTCCAAAGACATGTGGTACAGGTGAATAGGGTTGGCTAAATTGTCCGTAGTGTATGAGTGTGTGTGGATGTTCCCAGAGATGGGTTGCGGCTGGAAGGGCATCCGCTGCGTAAAAACTTGCTGGATAAGTTGGCGGTTCATTCCGCTGTGGCGACCCCTAATTAGTAAAGGGACTTAGCCACAGGTGTCAAACTCAGTTCCAAAAGGGCCGCAGCTCTGCACAGTTTAGTTCCAACCCTAATTAAACACACCTGATCAAACTAATTGAGTCCTTCAGGCTTGTTTGAAACCTACAGGTAAGTGTGTCGGAGCAGGGTTGAAACTAAACTGTGCAGGGCTACGGCCCTCTAGGAATTGAGTTTGACACCCTGGACTAAGCTGACAAGAAAATGAATGAATGCTTCCATTACTCAATTCTCAGGCAAGGCTTCAAAATGTGCTTTGACACCGGGTGATGGAAATAAAACAACAACAACAAATTATTTAGTGGAAAAATAAATCAAATTAAAAACAGCAATGATTGTATCATGAAGAAAGTGATGTAAAAAAAATTACAACAATATTTCTGAAGGTTACCATAGTCAATGATTTGTAGGAAATGTACAGGTCCGTGGTTTGACTTAACACATTTGTAGTTACAGGGCATGTCGTTTTTTTTAAGGGGGGGGGGGATGGATAAGTGACATTGTCAAACTTGAAAGAAACATTCTAGAAATCAAAGTAAAAACGACTTCTCTTGCTGTGTCTGAAAGTGTCATTTTTGTGGCTCGAACACCCTGCTGCCAAAGGGTTTCAGTGAACCTTGTAAATCAGAGAAAACTGTGAAGTTTGGCTGCCAGTTATATATGATTTGTCTGATATTTAAGGCATTTGCCACCAGGTGCAGATTAACACCAATAACTGGCCGTTTTCTGTAATTTTGATGTTTGTTCTTTTTTAAATCTCTAACTTAGGTCTTTACTTTTATTGTGATTACGTTTTTCTTGATTTTACATGTGAGTTGTCACAGTATCTTTCCAAGTTTCTTTCCAATAAACAAAACAAGATCCACTCACCCTCCCAGCCCACACCGCAGCGGTACCAAAGTCCACGCCATCCCACAAATAGCATTGCAATCAAGACAAACAACTAACAGAAGATATATACATACATATAAACATAAGATACACATATTTTAAACGCACACATAACTAATACAGGGAGGTGAGACACAGAGTACAGACACTATTGACAATTCTGGAGGTGATTAATAATGTAAGAGTAAAGAAATGGTTACGGCATTTCAGAACGACCATTCCAGATGTTTTACAATGCGGTCAGCCTGCTGGTTTGTCCATTCAAACTTTTTCATCACCACATGATTTCATAAAAAAGTCTACTTCATAGTTTATGCGTATTTTTTCTTATTAAATAAAAAGTTGATCTTACTCATCATATGTTTTTATGCGCATTTTCAAAATATATGCACGTCTTGGTGTTTCCATCAACCAATTTAACTCAAGTTAGTTTGAGTCAAGTTGCCTAAAAAAGTTGAGCCGATGTTTTTGTATTTTTATGTTCAAGTTTTTTTTGTTGTTATTTAAAAAAATTTTTTATGGACATGAAAAGCATGACACATAAGAAGAGCGAAATCAATCTAATGTTTAACCCTTGATGTTTTTATTTTATTAATGCACAGCCCAGTACACATACGCTGATGATGTGTTTTTGCATTTCAGCTTGAAGTGACACCCCACATGCCCTGGAGCCATCAAAAATCACCAAAAAAATAGAATAAAATACCTTCACCGCAGCTTTACCCGAGCCAAATGTGACACCACTGCAGCGGAGAATATGCACTCAGCACCCCAACTTCAATCCCCCGTGACAACTGTGCCTTATCCCATTACTGATGAGGCTGCAAAATGCCTTTTTACGCTTGAGTTGCTTCATCTTAAGTGGCGAGGTTCCAGTAAATTTAAAGGGATGTCTTTTTTTTTTCTTACTGTACATATAAAAGATAAACTAACATTGTGTAACTTTGTTCTGTAGAATCCCAAATAGTGCCGAACCACATGAATGTGCCGAAAAACAACACTTACAAATACCTCTCTGTGTCTTATATTGTGAAATACACTACCAGTGAAAGATTGGACACACTTTGGCCTCGTTTACACAGTTTTTTTTTTTCGATGCCCACTTCCTATTTGTTGCCTAAATCAGATTTTTTTGACCGTGCGTTTACATCAGGGGTCTCAAACTCAATTTACCTGGGGGCTGCAGGAGGCAAAGTCTGGGTGAGGCTGGGCCGCATAAGGGATTTCACAAAAAAAAGTCCTCAAATGTCATTATTAACAGTTTTAATTATTTCTTCTAAACATGAAGTGTCCTGAACATTAATAGAACATTGAGTGAAGATTATGAACAGTTCTTCTGAACATGGCATCTTTTGCCTACTCCTTGCTGCCAGAGACTTGACAACGCTTCTTTTCACAAATCTGAACCACATTTGTCTTTAGAGCGGAAGCAGTTGAGACCCTCAGTATGGCTTGAAGATGATCATCATTAAGTCTAGACCTGTACTTTGACTTATTGAAGTCCTAGGGAAAAAAGTGGGGGAACTCACTCAAAACTTCCATTCCCTCACCTAAAAAAAAGGCGTATATATGTATAAATAAAACACCCCCACCCCACTCCTGTCACATCAGTCTGTACCAGTCTGTATCTACCTATAATATCAACACAATCTCAGGCACGTGCACACGTAGGGCTCAACCTGTGCAGAGCACATGCTCTTTTTAGTCTTGCATAGAAAGTGCCCTTCCAAAATGATCAAAAGTGCCCCCGCGACGCGACACACCCTCGGTCCCGCCCTTCAGTAGGCGCGCGATAACACCGCTGATCAGAACGCGCGCGACAACGCGCATTGATTGACAAGCGTGCTATGTACGGATAGAATCAGCGGAGCGGGGAGCGCTCTCTCTCCCCGCTGCGCTGACTCTGTCAGTGTACATCGGTCGGCGCGGGCCACAAAATATTGGACTGAGGGCTGCAAATGGCCCGCAGGCCGCGAGTTTGAGACCCCTGGTTTACATGTTCTCTTAATTGTGACCCATATCTGATTCATGTGTTTACACTTGTCACACAATTTACCACATTGCGCATGCGTAAAGGCGGGCTCTAGCATCACCAGCCAAGATGGAAGAAATTGTCTTGCTTTTAGCTCTGCGAAATATGCGAAGTTCACCCAACTTGAAAATAAACATTTAAAATGAAGTTTTAAAATAAAATTTTGAGGCGGAGGAGGAGGGAAAGGGCTGTCTTTGCAGGTTGCGCCTATGGTTTATATATAGTGTCCTCCACTGACTCATCCAAAGGGCAAGAAGGCAGGTAACTTCTGTCGTTGAACACTGACCACTTTCCTCCTTCATGTTTCCTCGCATTGGCGTCTCCATATACGCTCTTCCTTCTTCGTCTACTATTGTCGCAAGTTTAATGACGTACAAAACAGAATGCCTTAATAAATCCGATCTGCCTGTTTACGTGTTAGTCGCATTGTCACATATCTGATTTATTTCCACATATGAAGGAGGCCTGAAATTGATCTCTGAATATCCAAATGCATGTGTTTTTTTTTTCGTGTTTACACGGTTATAGAACAGATCCAACCTTTGTCACATATCAACAAAAAATTGGAATCGGGTCACATTGAACTGGCAGTGTAAATGCGGCCTTTGCTAAATGCTAATTACATAGGATTAGTATTTTGACTTAACTTCAAATTGATAGGCTGTTTTCAAGGCAATCACATTAGCTAGCCTTATTTTGTTGACACTAACACAGGCAGGGACTTGATATCCCATTGTCCCTGAATACTGGAAATATAAAACCGTGCAAGGTTAAAGAAAAATGATCCAAATGACATCAGGTTAAACAAGAACCAACTTTGTATCTGTTTGTTTTCTGTAAAAGCCTGAAACTTTGAGAGATTTCACTTTAAAAAGCCAACATTGTCAATAAATGAATAAACTTTTTGTTTATGAAGTGATGGGCAAGCATTTTAAAATGGTTAAAAACAACCATCCCAGGCTCATTCTGAAAATGTACCTTTATATACATTTCTGGAGAGGGCCAAATACATCCCAGGAGATATATATATTTTTTTGTATGCAGTTTTTGCCTTCGTGAATCCACCAGAGGCAGCTGTGTACGCATTTTGAGATCTCAAATTTCTCTCTCGAGTGCCATTTGCGGCTGCTGTTCTCCGGTAAACCCACCAGAGGCCACTGTCGACTGACTGTTTGACTGACTGAATGACTGACCGATCAACTGACCAACCCTCCTCCTTCCCTAAACCCATCCAATTGTATTGATTGACCCGCCCACCTACTTCCCTAAACCCAACCAACAATTTTCAAAATCAATCCAGAAAAAAAAGCCCTCATCTGATTTTTAACACATTTTCACCCTATTATTTACTTATTTTTTTGGATTCTGTTATTAGCTCCTTTCACACAGTGATACTGGTAAATATCTGGAAAATTTCCGGAACGACTTTACCGGTAAATTCAAAACAGCACTGTTCGCACAGGCACGGACGTTACGGAAGTTTTCCGGAAAAGACCGTTTACACGTCCATTCCAAAATACCGGTAAATTCTGACATCATTTACCAGGATTGACCTCCAAACGGCTGCGCTTGTTTTTGTAAACATTTGACTACATTACAAACTCTGTGGATGGATCAGTATTGTGAACAGCTTCTATGAAAACGTATAGAGAAACACTTTCGCATGTCAAATGTTCACAATATATGTGTGTGCTGGCGCTCACCAGCTGCTTCACGTGCATACGCGTCAGAGCTTGGAGGTAAACAAACAATGGCTTATCATAAGTATTTTATCAATATTTTTTGCACAGTCGGCATTAAGAAGGAACATAGAAATGTCATCTGACTGACGTCTAGCAGCTAAATGTGTCTGGAAATATATTCACAGGCTTTTATTCTCATAAACCGTGCGGACGTGAATGCGTCTGAGTGTTCTGATTGACTAACTTAGACGTCTCATGTCAGCACGTTCTAGACGTGAACACTCTTTCCTGCAATCTTCCTTCTGCATTCACACAGTGCAGCATTTCGGCAAATTACCGGTAATGTTACAACTTCTCTTTCCCGAAAATAGCTGGAATGAATTTATCGGTATTTTTAAAAAGGGCCTGTTCACACATACAGACCTTTCCGAAAAATTGCTGGTAATTTTCTGGGAAGGTCTGTATGTGTGAAAGGGGCTATTGTCTTACTCGCTTTCTGGAATCATTCTTCACCAGACCCGAACCCTGTCGTCATGGTCAACTCCTCTATGCGCCTCAAGTCGGTCAACGTACATGGCGAGCTAACTGGTAACAGTGGGAAAGCTGTCTAAAAGCAGTCAGTTGGTAAGTGCAAAACGGAATGGCATCATACCACCTCATAGCGTTCATTTTAAAAATGAAATGCAGCCATACGTTCTTCTGGCTACATAATTTGCGATCTCCAGAAACGTTTATAGGGCTACGTTTTCAGAATGAGCTTATGTTGCAAACAACCTAAGCTAGTAGCTAGTTTTAGCTAGCTATGTGAACTTTTTCAGCAGAAGCACTTGACTAAAACAACCGTTTTAATATTTCAGTCTCTACATAACTGACGTTATATGCTGAAATATGAAAATAGTATTAAAGATTGAGCAGGTGTGTCTAAAAGTTGACTGGTGCAAAATTAAACTACACAATATGGTTCCAAGTTAAAGTTAAAATTAGACATTGATGCCGTAAAAGGACATTAGTCACAGTTCCCGCCTTTTTTCTGTCCATTGTGTCTGATTTCACTCTGAAAATGTGACGTCAATACTTGCTGGAAGCCATTTTTCTTGTGGTCGGTTGGCAGTTGTAATGCTCTTTGTATGTTGACAGAATTGAATGGTTGGAAATACCCTTATTTACCATTAAAGTTCGACTTTTAACGGCTCTGTCAGATTCATTATGTTCTATTCCTGGCACATTGTGTGTATTTAAAGAGCAATAGTGCTCAACTGGGGTGGTGCCAATTCAACAAAGAGGACGTGACCTTAAAGAGATTCCCCTAGAGATGGTGAGGGGAAGACGAGGCTGTGGACGTTTGTCTCACGCACACATTTCTCTTAACAATAGCAGCACATTTCAGACTGGATTTTAGGCCGTCCCTAAAATATTCATCGCAGCCCGTGAGTCAGAGGCGAATATTTGCAGTTGTCAGTTCAAGGCTAAAAAGAGTGTTTTGCTTTCAGTAATATTTAACTGGCTACTTTTGGCCACATCCCACAGAGCCTGAGAAAGTGCTACTGAGTTGACTGTGGAGATTGTGATCTCTGTTCAGTCTGGAATACTGTAAAACTCATCCTGGATTACTGAAGGTAAGAACATAGCAGCAGGATTTGGGATTCAGAGGGCAGTTGTGTTGGCACGAGCTATACATTTTAGTTGGACAATTGTGGGTGTAATAAATTAGAATTGTGTTTTAATAAATTAGAGCTTATTAGTTTCATATGGTAGCTTTGTTAGCAGTAGAATGTGGAAAGTGGAAAATGTTAGCAGTTATTTTTTGTTGAGAACTTTTTCAATCAAAATGACTATAAATATTAAGTTAAACTTTGTCTAACTTAAAAAATGGGTAGCACTTTATAATAACTACACATTATAAATCATGTATTAAGCATTAGCAAATAGTGAATTCATTTTCTGTTAAGCATTAACTCTACATTAATAAACGTTAGTAAGCAGTTTATAACTGCAACTACAAGTGCTCTATTCTTGACTTATAAGCACCTGTATAATGCGTTTAATAATTGTATTTTCATACTTGGTTAATGAATTTTCATTACTAAATTAATTATTGCATTATTTACAAACCATTTATATTTAAGAGTAGTTGAGGGTTTTTAGAATCATTCAAAATGAGTTAGTAAATGATTAATAAACTATTGAAATCAACATTTGTATATCTTATTATTCAGGCATATACAAATAGTTAACTAATATGCTAATAAATGCTTTATTAACTAAATTTCATGCAGTTTTGTGACCTAATCTAAAGTGAGGACTATTCATGCTTTATAAATCCCTTATAAATGACAAATAGAGGCTCATAATTAAATGAAGAATAATCTTTGCAATCATATCTAAAAAGTAAAATTACTGTAAAGTTTAAACATAGCTGAATAACAGGAGTGTCAAAATACGACATCCAACTGGATAAAACAACAATGTAATAATTTAACAACATAATAAGATGCAATGTTTAAACTCTACATTTTTATTTTTAGATAAGGTTGCAAAGATTTATTTTTCATTTGAAGTTTCATTTGTGTATCTTTAAATGAATAATGTATTTTTTTTCCTGTTTTAACTGAGCCTTTATTTGTCATTTATAAGGGATTTATAAAGCATCAATAGTGCTCACTTTAGATTAGGTCACAAAACTAGATGAAGTTGAGTTAATAAAGCATTTATTAACATACATAGTAACCATTAATATATGCCTGAATAATAAGACATACATGTTGATTTCAGTAGTTTATTAATCATTTATTAACTCATTCTGAATGATCCTAAAAACCCTCAACTACTCTTAAATACTAATGGTTTGTAACTAATGTGATACTTAATTTAGTAATGAAAAATAAATTGTTAACCAAGTATGAAAGTACAATTATTAAGCACATTTTAAATATGTTTGTATGTCAAGAATAGAGCACTTGTAGCTGCAGTTACAAACTGCTTACTAACGTTTATTAATGTGGAGTTAACGCTTAACAGATAATGAATTC